CTGCACTGGGCACAGGGGCCTGACTGTGGGCTCAGTCCCTGCCCCGCAGGCCTGGCTGGGTTTCGGGAAGGGGCTTCTTAGTCTGGCCAGACCACTGCAAAGCAAACTCTATGTAGCCGATGAGCAGAGTTCCGTTCCCCAAGAATCATTACTGAACAGGGAATTCAGGAAGGAGAAAAAATCCCCGGATTGAACCAGAGCTGAGCTGAGTGCCGCCTCCCTCTACCGACATCCCCAGGCAGGCGGGCTTCTGGGAACCTCCAGGCCCCTGTTTCCCAGAAAACCTGGCTGACCCACTGCTCTGACTCCCCTGACCGGCCCTGCCTCCCGTTTCTGCTCCCAGCTGCGTTCTCTGGAAAGCATGTCAGTGACAGGTTGGCAGACAGGGACTTGCCCTTCTGCTTTACCGTCCGTCATGCGCCTCTCCTGCCTTGCTGCCTCCTCCAGGAAGCTTTCCTAGTCATCTTCCCAGAATGACGTAGGTGGCCCCGAACTCGAATATTTTCCAGTCCTGGAACTTGGAAGCTGGAGGAGCCACCTGAACCAGGGGGTGTTTGTTGGGAGCCCAGAGCGTACCAGGGGCCAGTCTAGGCGTCGATATGTCAGCGAACAGAGTCCCCGCTCTCAAAGAGCTTGTCCCCGTCCCAGTTTTTAACAGAGGGAAGAACTAAGAAATGCTCAGAACACCAGGATGCTTTGTGCTCCTGTGATGGTGCGTGTGTGCGTGACATAGTCTTCCACCTACCGATCGACTGGGCCGGGCATCATTCCAGCCACTTGGGCATGAGGGGCGAACAGGGCAGATTGAGCTAGAGCCCAACTGAGTGAGGGGACACAAACCAATCCCACAGTGGATGGTTGTTTAATTGACATCTTATTAATGTTACTTTCTTAGCTCATCCTTATTCACAGTTGCAGCTCTCCAGTCCCATTGTTCAGTCACTAGGTCGTGTCCAACTCTGCAACCCCATGGACAGGGGGGCTCTGTCCCTTCTCCAGGGGATCTTCTCAACCCCAGGATCGAACCCAGGTCTCCTGCATTGGCAGGCGGGTTTTTTACCTTCTGAGCCACTAGCGAAGGGCCCTGGCTAGATCCTGCTGGGCAGAAAGCCAGTGAGAGCGGCTGGGGCAAGGCCTGGATTCTCGGATTCTTGGCTTCTTGGCAACCCGTGTGACTCAGTGGGCTGGTTAATGGGGCCAGGGGCGGGCAGCCGGAGCAGGGGAGCCCTGCGGGCGGGTGAATCAGTAATCAGAGCAGCTGACCGCGGGGTTACTGTCCTGCCTGGGGCGGGGCCAAGCCTCAGCTGCCAAAATAAGCACCGCCCCCTCTGCGTTCCTGGTGGCTCAGCTGGTAAAGAATCCGCCTGCAATACGGGAAACCCCGGTGCAATTCCTGGGTCGGGAAGATCCGCTGAAGGGATAGACTACTCACTCCAGTACTCTGGCCTGGAGAATCCCATGGACTGTGTAGTTCATGGAGTCCCAGAGTCGGACTGAATGACTTTCACTTTCTTCTTCCTTGCTTCCTAGGGCTCTGCCACTCTGACGGGCCCCTACTTCTCCCCAGCCTGGAAGAGGGGACAGAACCTCCCTGTTAAGGCATGTGACCTTTCACACAAGTCACTCTGAGGCTCTGGCCCCTGATGGCACTCCTCTAAAGAGAAACCCTTGCTGGTGGAAATAAAAGCAGAATCACCCTCAGCTCTTAGAAAAAGCTGGGAGCAGCTTGGGAACACCAGCCTCAAAAGCCAGCCTGCTGTGTGGCTTTGGATGAGTCTGGTGCTGTCTCTGAGCTTCTGGCCCCAAGCTGCTCACCTGCAAACCTGATTCATTGTGACTGTTAAATAATGCCACACTGGCACATCAGGGGACAGCAGAAATAAGGGGTGGGGGGTGGATCCCTGACTCCGGTTTAGGCTCTGAGCTGGGTGTGGGGGAGGCAGACAGGGACATGAAGCTGGACGTCATACAAGGGACCAACCACCCTCCCTGCTGACAGGGACCCAGCAGCGCCAAGCTGGACTTGTGCTGCCAGGAACAAATCCACTTTAACCCAGAACAGAGCAGAGGAAAGCAGGCTGCCTTGGGGACCCAACAGGCCCAGGCATAGCCCTGGGATGGCACTGACCCGCTGTGTAGCCGCCAGCAGCTTGTTTGCCCTCTCTGGGCCTCAATTTTCTCAGTTTTACAACAGAGCATAATTACAGTGGCTTCATCTGTTTCACAAATGCTGAGTGCAAAGGTGCTTTGTCCCACCAAGGAGCACCAGGGACAGGGCCAGGCTGGGTTCTGGGGGACTGGGCTGGGACTTGGGGGACATCAGTAGCTGCTTCTGCCTGCAAGGCTTCTAAATGTGGGTGTTTGCCTTGGAGGGAACCCCCGCCCTGGACCACAGCCCCTTTCCCAGTTTGGGGGACTGGGTAAGTGGCATGCATGGCTGCAGCGTCACTCCTACCTTGCAGAGCCAGGCCAGTGGTGACCGTGTGTTGAGCGACTTAATGATGGGCCTCGGGTTCCCAGAAACGAGAGGGAGGAGAACCGGGCTGTCCCCCACCCCCCAGCAGGACCCCAAGTCAGGTCAGGAGCCTGCAGGAAAGAGGAGCGAAAACCTGGCCCCGGGCCTCTGCCGTCTGCTTCCTGGACAGGATGTTGTGCTGAGCAAACAGCCTGAAGAGGAGTCACCACTCTGGGTCTGAGTCACAGCGCCTAGCGACAGCCCAGCAGTGTTTATAAACAGTGTGATTCGCACCTCCCCGCCCCCACCCTGAGCCTGGAGGGGATGCTCAGATGCAGGAGGCAGCAGGAACCCCCCCCCCCAACCCCGGGAATCCCTTCCCCTCCCCCCCCAAGAGCGGAATTCAGGGCATGTCTGTGCGTACACGTGTGCCCACCAGTGGGGTTTTGTCGGTCTGAGCTCCGTGTGTGGCTGGCCAAGTGCCTTATTCTGGGGCCACCTGCATCGTGGGCAGAGCGCTAACGGCAGGTCACGTGACCGCGGTGTCCTGGGACAAGTGTGGAAGGCAGGTTAGCATCTCAGGGCTGGTGTGAATGTCCCCCGAAGCCGCGCCCACCCGGAGCTCCATGCGCGGGAGGGGCAAGGGGATGGAGGTGGAGAAAAGTGGGGGTGGGGGGGGGCGGTGTTGCAAGTGGAGCGCCCCTAACAGTCCCAGCCCCAGCGCCCTGGCCCTCCATGGCCCGTCTCCGTTCCAGGCCGTGACAGTGATGGGGTGGACCATGTGGGGACACAAGGCCGGCAGGGAACAAAGGCGCCTGTGCTGTCCCCTCCGACGCGGGTGGGAGGCGGGTGGTAGGCGGGGTGGGCGGGCCCCGCCCGCCCGAGGCCCCTCCCCTCCCCAGGCCCCGCCTCCTCGGGGCTCCGGCCTTTCTTGCCTGCAGCTGGCCCTGTCCTGCCCCGCAGCCTGTGACTCAGGCCCTCGGCCTTCCCAGCGGCTCGGGGCCCACTGCTCTGCGGCAGCGCTGCCTGGGCCTGGCCTGGCTCGCAGAGGCGTGGCCTAACCGGCTCCGAGGCCAGGTTGACCTGTGTGGATGTTGGGGTCATTGGAGAAGATCACTGAGCAGCCATGGGCGGTAGGCGTGCCAGTCGGCACGAAGCTTGGTCCCGGGGAAAACGCTCAATAAATGCCTGTCGAATCTAAGGCATGAACACATAGGCACACCTCACTGGGCAGCCTGGTTCCCTATTGGTTCCTGTAACCCCACCCCCGCTTCCTCAAGGGCCTCTGGAAGCTCTCCCCCCACCCCCAAATATGTCCGCACAATTGGAAAGGCTTGTCGGTCCCCGCACTGCCCGCTGACCCCTGCCACGGGCACTGGGCCCAGGTCTCCTTTTTCATCCACTGTCCCAAAGGCTGGGGAGAGCTCTCTGGTCCACGTCCGGGGCAGTCAAACCACATCAAGGGGTGCCCGCGGTCATACGACCAGTCAACTGGCAACATGGCAGAGAGAGGCTAAGGGTGGGTTCCTCCCCTTAGCCCCGAAGGGCTGTCCCCCCCCTCACCCAGGTCCTGCTGGGGCCTGCCCGGGGCTTCTCCCCAACAAGACTGAGCACTCGGGAGCCCTGCTATGCCAGCCTGTCCTCAGGAAGGTAGAAAAGACCGTGTCTGCCAGCCCTCTTGGTCTCACCTCTGCAGGACCAGAGCTGCCTTGCGGTGCCCAGTGCATGCTTGCTGCTTTTAGACAACAAACGTTTCCAAGTTGTCCCCTGGGATCCCGTTGTAGGGCTGCATGCTGAGCAGCCCACAGGCCTCAGAGTGTCCTCTGGAGCTTGCTCTTGGAGGAAGAGCCAGGCCATGGTACCCCCGGTGTAGGGCTAATCTCCGCCAACATTCACTGAGTGTCTGTTAAGTGCCAGGTCCCGGGGCAGGCACAGGACCATGGGAGATGATCAGAGTGCCGCCCAGAACTGAGTTCTTGTTGAATGCGCAGTGTCCGTGTGCTTGTTTGACAGATGAGGAAACCGAGGCCGCTGAGTTGCTGGCCCAGAGTCCCAGAGCTGCTAACAGAGAGCCTGGTCACCTCTGCTGTTTCTCAAAGGTCCAGATTAAGTGTCTCTGTGTGTGGAAGGGCCAAGGCGGCTGGGGAGAAGGAGCAGGGGGCCCGAGGGGAGGTGAGCTTGGGGCGGTGGTCAGGGCTGACTTAAAGGAGCCTGGAGGTGGGGGACAGCGAGGACTCTGGATTCTTTTGTGGGTTGGACAGAAGCCTTTGGAGGGGTTTTAGTGTGGAAGACATGTACTGGGTGCAGGCATGAGAGAGGGTGTGTGGGGGGCAGGAAGGCTGCTGCCTCAGGGCCTACCTGGAACCCCCTGCCCCTCAGCCCACCCGCCTCCAGATGCCCACCCCAGAGCAGGGGTCCCCAACCTCTGGGCTGTGGACCAGTACCTCCTGTCAGATCAGCGGCAGCCTCAGATTAGAAATAAAGTGCACAGTAAATGTAACACGCTTGAATCACCCCCAAACCATCCCCCCCTCACCCCCAGTCCATGGATAAACTGTCTTCCACGAAATCGGTCCCTCGTACCAAAAAGTTGGGGACCACTGCCCTAGAGAACCCCCACTGCAGAGGCTCCCCCATCCAGGGCATCCTTCTTTCCGTGAAAGAAATTCTCCTGCCCCAGCGGTGTGGTTGGGGGATGTTAAACTGTAATTTGAAAACCTCTGTATACCACACCCCCTCCCACAACGGATCAGAAACAGTGAGGCTCAGAGAGAAGAGGAACGTGCCTGTCCCAGAGGAAGGCAGCGCCAGGCGGGGGCAGGAACCAGGTCTCGGTTCCCCAGCTCTGAGCGGCCTCCTCTGCTGGGTCCCCTGCACCCCCAAAGCCACCGGAAGAGGATGTGAAATGCTAGCTCGCTTGGAGAGGCAGGGCTTGGTGCCAGGCCGGCAGGCTGGGCCCCTGCCTCTCTGCCAGGAACCGGGGGCCTGATGTGCCTGCGGGCTGGTTCCGGAGCCCCAGTCCACCCCCCTCTCCTCTCGGCCCCTGCGATCCTGTGTGCCCAGCCGGCTGTCCGCCAGGGCCCGAGAAGGGTAAGGAGGCAGCCCCGGCTTTGGGTCACCCTGCCATCTTTAGGTGTGGGGATCTGGGCTCTGAACTCTGAGGCAGGGAGGGTACATATGTGGGCTCTGCAGAGGTGCTCACAGACACAGGACCCGGACTCACCCTGTGACATCTTGGGCAAGTCCCTGCTCCGTGGGGGCCTCAGTTTTTCCATTTGTCAAATGGGTATGTTGGACTCAACGCATAGGTTTCAGTGTCTGGTCAGCGGTGAAATGAGAGAAATGGAGACAAGTCATGAGTTTGCCTTAAAGCCAGATATATTTATTTAATGACCGTCCGTTTTTTGGTGTGTTTTTTTTTTTTATCATATGCCCTCTTAGTTACTTTTAGGGGAGCTTTTCTGAAATGATAATAATGATGGTGACAGTTTTGTGTTTTTTTTTAACAGCCCTAACTTGACAAAATAAACAGTTGCTAACCCTAGGTTGGTCCCGGCCGTTTAAAATTAAATCCCATGTCTAGGTGGCAGACGTGGAGGAGTTTGAGGGCTGAGTGATGGGGAAGGCTTCCAGAATGAGACAGTGGCTTAAGAGGAAACGGAGTGTGGCAGGCAGGTCCACTGTGCCCCACACAGCACACAGCTGGACTCACACCTGGCTGGTGGCTCCACTGGCTGAGCTGTTTTGATTTCTGTGACCTGTCCCCGGGTGGTGATTTTTTTCTCCCAGGCAGGGGGAGTGGGGACAGGGCCTCAGGGTGCTGGGGACACAGCTGGGCCCCCCGCCCAAGACAGCAGGTCTGAGCTGAGCTACTGGCCGGGCTCGGGACAGCCCACCCGCCCTTGGCTGGCCCTCAGCCTGGTAGAAGCAGGAATTCCTGGCCCTGCTTGTCACAGGAGCAGGTATGACAGCCACGCGAGTGACACCAGGCCTAGGTACTCGGGAGCCTGACTCCACCAGGGCCGGCGGACGGGCAGGCAGACTGGCAGAGGGCCTCCCCGGGAGCCCATCCCAGGCCCACCTGCCTTCCTGTGATGGCCCGGCAAGCTGGGCCCGCTGAGCCCAGGGGCAGAAAGGGCTGGGTGTTCCTCGCCTGTGTCTCTGTGGTGACTGCCAGGCGGTGGGCTGTTGCCCGCCACGCTGCCCTCCAGAGCCCCACATCTTGGCCGAAGACGCCTCTGCCGGCACCCGTCACCGAGGTGAGTTTCCAGGGCAACAGGTGCTTCTAGGTGGTGGCCGGGGCCCTCAACTTCCTCCCCTCCCATCAGAACTGGTTGAAGGAGTTTGGCTGGAAATTGCCTGGAGAGGCTCCATCTCCCATTCTGGATATGGGCGAGGAGACTGGGTGGAGGGTGGCGGGGGTGGGGGGGGCGGTGAGGCTTGCTTGCCACTGGTACCTGTGTATGCCCACCCGGCTGGCCGCCTGTCTACCTGTTCCCGTCTGGGCAGGGTGGCTGGGGATTGTCTTAGTGGCTCCTGTTCACGTGATTCTTCTCAGATTACAAAGCTTCTGTGCACTGTTTTATCATCTGCTCTCCTGAGAGCCAAGTAGTGGTGGTACTACTATTCTTCTTCTTATTATTATTACTGTGTCCATCCTCCTGATGGAGAAACTGAGGCTCCGGGAGAGGGAACTGAAGCTAGAAAGGTGCAGAGCAGGGACCCGAATACAAACCCGGGCTCTGTATTTTAAGAGAGTTTCCCCAAATCTGCAGGCCCCCTCCTCCGCACTGGGTGCCCAGCAGCCTGCCAGTCAGTGTGGGCTTTTTGAGGGACGAGACCCTGCCTCTCTGACCTCTCTCTGCGTTCTCATGTTTTGGGCTCACTTGCAAGTCTCAGTGCCCGTTTCCTTCTGTTTATGTCCTCTCTCCTTTTCCCTGCCACGCCATGTGGCATGCAGGATCTTAGTTCTCGACCAGGGATCAAACCCCTGCCCCCTGCATTGGGATCAAGGAGTCTTAACCTCTGGGGCCCAGGGGAATCCCTCCCCTTCTGTTCTCTTCCTCTCTCTCCTCTCCTGCACCCCCACCTTGGGCCCAGCATCTGTTGGACAGTGGCCTTTAGGGGTGTCAGGCCCTAGGCACTCTGGGAGTGGAGGGCAGTTATCAGAGTGGTCCTTGGTCCTACTCTGTAAGACCCTGGACATCACCTGTGCTCATTTTGAGTGCCCCCCACCCCCAGCATCCTGAGAGTCAGGGGGCCGTGCCCACCGCTCTCCAGGGGAGTAGACGGGGAGCCAACTCATGGCTGGTCCAGAATGCCGGAATCCAAGTCCTGGGCCGTTTCCACAGATCCGAGCATTGATTCATCTTGTCCTGCTCACGCTGGGACAGCAACGCCCTGTGAGGTCAGAGATTTGGGGTGATGATGTCAAACCCCTCCACCCCAGATGGTCTCCTGGCTGTTGGGAAGCTTCATGTCCCACCTCATGACCATCTCTGAACTTGTCCTCCAGCCCCTGGGGACTCCCCGTTGCCCCGAGGAGGAGGCCATCCCTGGAAGTTCCCAGGAACCAGGGGGGAGGAGGTGGGGCTAAGCCCGGCCTGCTGTGCCAACAGCTCCCATACTCAGCCCAGGTGCGTCACTTCCTGCCAAGGTGTGTGCTCACCCGCCCACAGAGGGCCACCCCAGGACCCAAGCAGCCAGGAATGGTGACATCAGGTCAGGGAAATGATTGAGGAGCCTGGCCAGGTCACACCCCATCTGTGACCTCCCCAGATTCTAAATATAGATCAGAAAAGACAGACCAGGTGACCTCCACCCGCTCAGTGAGAGATGAAAGGTTTTCCGCCAAGGCCTGACCTGAGTCTGGGTCAGTTCAGTTCAGCCGCTCAGTCATGTCTGACTCTCTGTGACCCCATGGACTGCTGCACGCCAGGCCTCCCTGTCCATCACCAACTCCCAGAGCTTGCTCAGACTGAGTCTGGGTACCTGAGTGCTATTCCTCACTGGCTCACCAGCTCCCTCCGGCACCTTGACCGAAGTTGGAGGAGGTGATGGCCAAGACCCTTGTCACCTGGATGTGGCCTTTAGCCAGTTCTTGCTCTGAGCCACCAGATACCTGGAGTGGCACCCTGGGCCCAAGCCCCATTCCCGGGGACCTTGTGCCAAGCAAAGGGGTGGGTAGAAAGTGGGAAGCATGGGCCAGGCAGAAAGAGGATGGCTCGAGGCTCCGGGGACTGCAGCCTTTCTGTGTGAGCCTCCCTGGGCATCGTGAGAGAGGACCCCAGAGATGCCAGTTGGGCTCACACCCAGCAGATGGTCTTTTGTCTGAAGGCAGAGGTTGGGGGGGAGCTTTGAAGGGTCAAGACCCCTCTGGCTGCTGTGCGTCTGGGCACCAGTGATTGGATGATAGCAGGAAGGAAAAGGGGCCCCAGAGGTTTGGCCTGAGCACACCTTTCCCTTAAACTGAAGGCGGCTACGCAGGGGCCTGTGAGCCAGGGAGTGATGGGAGGCCCAGTGGGGTCTGGGGCAAACCCATGAGCACAAGGCCCGGCTGCAAAGGCCAAGTGCCGGTCAGCTCCCACCCAGCCTCCTGTCACCTGGGGACACAGACCCGGCGTGGCTGGATTGTCCCAAGTTACGGGAGCTGCCAGAAATGGGGACTTTTATATGAAGTCACCTGACCTTTTACTGTTGGCTCAAAAATTGAAAAACACTTTGCACGCCAACCAAAACACATGTGGGCTAGGTTTGGCCCGGTTCTCTTCCCGGCTGTCAGCTCCAAACCTGTCTTTTACGCTTCCTGTGTGGGGAGCATCCTGATTACAGGAGCGTCTGTACAGCGATGTTATCCAGGGCTCCCTGTGATCCCCAGGGAGGGACGGGTGCACCCCCCCCATCCCTGGGGAAAGGTTGGGAACCTGGGACGGCTGGGATGGGGTGAGCTGTGAGCAGGAGCAGGAAAGCAGGGAGTGACCCCCATTCATAAAACCCTGCACTTTGTACAGACCTCTGTGTCTCCCTCCCAGCAGACACTCCAAGGGCCTGGGTCAACAGAGCTTCGATTTCAGACTGGCCCGAGGTCACGAGCCCCATCTGAGCCGCGTGATCCCGATTCTGCCCACTGCCTCGGGCCGTCGTGTTATCTGGATGCTCTGAGAGCCACAGGAGCGGGGGATGTGGTGAAGCGGGTGGGGATCACTGCGGTGGGCTCCAGGTCTGGGGATTGCTGCCCTCCCTTCAGGGCTGATGGAGCCTCAGCAGCATTAGAGGATGAGTCGAAACCAACGTGTCCTTTTTCTTGCTTAACGTCTGTTATGGAAAATTCCCCAGAACACAAAAGTGGAGAAAATGGCATAAAGACACGCAGCTCTCCTCATCCCTGCTGCGGGGCCGCTCTTGCTGCTTCTCTTACGGGCCCTCCTTCCCCACCGCGGACGATGTTGACACAGACCTCAGGTCTGTGACCATCCGTCGATATTTCAATAGGTTACCCTGATAGTAACCGAAACCCCGTGACCACATCCAAACAATGATGTCAGCTATCTTCAGAGAGCCAGTTGTTTAGTGGCTCAGCTGTGTCCGACTCTGCGACCCCGTGGACAGCAGCGTGCCGGCTTCCCTGCCCTTCGCTGTCTCCCGGAGTTTGCTCAGATATCCAGTAGTGTTCAAATCAGCCCAGTTGTTCCTTAGGTAGTCTTTGTGTGCATGCGTGTTTTGTTTTTTTAAACAGTTGCCCTGTTCAAATCCCAATCCAGAATCCACATGTTGCATTTGGTTGCATGTCCCACCTTTATTTTAATCTACATTTTCCCCCTTGCATTTTCCCCTGAAATGTATTTGTTGAAGGAACTGAGTGGTCTCTCCTGCGAAGATTCCCAGAGTCTGAATTGGTGGGGTGCATCCCCGTGTGTGTTTAACGTGTTCTTCTGCGCCCTGTCATTCCGCCAGTGGTCGCTGCGCACAGAGGCCTGGCTGGATTCAGGTTAGGTTTTCAGCAAGAGCACTTTCCTGGGGGGCTCTGTGGTCTTCCATGCAGTGCCGTTCCCTCTCTTTAGGGCTGCCCTGCCCTTGGGAAGACACCTCCCTGGCAGCTTTAAGGGAACATCATGAGACGAGGTGCTTGAGGGCTGGGGAGAGGGCCTTGCACGTGCGAGGTGCCCTGTGATTCTCAGCCCCTGGTTTGGTTTTTTAAATATTTATTTCTTTGGCCACATTGGGTCTTAGTTGTGGCATGTGGGATCTAGGTTCGCGACCAGGGATTTTACCTGTGTCCCCTGCATCGGGAGCACAGAGTTTTTGAGTTTTAGCCCCTGGACCACCAGGGAAGTCCCTTCTCAGCCCCCGTTAAGGTGCTTTACCTGTGCTGCCCCTTTGCCGAACAAGAGGAAGCTGTGCGTTGGAAGTACGGTGACTGCAGGGTGGCAGGGGGGTGGGCACTGGCCAGAAGGGAGGGCCACACAATAAGAAAGGAGTGGAGCTGGGCGTCAAACCCAGGCGTTTGAGTGCCAGGTTCTGTACTACACGGCACCCCTGGGAACTAGGAGTGTGTGTGTGTGTGTGTGTGTGTGTGTGTGTGTGTGTAGGCAGGCAGCTGGAGCAGTGAGCAAGCTTCTCAGGACCCAGGAGGAGACCCCCAAAGCAGGACCAAACAAGGCTGGGGCATCAGACAGACACCAGCCAGAGCGACCCCGCCCCGCCTCCTCCAGCAGATGATGTCTGGGTAGCTGATGGGAGGCAGCCCCGCTGGCTGAGTTGCTGTGTAGTGTGGCAATGGAGCGCCCTGGCTTCACCGCTCCAGTCGGCTTGGGCCCCCTCACCCCAGTCCCCTTGACCTTCAAGGTCAGAGAGGGGGTGAACCTGGTGCACTCAGAAGACACTCGGCCTCCGGGGGCCTCTTTCCCAGCTGTAAAGTGGACATAAGCTTGCTTGCCAGGCCCCTCCCTGGGAGAAGACATAAAAGGAACCCAGAAGAGATAAAGTGAGTGCAGTCAGGTGCTCAGTTCCCCAGGCTCTGGGAGCCTGACTCAGGGAGAAGTTTCTAGCCCAAGGCAGTGTCCAGCCTGGAGGACACCCCTCACTTCTCTTGGAGAGCCTCATTCCTCTCTGAACATACATGCCCCACCCGTCTCACCCTCCCCTGGGGCTTCCTAGACAGCCTTCTTCGGATCTCCGCCCCAAGCCAAGTCTTGCTTTAAAAACAAAAACAGCAAACAAATAAAACCCAGTGTTTATTATGATGTATGTGTGATTACTAAAATATTTTAGAAAAATTAGCAAATTCTGAGACTTAAAAAGAAATGTGTAGCACTGCCCAGAGATAACCACCATTACTTTTGCAAAGTAGGTCCCTGTAGTCATATGCACACGTGTAATGTCAGCTTCTGAAAGCATGTGCTGTATCCTGGGTTTCTGACTTCCAGGCTTCCCTGGTGGCTTAGATGGTAAAGAGTCTGCCTGCAGTGTGGGAGACCCCGGTTCAATCCCTGAGTCGGGAAGGTCCCCTGGAGAAGGAAATGGCAACCCACTGCAGTATCCTTGCCTGGAAAATCCCATGGATGGAGGAGCCTGGCAGGCTATAGTCCATGGGGTCACAAAGAGTCGGACATGACTGAGCGACTTCACTTTCACTTTCATAGCTGAGCATCTCCCTCTGGGAGATGGTGAAGGACAGGGAATCCTGGTGTGCTGCAGTCCATGAGGTTGCAAAGAGTTGGGTGACTGGACAACAACTCCCTCCTATGGTGGGTCATGGCACACGGGGTCTTGTCAATGAGCCTGCACAGAGTGTTTGAGTGAATTCCTTTGAAAGTGAAAGTGTTAGTTGCTCAGTTGTGTCCGACTCTTTGCGACCCCATGGACTGTAGCCCGCTAGGCTCCTCTGTCCATGGAATTCTCCAGGTAAGAATACTGGAGTGGGTTGCCGTTCCCTTCTCCAGGGGATCCACCAGACCCAGGGATCAAACCTGCGTCTCCTGCGACTCCTGCATTGCAGGTGGACTCTTTACTGTCTGAGGCCCTGTAGCCTGTAATTTCTTTGGCAGAGCAGTACACATCCAGAGTAGTCCATGGAAATCATGTCCCCACTCTGAATGCTTTCTTAAGGTTACGTCCTAAGAGTGAGGTTGTCAAATCTAAGGGCATGAGTGTTTTCTAAAATTTTATTTTATTGAAGCAGAGTTGATTTACAATGTTATCTTAATTTCTGAAGTGTACAGCCAAGGGATTCGGTTATGCATATACACATGCTTTTTCATGGCATGAAGGCTTTTAATGCCTGTGATAGAAACCCTCAAGCTGTCTTCTGTGGGTCTTTCTCAAAGCCTTCCTTGTGACTGAGCAAGGACCATGCACCTGCTGCAGATGTGGGCTGCACATCTGGTGGGCACACAGGTCAGAGGGAGTGGCTGGGGCCCTGCTGTCCATGGATACCTGCAGCGGGGCTCACGGTGGGTGAGCCAGGTATATGCTTATGGAATGAGGAGTCAAGACCCGCCCCTTCATTTTGCAGATGGGAAACTGAGGCCCAGTGGTACGGAACCAGTTCTGGAGAGGTGGATGGCATTGTCAGGGCTGCTGACAGCGACTGCCGAGAGGGCTGAGGACTGAGGCCCAGCGGGGCAGGCCTGGGCAGTATGTTGGTGTAAGGGAGGGACGTTCATTCACGTCTACTTGCCTCCTCACTGGTTTCTAGAAAGAGCAGCTGAGGCTCCCCAGCCCTCAGCATCCTCAAGGGCAGGCTACCTGGAGACCTCCAGTATCAAGCTTCCAGGGGTCCTAGCCAACCAGGCGAGTGGCAGGTGCATGGCTGGCCTGAATCCCTCGTGATCCTTCATTCTTGAATGTGGACCCCCAAGCTGGTCATGCTGGGTGTGGACTCTTCCCCCTTACTCCCCTGACTGCCCTTCCTCCACCTCATTTCTGCCGGTACTTTCTCCGGGTAGCCTGAGGGCTGAGATATTCCAGGCAGAGGCCCCTCCTCCAGCACCACACCCTGACCCTTAGTTCAGTTCAGTCGCTCAGTCGTGTCCGACTCTTTGCGAACCCATGGACTGCAGCACGCCAGGCCTCCCTGTCCATCACCAACTCCTGGAGTTTACTCAAACTCATGTCCGTTGTGTTGGCGATGTCATCCAACCATCTCATCCTCTGTCATCCCCTTCTTCCGCCTTCAACCTTTCCCAGCATCAGGGTCTTTTCAAATGAGTCAGTTCTTCAAATCAGGTGGCCAAAGTATTGGAGTTTCAGCTTTAATATCAGTCCTTCCGATGAATATTCAGGACTGATTTCCTTTAGGATGGACTGGTTGGATCTTCTTGTTGTCCAAGGGACTCGCAAGAGTCTGCTCCAACACCACAGTTCAAAACAGTTCTTTGGTGCTGAGCTTTCTTTATAGTCCCACTCTCACATCCACACATGACTACTGGAAAAACCATAGCTTTGACTAGATGGACCTCTGTTAGCAAGTAATGTCTCCGCTTTTTAATATGCTGTCTAGGTTGGTCATAATCCTGACCCTCAGGACGGCCAAATTCAGGGGTGCAGGGAGGACCCGGTCCTGGCTCCAGGACTCAGGAGCACATAGCCAGGCACAGACTCTTGGCTGAGTGTGCGCCATACAGCGATTACCCGCTGTGATCTTCCTGGATGAAGAAACCGAAGCTCAGAGGAGTTAAGCAGCTTGTCTTAGGTCACAGGGCTAGTGAGGGGCTTAACTGGAGTCTGTCGCAGGTGGACACACACACACACGACACACGCTCTTCCCGAAGACGCAAACAGCCAGCAACACGCGGCGGGGACGCGCGCGCGCGTGCACACGCCCCTCCGGCGTCTCCAGCCCCGCCCCTCCACGCCGCAGGCCCCGCCCCTCGGAGAGCCGGCCCCGCCCCCGGCCTGACCTCCGCGGGGCCGGCTGGCGCGCGCAGAGCGCAGGCAGCGCCAAGCCGGGCGGCCTGCCGCTGCCGCCCCCGCTGCGCGCCGGGCCGGCCCCGCGCCCGCGCCGCCCCGGGTCCAGCGGCCCGGCCGGCCGCCCGCGCCGCTTCGAGCCGCCCATGGTGCAGCGCATGTGGGCCGAGGCGGCCGGGCCTGCGGGCGGCGCCGAGTCGCTGTTTCCGGGCTCCCGGCGGAGCCGCAGCGTGTGGGACGCCGTGCGCCTGGAGGTGGGCGGCCCCGACAGCTGCCCGGTGGTGCTTCACAGCTTCACGCAGCTCGACCCCGACCTGCCGCGCCTGGAGGTGGGTGAGCGTCGCCGGCCCGGCGCTTGGCCGAGCGAGGGGTGGGTGGGGACGCAGCGCGCTTAGCGGATCGCTCACCGCGAGTGGTGCTGGCGGCGGTGGTGGTCCCCACCCCCCCAGCCCGGGAGTTGCGCCGGGGGAGCGTCCTTCCGCAGAAACTCCCGTCCTTGCGCCCACCCCCAGGGCAGCCAGGTGGGCGTAGGGGTGGCCGCCCGGCGAGCAAAACAGTTTCGGGACCAGATCCGGCTCTGGGACCCTTCTCTTCATCCCAGTGCCTGCCCGCCCCGAGCCCAGGTGTGCCGGCCCCGCTGCCCCTGCAGCCCGGGCAGACGTGTTCAGAGTCTGCCTTTCCCGGCCGCAGGGCTGGGCCGTACTTCATCCCAGTGGCCAGCCCGGGGCCTGCTTAGGCGGTTTGGCTTCGAAACGCAGGTGGTGCACTAGTGATTAGGGCGGCGGCATCCGGGAATCCTCAGAGGTGGTTGGGACCACAGTGGCCTTCCGGGCAGCCCCCCCTGGAGAGCAGAAGTGGACTCTGATGATCAGGGCTGGTCAAAAGGGTGGAGTAGGGCAAGGAGGGAGACAAGCCTCCAACCTGTGGGCCAGGTGTCCAGGTGGGGAGGTTGGGGCAAGGGCCGCTCAGGTGGAGGGGTGACTCCCTTCTGTTTGATTAGAAAATGTGCTTTCACCCTGGATTTGTGAAGGTCGGGTACGATTCAGCAGGGGGGTGTGCCTCTCGTGAACTCGGTGAGGGCTGGACTCCTGTTTCTAGTGTGCTGTGGGGAGGAGGGGGCCAGTGAGTCATGGGGAGCAGTGCCCTCCTCCTCCCGCCTGACTGCACCTGACTCTGACCCCCTGCCTGTGGCCAAGGTAGCAGAATCCGGGGCCTGGGGCCTGAAAGGAGGGCGGCTGTTCCTGGGTCAGAGGGCTCAGTGGAGGTCCTGCACCCCCATGCTGGTTAGGGCCCTCTTGGTATCCCCCGCGTCGCTGCTTTAGGCCCCGGCGAGCTGTAATTGCCAGCCTGGGTCTCGGGCCTCTCTCTCTCTGTGTCCGCAGTGCCTAGACAGGGTCTGGATGCGTAGTTCCGGAGGATAAAGCACATCGTGTCCAGTGTGGGAGGGGGGAGAGGGGGGAGGGAGCTCTTGGTGGGAGGACGGCAGGCCTGGGAGACCCTTTATCGGTGAGCCTGGCAGGCGGCAGGGCCAGGCCTCTTGCCCGACCCTCATCCACCCGCAGCTCTGGCCTTCACTGGCGGCTGGAACGAGACCCCCGGGAGGGTGGGGGTGGGAGGCCTGACACCAGCCCAGCGCTCATCTGACTTTCATTATGTCTGGCAGCTCCTCGGGCTTTGTGTGCTGGAGGGTCCGGCCGGCGCACTCACAGGGGCAAGCCGCCAGGCTGCTTCTCCTCCCTCCCTCCCTCCCCCTGTCCATCTGTATCCCCAGGGAACGGAGGGAGAGTGCAGATCTGAGGCCTGCCCCTGCCCGGGGGTCTGCTTGCCTTCGCCCCCTCTCGCCTCTCCCTTCTGGCCCCAGCCCTGGCCTCCAGGCTGCGGCCACTGTTTAGATATCAAAGGGGGAAGCTTCTGGCTTAGTGCAGGAAAGCCAGGGTCCTGGCAGGAGAGAAGGCCACTGCCGGAAACCAAACACAATGACCATTTACCGTGGGCTGGGGGAGGGCGTGGGGAGTCCCTGTCCCTCCTGCCAACACCGCCCCCCCCACCCCCTGCAGCCAATTTCCTGGTTGCGGTGGCCTGCCAGAGCTGAGGCGGCCGCCTGTGGTCCCTGTCCTGTCTGGAAACCACGAGGCAGTTTCTGTTTCCTCCCCAGTCCCCCTTTTCCTACCAAGCCTCCACCCCGTCCTTCCCTCTCAGGGCTGCCAGATGTCCTCGCACATCTGGGCATCTGCTCGTCATCCTGGTTCAGAGCCAAGCCACTGCTGACCCAGCTCGGCCGGCACCGTTCCGTGCTTCGTGGAGGTCCCTGGGCTCACATCCCCGTCTCCGTGCAGGCCACCGACTCAGCCAGGCGGGTGGGGGTGGGGGGTCCCAGAGTCCGGAGCACCTACTGGCTGCAGACATGACTCCCTCGTTCGAGCTCACTTTGACCCACCCTCTTGACTACATGCGAAGCTCAGAAGGCTTCCCTCGTGGCTCAGGCGGTAAAGAGTCTGCCTGCAGTGTGGGAGACCCGGTTCGATCCTTGGGTCAGGTAGATCCCCTGGAGAAGGGAATGGCAACCCACTGTAGTATTCTTGCCTGGAGAATCCCATGGACAGAGGAGCTTGGCGGACTATAGTCCATGGGATCGGAAAGAGTCGACACGACTGAGCAACTAACAGTGGAGCTCAGAGAAGTGGAGTCGAACGTACACGCAGCCGGTGAGAGTGCAGCCCGGATCTGAACCTGGGCTGTGTTCTCTGCTGGGCGTCTGTTGTGTACAAGAGCCCATGAGGATCGGAGAAGGACAGGGCTGAGTTCATGGTGAGATCATTACAAACGTCCCTGGAGGACGGGGGAGCTGTGGAGGGGCCAGAACCAGGCCCAGGCAACTCAGAAGCCCCATGGTCGGTGGAGGGTAGGGGTGCTTAGAGACCAGAGATATGTGAAAGTGCTTTGGGCCAAAAGACACCGGGGGAGAGCTTCAAGGAAGAAATAAGCCCACAGCTGGACCCCGAGAGTTTAAATAATATCTCATATGAGGCTCCATTTGGTGGGAGGCTCTGCACTGAATAGTGTGCATGAATGGTGTCTGTTTGGGGTCACGATCACCCACTGTCCATTTAACAGATGGAACAACCAAGGCACTAAGTTGCACAAATCACCAGTAAGTGGCAGGGGCAGGATTCTGACCCCAGGCAATGAGCCTGGAAGCCCTGACTCAGCGGGGGCGTGGAATGAAAGGAGGACGGCTTCAGAGACATGAACCCTGTCTCCCTCCAGCCTCCCTGCCTCCTTCCCCGTTGACTGTTCTCTGGATCTCAGGGTGTGCAGGATTCCAGTCTAACCCCCAGGGCTCATTAGCATCAGGCCAAGAGGCATGACCTGAAAGGGGTGTGTGTGTGTGTGTGCAGAAGCCTGTGTACCATCATCTTCCAAGCAGGCTTCCTGGCAGACTCCAAGGGGACAGCCTTGGATAGCTGCAGAGCCTGTCACGTCAAGAGAGCGACTGACCGGCTGCCACCTGCTGGGCCCCCCACTTCCCATCTTGCTTTCCTCCTTAGGAGAAGAGGCAGGAGGGGGCCGTCTGGCTGGTACTGTGTCTTTGTTACTTATCTGGGGGAGGGACTTCTCCACCACTGGTCTGGTCGTTTGTCTGGAGGCTCCAGGATGGCCCCAGAGCAGGAGTGAGTGGTGGGCGTCAGCGCTGGGAGGAGTCAGCCCCGTGCCCAGTCTGGAAGTTAGCCGTTTGCAGCAGTTAGCCGTTTGCAGGCCCCGTCTTCGTTGCTGGTGAGGAGTGTTTGGAGGGGGAGGTGGCACGGGCCACCCACAGCCCTCGAGTGGCCAGTGGGGCGGTTTCAGGAGGCTGCACTCGGGCGGTCGAGGACCAGCTGCCCGATGGTCCCCACACGTGGCACCGTGCTGCCCAGCCTCCCAGACCCAGAAGCGCTGCATTATTGGGCCTGTGGCTCCAGCGAAGTCACTGTCCCCAGCCCGGTCCTGAGAGGGTGGGAGTTGAAACCGGCAGCCCGGTGTAGGAGTGGGTCTCTGAGTGGCCCCCGTCTCCATCTGTGGGCCAGCCTGCGGCGAGGGTGGGTAGGGTGCTTGGGGAGCCAGCATGGCGGCGGGGTTTGAGGAGTTCTTGGGAGCAGGTGTGGCCTGGCATTTTCTTTGACCCCGCCCCCCCCAGGGAAGCCTCAGATGCCAGCTCTGTGGTCTCGCCTGGAGGCGTGATGTTGGCCTTTTGACCCCGGGGGCAGTGCCACGTATGCCGGTCCAAACTTGGGCTCTGAAGGGAGGAGAGCTGGGCTGGAAGCCCGGCTCAGCCCCTCACAGTCCTTGACCTGCTTTCGTTCCCTCAGCCTCGGTTTTCTTATCTGTAAGATGGATTTGATGCCACTTCCTCCGCCTCAGGTTCTGGCGAGGCCCGAACAAGACAGGCAGCCTGACAAAGCGGTCCCCACCAGTGCCTGGCGCCGTGTCAGCGCCGGCCAGGCGTGCCTGCCACCATTGTGTCTTCTGACAAGGTTCCGGGGAGTGCCTGTGCCCGGGGCTCCGGGAGGACACTGACCGGCCCTGTCAGCGCGGTGCTTCCAGGCTGGGTTCTTGCAGCTGACCTTGGGCCATGGCTGCCTTGGCCATCCCGGTATAGGAGCCCCGACCAGACCCGTCTCCGTGGAGAGGTGGGGGTCTGAGGGCACTGGGCTCTGGTGTGCCCCCCCCACCTGCTGTGTGATCTGAAGAAGCCTGTCCCGTCTCTGGGCTCCCTGCAGCATCTGTCTGAGCAGGGCCTGGACTCCGCATGGAGGCTGTGACTGGCCGTGGCAGCCACGGTTCAGGTAGAGCACGGAGGCCTGGGTGTGTCTTCATGGGACAGCGGGGGCCCAAGCTGGGGTTCAGTCCTGCCCTGGCTGCCTCTTCCTGGCTCCTGATGGCAATCAGCTCCTATCTGCAAGTGAGGGTGTCAGGAGGGTTACGTGTGATGGTGTGCGAGGAGCCTGGCACCCAGGAGATGCCCACACGGGCTGGATGCTGTGGCCCGTGTTGGTATTGTCAGCTAGCTCTGCCCGGCACTATCCAGCCCCCACCCCAGCCCCCGACAGGCGCCCCTCCCCTCCGCTGCCACCAGCCATGCCCCCTTGCAGGCCTGGTCCCTGGAGGCCTCACGGCCTGAAGCCGGACCGGGGTGGGCAAGGCCAGCCTGGGGTCTGGTCTCCCTGCCCCCTGGAAGCACGTTTGTCTTCTAAATGCTGATGAGCAGTGAGGCTTGAGGTGGCCGGGAAGATTCTTGGGAAGATGGGTCAGCCTCTGTGGGGCTTAGCCCAGGCCGGCCCCCAAATGCCACTTTCTGGGGTCAGAAGCTCCTTGGTTGCCCTGCCACCCATGCACCTCGTGTGGTCCACCCCCCACCCCCGTCAAGGCCACCTCTGGGGTGCGGTACCTGGGGACCAGGAGTGTGGCCCACCTTTATCCAGCACTGACCGTCTGCTCTCAGCAAGGTTCTTTTCGGGCCCAGGGTGCAGGCCACCCACCTGAGGTGGGGGCAGGCCGGGGGCAAGGCCCTGTTGCACACCGGGCAGGTCGCGCACACTTGGCAGTTTCGTTCTCCCTGCCTTGTTGGACACACATTCTGAGAGGTGAACTGGGTCCCTTGACCGTCTCCCTGGGCCTCAGTCTCCACCTCTGTAAAATGGGTGTGCAACTTTGCCTGGGTTCCCGAAGGCAGAGCAGCTGACTCTGATGCTGATCACTCTCATGTCTTTCAACAAAAGGCATTCCAGCAAAAGGCTGAGAGGTCAGAAAGCCGCAGGCCTGGTTCCCTCCTCCTGGCACTTTTAGAATGACCCGCTGTCCCTTTCACCTGGCCCTCCCCCAGGTTCCCAGGGCGTCTGGCAGGTCTCCCAAGAGGTTTTCCCCGCCCCGTGTCCCGCGTCTACGCGCCAGCAACAGTGTCCTCACGCCCCGTTCTCAGCGCTTTGTGTGCCCGGCGCCCGGCTGCTCCTTCCTCACACTTGTCCCTTCTCGTGACCCCACCACCTCGTCCTGTTTGAGTGCTGCTGCGCTTGGCCCACCTCTCAGACAGGCTCACTGAGGCTGGGGGCTGCGGGACTCAGCAAAGCTGGGAGCAGAGCCCTGCAGGAGAAGCGCACTCTGGGGCCCAGCGGGCACTGGAGAGGGGCCTCGTGTGCCCAGGGCTGCAGGGTGCTGGTGAGCGGCCGGCTGAGGGCTCAGGGCCCTCAGCAGCAGCTCAGCGGGGTGCCTGAGGTCCCTGAGCAGTGAGCTTGTGCATATGGAGGCCACCACCACCCCCCTCGCTCAGCCCGACCTGAGCCAGACCAGGTTTCTCCTTGTGCAGCCCCCGCCCCCCAGGGGTGTTGGGGGGAACAGGGAGACCGTAGTGTGGTTTCAAGCCTGCCTTCTCCACCTGCCTCCCTCCTCGGCCAGGTCTCCTGGGGCAGGGAGCATCCTGCAGCCGGAGACATCCATGGGTCTGGAGGCCCCGCGTGGTTCTGGTGCAGTTTTCACCAGAAACAAACAGGTGAACTGGAGTGCAGGGGTCCCCGGGGGGGGAGACGGGCCACCTCGCCGTGTGCAGGCACGAACACCTTCCTGCGGGAGACGGCGGGGCTGGGAAAGGCCCAGCGGGTCCCGTCAGGTCTAGCCTGAAAGACGGGTGGGATCAGCTCCTGGCTGATCCCTGTTTTTTCTGCCTCGAGGTGCTCGGCCTGCAGTCAGCTGGGGCGCAGCACCTTGCTGCCCCTCACCCTAAGAAGGCTGATCAGGTGGTGCCCTGACTTACGCCACCACCCTGGCCGTTTCCTTGTCCCTGGGGCTCCGGGCTGTGCTGAGGGACGGGGTTGGGGGATGCTGTGGGGCACGCTGGTGCGTGTCCTGCCGGCCTCTGCTCACGAGGTCTCAGCTGTATCTCAACACCCTCCCTCCAGACCCAGGTGGTAGAAGACTGGGAAGCTGCCAGCTAGGGGCTGCGGGGCCCCAGGGACACGTCTCTGGGTGCCTGCTTGGGGCGGGACGGGAAGCGCTGTCCTCTGAGGACACGGCCGCCCTCGTGGGGCTGTTTTCCCCTGCTTCCCAGGTGGTCAGGGGTAAAGAATCTGCCTGCAGTGCAGGAGAGGCAGGTTCGATCCCTGGCTGGGGAAAGTCCCCTGGAGGAGGAAATGGCAGCCCACTCCAGTATTCTTGCCTGGGAAAGTCCACGGACAGAGGAGCCTGGCAGGCTACAGTCTACAGGGTCACAAAGAGTCAGACACGACTGAGCGACGAAGACTTTCAGTTTTTTCAAGAGCTCGGGGCAACCCTATGGACACCTCCCCTCAGGGCATGTGCTGTTTGCTTGCCCACTCCCTCCCCCTGCGGCCCCCCAGCCCCAGCCAGAGCATTGGGGGGGGGGGCGCTTGGTGCCGTCCACACGGGCTCCCAGTTCCCACACTGCTGCGCTCTCTGCTCTGCTAACAGGATGGGTCACCTTCCGGGGCCAGGGCCCTGCCCTTCCTGCCCCAGGGGGTCCCAGGGCAAATGCTGTTGGCCACTCCCCTCCTCTGGCCCTGGAAGAGCAGTGGGAGTGGGCAGCTGATGCCCTGCTCGACCGCTTTGTGCCAGGCCCCCGGCAGCTCTCTCGGGAGCCCACTCCGCTGTTGTCTGTCAGTAGTTGGTTTAAATGGCGCCTGCTCTCTGCGCTGCTTGGACAATCTGGTTTTTTTTTCCTGCTGCTGCTGTGAAGGGCCCCGGGGGGGACAGGGTGGGTGGGCTCCGCGGGGCTGGTGCAGCTCCCCATCTGTGCGATGGGGTGGTGACCCCCCCCTTCCCAGCGTAGCATGTGTGGCGCTCAGCGTCCCGCCCCGCCCCCCACCCGGCTGGCAGGAGGGGGCCCCTCGGGTGGGGGCAGGGCTGGAGGAATACACGATACCCGGGCAGGGCCGGCCAGCTGCTCCGCTGCCCGCCAGACCCGTGGCTCACTCACTGCGGAGCCGCTATTTAGACCCGCCTGGGGAACGGGGAGGCTTCCCCGGGGGTCAGCCTGACCAGGGGGTGCTTCCGTCCAGGGGGCCCTGTTGGAGCCCCGCTGGGAGCCGGGTGGGCGCCCTCCGGTGCAAGTCCAGTGCCCTCTGGCAGGCATGTCTGGCAGCTGCTGGCGATTTGCGTGCTCAGGACACTGTCTGGCTCCCAGCTGGACCAGAAGTGGCTGGAATCCCCGGGGGAGGGACAGGCCTTTCCAGGGTGGGTGGCAGCCTTTGTGGGAGGCAGTCTCGGACCCCCCTCCTCGAGAGCCCCCGAGGAGACGCAGAGGTGGGTGGACAGGTGGACGGCAGGCCCCTGACGTCACCCAGCACCATGGCCTCCTCTGGGCGGGGGAGGGGTGTGTGAGGCCAGGGAGGACGCTGGGCATCTGTTTGGGGTTTTCTGCTTCAGGACGGGGATTTCTCCTCCGGATGGCAGGGCTGGACCTCCCCGAGTGTGGGCTGTGGGGGTGTGCGGGGTGGGAGGAGGTGCCTGGGCTGGGGGAACCTCCGCCTGTGGGTTCCCCGCTGACTTCCCAGAAACGCCTGGCTCTCTCTCCGGAGGAGGCAAAGGGTCGGGAGCCCCGGCATGTTGCCCTGGCTTTCCCGTTGGTATGACACCGGAGTGGGAGGGTGGCCCCGGGTCAGAGGAAGTGGCTTTCCGGAGGATGGCTTTCCAGGCCTCCCGGAACCCTCCCAGAGCCCTGGAGGCAGGAGGTGAGAGGCCCAGCTACCCGCCAGCCTCAGCCCTGAGCCCTGGGGGTACTGATGTCCGGGGGTACAGCACCCTGAGCACCTGGTTCCTACCCGGGGCCCCAGCTGAGGCAGCTGGCTTTAGAGAAGGGCTGCTGGCGGGGCCCAGGCTGAGTCAGCGCTTTCACTGGGCCTTCTCTGAGCTCCACGTCCACCCCGAGCGGGGGTAGTGACCCGTGATCCCAGCTACCAGTGTTGACCTTGTGATTGATGGCCCCGTGTCAGCGAGCACCTCCCTGCTTCTCCCTCAACTCGCAGATTTCTCTTTACTCCTAGCCGCCCCCCTCTCCTACCTCCCCGACTTCAGGCTAACCTCATCCCTGGTCAGGAGCAGTGGGAGAGGAGATGGGGTGGACCCCAGGGAAGCAGTGACCAAGTGGCCTTGACCAGGCCTTGCTGAACGCCCCCCTCCCCGCCAAAGCCTGTCTGCCCCGCGGGAGAGGTGGCCACCTTTTAAAACAAGGGCCTCTCTGCCCGGGGTCCAGGAGCTGCCAGATGACCCACCCCCCCACCCCACTCCTGGTCCAGGGCAAGGCCTGTGGTTTGGGGTTCTGTGGCAGTCCGGGCGCCAGTCCGGATGCCAGCAGCGTCACCCTTCTCATGCTGTGCCCATGCACGTGAGGACAGTTAGGGAACTGGGAACTCCTTGGTTGTGCAAGAGGCACAAGGCCATGAATAAGCAGAAGGGGAAGGAAGCGCCTCTGTGGCTGTCGAGGATGCCCGCACCTGCCGCAGAGCTGGGGCGCTGACTGCAGGGCAGGGGTCGGCTGTGGAGGGGGGCCCCGGGGAGGGACCAGAGCCCCCTAGGGGCAGTTGGTTGAGTCAGGGCCTTGGTTCCCAGGTCTGCCGTTTATTTGCCCACAAGGGTGTGCCTGTGGACGGGTGGTCCCTCCCAGCTCCCTCCGCTGCCGTGTATTCACCTGTGAAATGACCAGTAACCATTCTTGTCTTGGGGCGGGGGGCACCCAGGGCCGGAGCAGGCTGCAGTTGGAACCTTGGTGGGTGCGTCTTGTCCACAGCTGCCGTGGCTGGCGGGGTGAGGACGTGGGGGCTGGGGGCAGTCCCCACCCCTCCAGCTGTGATCCTGTTCCATTCTGGACTGGAGGTCCCTGTGGCCACCCGCCTTTGCCTCGTCCGGGGACAGAAGGTGTCCTGACAGGCCCTGACACTCCCGCCCGGCGGCTGGGCGCTGTCTTTGCAGAGCTCCACACAGGAGATCGGCGAGGAGCTGGTCAACGGGGTCATCTACTCCATTTCCCTACGGAAGGTCCAAGTGCACCACGGCGCCAACAAGGGCCAGCGCTGGCTCGGGGTGAGTGTGGGAGGGCCCGGGGTCCAGGGGCCGCTCCGCGGGGCTCCCTGCCGGGCTTGCCTGCCAGAAGGCCCCTAGTCCTGCTCCCACAGGGGTCTGGGCCCCCACCCTGCCCCCCACAGCCCAGCCCACAGTACACTGCTCTCTTATTTGTGTGAAACATCAAAAAGACACTTTCTCTTTTCCCTTCATGTTAGGCCGGGATAGCAGGGTAAGGGAGTTAGAGAAGGCAAGGTTCTGGAAAAGATCGAGGCCGGCAGTTTATAGGAATGGATCGCCTTTAATGAGGCGAGAAGGGGCAACAGTCAGATTGGTGAGCTGCTAAGAAGAGTCAGTATATAGAGGCATGGAAATTTTAGAGTTTGCGGAAATCTGCTGTCTTAAGGGGCCTGTTCTTCTCCAGGGTTGTTACCCTACAGGGATTATTTATGCATTTTGCCTCAGGTGTTGTTGCTTTTTTTCTTTTTCTCTTTTTCTATTGTGGATAATCGGTAGGTGTCCGCCTTTATTTACTTGTTTTATTGTTTGGCCACACTACGCGGCAGGCATGCGAGATCTTAGGTCCCCAGTGGGGTGGGGTGGTTCTGCGCCTCCTGCGTTGGAAGCGTGAAGTCTCAACCACTGGGCCGCCGGGGAAGGCCCTGCCCGGCACTGTCGTGGGTGCCCATCAGCCTGACCACACCTCTCCAAGCTTACGTCATTTTACTTACTAGGGCTTTAAAAAAAAAAAAAACCCGAAGGGCTCAGGCTACTGTATATGTTCTCCACAACCACTATGATGGAGCCCAGCCCCACAACCCCTCCAGGTCGGAGCAGGGGCCTGAAGGATGCACAGCCATTCGGAAGGGAGGCCGGTTGCCACCGTGACTCAGGCTTTTGCAGCCTGGGACTTGGGCAGAGTTCCTTTCTGCGGCCGTTTCCCCAGTGCTGCGCCAACAGCCTCTGTGTGCAGACATACTGCTCCCAGTACCCGGGGGACGAGCCTCTGTTTTCTCACCTCTAAAATGGGTCTGTTTTGCCAGAGCTCATGGGGATGATCCTCTTCATATTGACGAGCTATGACCACTACTCAGCTAACAAAATGACCTCAAGGAGTTGTTTTTCATCATCCCCACCTCCAGTCCGAGCTGAGACCCTAGTTCCTTTTGGAGCACTCACGTTCCCTTCTCCGGCCAGAGGTCACCAAGCACTTGGGACTTCCTCTGAGCTCCAGCCACCCCCCTGCCCACCCCTCGGGCTGCAGCTGACCGTCCATCCTTCTTTGTCTTGCCCAGTGTGAAAATGAGTCGGCCCTGAACCTGTACGAGACCTGCAAGGTGCGGACCGTGAAGGCGGGCACGCTGGAGAGGCTGGTGGAGCACCTGGTGCCCGCCTTCCAGGGCAGCGACCTCTCCTACGTCACCATCTTCCTGTGCACCTACCGAGCCTTCACCACCACCCAGCAGGTCCTGGACCTGCTGTTCAAGAGGTGAGCGCCCCGCTCCTCCCTGCCCCACCGACGGCTGTGTGTCTTGGGGATGTCGCTTTGCCTCGCTGAGCCTCAGTCTGATCCTGTGAAGGCCAGCTGCAGGAGGCCTGGCCTCACAGCGCTGGCAGGACCGTCAGATTAGCAGCCTCACGCCCGGCCCTGTGGAACGGGCTGCTGAGGGTTGGCGGGGTTTTAATCAAGGTGTTCCTCCACCGTGAAGGGGCTCCCCTGGTGGCTCAGTAGAGAAGCTGCCTGCAATGTGGGAGACCCAGTTCACTCCCTGGGTCAGGAAGATCCCCTGGAGAAGGCAATGGCTACCCAGTCCAGTATTCTTGGCTGGAGAACCCCATGGATGGAGGAGCCTGGCGAGCTATAGTCCATGGGGTTGCAGAGAGTCAGCCACAACTGAGTGACTCACTGTCACTCTTTGCACCCATGAAGAAGCTGTCTGCCTCCAACCCTGGGTAGAGCCGTCTTCCCATTTGTAAAGAAGTTCAGGATCCTGTCTTGGGGTCCCCTCCTGGGATTAGCCAGAGCAGGGATCGCTGGGGGCTGGCAGAGGCCCCCATGGCCCCTCAGGTGTCTGTAAGGTGCTGGTTGGGGTTCATTTATTCAGCAAATCCATATGAAGCACCTACTGTGTGCAGGCACTTTTTTGGGCTTTTGGCTTAATTCAGGGAAGGGGGCAGACAGGAATCCTGCCCTCCCAGGCTTCCATGCGAGTCAGGGGGTCAGCCAGTAACACTGGACGTCATAGCAGGTACGGTAGATGTGACGCCCTCACGGCCTCCTCTAGATACGGGTGCATCCTTCCCTACTCCAGTGAGGACGGCGGACCCCAGGACCAACTCAAAAAGTGAGTGCACCTCGGGTCTGGTGGGAGGGTCTCCTGTCTACAGGGTGGGGACCAGCGGGGGCTGAGGCTGGGGAGGCCTGAGCAGAACCCTGGCTCCCCCATATTTTGTGATTCCTGCTGGAGGGCCAAGGTCTGGGCGCTTCTCCTGCAGGAGGAAAGGGCTTGGAGGGCTGTGGCTGGGGTCCCGGCTCCCCAGGAAGCAGAGGGAAGGCAGGGCCGGCCCCTGAGAGCAAGTTCAGGTGCAGGAGGCTCGTGATGGCCGGGCGGGGGGCTCTGCTTGTCCCCTCCTCCCTCCCAGGTTTATGCAGCACCTACGTGTGCGGCACCTACTGTGTGCAGCCAGGCCAAACCAATGAACAGAGCAGGTGTGGCCCTCCCTGCCCTCCTGCAGTTCCTTTTCCAGGGTGGGGGACCCAGAGTGGAGGTGGGAGGCAGACAGGAGTGAGTCAGGCTCCCCCAGGAAGGGAGAGGTGGTCACCGTGGACAGAGGCCTCCCTCCTGCCGAGACTGCCCACCCCCCTGCCGACCAGGCCTTGGCCTCCAGATGGGTGGGGTGGGCCCAGAAGCCCAGCCCCTAGGGGTGCCGGGGAGGGCCGAGGGGAAGGAAAGGCCAAGCCCTTGACTCTGCTGCCCGCCCACCCCACCAGTGCCGTCTCCTCCATCCTGGGCACCTGGCTGGACCAGTACTCGGAGGACTTCTGTCAGCCCCCCGACTTCCCCTGCCTCAGGCAGCTGGTGGCCTACGTGCAGCTCAACATGCCCGGCTCCGACCTGGAGCGCCGGGCCCACCTCCTCCTGGCCCAGCTGGAGCACGCGGACCTCGGCGAGGCAGAGCCAGAGGGTGAGGAGGGCAGGGTGGGTGCTGGACTCAGGGGGGCACCCCCATGGCAGATCCGGAGGGTGAGGAGGTCGGGGTGGGCGCTGGACTCGGGGGGGGGGGTGCCCCCACAGAAGCTGCTGGGCCGGGAACAGATTGGCCTCAGACCGCCCGTGTGGGGACCGCCGTCGGGGACGACATCCTGTTGTGGGCACTTAGGGCCAAGGCTTCCCTGGAAGGCAGGGGCATGCTTTCTGTCTTGGAAGGGCAGACGTGCCACTGACCTTTTCTCCTCTTGCAGCTCTGTCCTCAGCTCCAGTTCCAGCTCTGAAACCAGCTGCTGAGCCAGAGCCCGCACTAGGCCCAAACCTCGAGCCAGCTCCGGCACTGGCCCCAGAGCCAGCCCCGACGCCAGCTCCAACGCCGCCTCCAGAGCTCGAGCCGGCTCTCTCGCAAACTCTAGAGCTCGAGCCAGCTGCAGCCCCAGAGCCCCCCTGGCCTTCGCCCGTGGCCGCAGAGAACGGGCTCGGGGAGGGGAAGCCCCACCTCCTGGCGTTCCCTCCTGACCTGGTGGCGGAGCAGTTCACGCTGATGGACGCGGTAGGCAGCCCCGTCTTGACAAGGGTGGGCACGGGCACCCCTTCCCTCTGGTCTCTGCCGCCCAGACCCCCCGGGCCCCATCCAGAGCAGGTGGTGGTGGTTTGATCGCTCAGTCGTGTCCGACTCTTGCGACCCCGTGGACTGTAGCCCACCAGGCTCCTCCGTCCGTAGGATTTTTCCAGGCGAGAATACTGGAGTGGGTTGCCATTTCCTTCTCCAGGGGATCTTCCCCACCCAGGAATTAAACCTGGGTATCCTGCACTGCAGGCAGATTCTTTACCGACTGAGCTACGAGGGAAGCCCGGAGCAGGTGTCCCACCCCAAGGCCCAGTGCCACCATCACACATGTGTCACCTGGGCAAGGGTCCCAGCCCCACAGCCTCGGTGCCCTCCAGGCTGTGGACCTGGGGCCCTGCCCTCCACACGCTTTGACGGTGGATGTCATTGGGTGGAACAGTCGGAAGTTGGGTGGGGTCTGGCCCCCTTGGGCGGGGCGAGGAGGGCTCACTGAGGTGCTGCCAGCTCCCGGGACAGCCCCACCTCCGCCGCGCCCCGGGTCTGCTGAGGAGGCCTCCCAGGCTCCTGCATTTATTAGGCACCTGATGTGTGTTAGAGGCCAGGGCAGGCAGCAGACAAAGGCTGTGGTTGTAGCACCCGGGTGAAGGTCCTCAGAGGGGCAGGCCTGAGCTGTGAGCCGGGGCTAGGATGCCACTGGGCTGGGCAGGCATGAGTCTCTTCTGGCGCTGAGTCAGGATGGGCTGGTGACAAGGCCCAGCTAGCTCTCTCCTGCCAGTTTCATCCTGGGTCATTGACCTGCTGGGCGCCCCCAGTGAACAGGGAACAAAACCTTGAGATTTCACCCGCCAGGCAGCTCCCCACCGCACCACCTCCCCAGCGTCCTGAGCTCCAGCTATGACCAGGGACCCCGTGGCACCCCGAGAGACTGGGGGGGATCTGGGGTGCTGAGTCGGGGTGCGGCAGAGTCAAGTGACCCTCCCCCGCCCCCCCAGGAGCTGTTCAAGAAGGTGGTCCCCTACCACTGCCTGGGCTCCATCTGGTCCCAGCGGGACAAGAAGGGCAAGGAGCACCTGGCCCCCACCGTCCGTGCCACCGTCACCCAGTTCAACAGCGTGGCCAACTGCGTCATCACCACCTGCCTTGGGGACCGGAGTGTGTCGGCCCGCCACCGGGCCAGGGTGGTGGAGCACTGGATCGAGGTGGCCAGGGTACGCACGCCCTCCAGGGCCCGGTGACCCACCCCGGGATTGAGTTCAGACCTTCCCCCTGGGGTGGGGGGCGTTCCTCACGGAGTCCCAGGGGTACCTCCCAGGGCGTCCGTCTCTTCTGGGAGGGGGCTTCCCTCCGAGAGGGGCCAAAGCCGGAGCAGGCGGGCTGGGCCCCCTCACAGCCTGTCCCCTTGCCCCCCCAGGAGTGCCGGGTCCTCAAGAACTTCTCCTCCCTCCACGCCATCCTCTCTGCCCTGCAGAGCAACTCCATCCACCGGCTGAAGAAGACGTGGGAGGAGGTCTCCAGGTGGGCAGTCCTCTCCCCGGAGGGGCTCCAAGCTGGAGCTCCGGGGGCCCTCCCGCGGGTTCGGGGGTCCTCCCCCAGTGAGCCTGTAGCTTGCCAGAATGTGCGGCCTCCTAGGGGGTGGGGTCCCCCAGGGCCCACTGGCCTTAGGTCTGCGGTTCTGCCTCGGGATTCGGTTTCCTTCTCTGGCGGGTACTGGATTGAGCCTCCCTGGAGGTTTCTTTGTGTTTACTTCACAGCCACACAACTCCGTCCACTTAATATCAACACAGGGCCCCTTAGTCTAACAGGCATGGGGGGCCCGGGTGACCCACAGGAGAGCCTCCCCAGGCACCTGGAGCCCTTAGCGTGCAGCGGAGCCCTGTTTGAAAACCACTGCCGTGCAGGCGGAGGGAGTCTCTGGGTCCTTATGTGATTTTGCCCACGTGCCACCCCCGCCCCGTGCCATTCCCACTTTCTCCTTCCTTCCCCAGGGACAGCCTCCGCGTCTTTCAGAAGCTGTCGGAGATTTTCTCAGACGAGAACAACTACTCCCTAAGCAGAGAGCTGCTCATCAAGGTAAGAGGAGGAGGCGTAGGGTGGGGTGGGGGGCTGACGTTCCCATTGGAAGTTTCTGTGAAAACTCCTCCTGGGGTCTGTTTGGCCCATGGGCCATTGTGGGGGGCACTCTGGGGACGGGAGGCCCTGGTCCAAGGAGGGCGCAGTCCAGGGCTGCTGCAGAGCTCTGGGGGGTGAGGGGCGAGATCAGAGTCCCCTGGGTCCTCGCTGGTTCCCCCCAGGCCCCCAGAGGGGATGGGATCCAGGCTGCGGTCTCCTCCCTCCCCAGCCCAGCCTGTCCCCAGGAAGCCAGGCGCTGCCGCTTCTCTCCCTGCACTGCCCCCGAGGACCGGGCCCCCTGCCCGCCCAGGGACTGTCCTGCAGGGACTTCCAGCCCAGAGTCCCAGTGAGCTGGCCCAGGAGGTGGGCCTGGGGGATGGGGGCTCCTCACGCTGTCCCAGGGCAGACCCTGCCGATGCATCCCGTGGACACTTCTCGGATTCTCACCACGGGGCCCCTCTCGGCCGTGACAAATACCCCAGACGGCTGGGGGCAAGTGCAGGGGGTCCCCGCGTTCACCGGGGCCCCTCCACAGAAGCTTCCACAGAAAAGGGGAAGCAGAGTGGCAGCCCCAGCTTCCCCTGTCAGAGGTGGCACGCAGGAGACCCCTCCGGAGTGGGCGAGGGCCCAGTTCTGTGCAGGAGATGTCCAGACGGGCTCCGGGCGGCTGTGGAGCCTTTGGCACGGCGGACACCCCGCCCCAGCCAGCCCCGAGTCCCTGTCCCTCTCGCCAAGGCCCGCCTGAGCTCTGAGCCCAGGACCTGCTCCCTGGAGGGCAGTGGTGGGGGGCGGGGGGTGGCCAGATTCCTGCTCTCCTGAGTGCATCCGAGATGAGGGAGATGGGGGCGGGCAGCACAGGTGATGGAGGTGTGACCCAGTCCTGGGAGACCCCATGGGGCAGGTGTGGTCCTCTTTCCAAATGAGGAGACAGGCTCAGGGAGGCCAGGCTGCAGGCCCAGCTTCCCACCCCGTGAGGGCCGGGTCAGGGGTGCAGTTCTAGAAGCCGGGTGTGCTGGGGTGGCTGGAGCGTTTGTGCCAGTGACCAAGGCCGAGGTGGGTCTGCTGGTGATGTAAGGAGGGGGACGGGGCAGGAGGGCTCACCGACGCTGTCCTCGGCCCTGCAGGAGGGGACCTCCAAGTTTGCCACCCTGGAGATGAACCCCAAGCGAGCCCAGAGGCGCCCGAAAGAGGCGGTGAGCATGCTTAAGGCTGGGGGCGGTGGGGGAAGCCCCTTGAGCCCCGCTCCTGGGGCTGCGCTTCTGGACGTGCCCATTAGCTAGACCCCCTCTGGGCCCTGGTGGTGTCCTGACCAGCTGAGGTCCCCGGGGACTGTAGCTGAGCAGGGTCCCGGAAGAGCTGGCTCAGTGGGGTTTGGTGGTGGGGATGGGGGGCAGGGGCCAGGGACCGTGTGATCGCGGGGGATTTGCCAAATGCCAGCCTTGAGGGCGACTAGAGGGAGTTTGGGATCCGCGGACCCTGGGAGGGGGGTTGCGGAAAGATGACTAAAGGTGCCCAGGGTGCTCCAGGTGGGGGCCTGGGTGGGCTGGGGAGGAGGGGCCTGGGGCTTTGCTCATCAGCACCCACCCCCCCATGTCCCAGGGTGTCATCCAGGGCACTGTTCCCTACTTGGGCACGTTCCTCACGGACCTGGTGATGCTGGATACTGCCATGAAGGACTATCTGTATGTGAGTGAGCCCAGGGGCGGGGCTGGGCTGGGGCTCCTGGGCCCTGCACTCTCAGCAGAGGGCGTGCCCCGTCTCACGAGTGCCCCTGGCCGCCCTTGTGTCCGGGAGACGCCCGCCTGTCTGCCGGTGGGTGGGGCTCGGGGCCGCAAGGGGAGCAGGCTACAGCCCCTCCCTCAGGCGGTGGCTGTGGGTGGAGAGAGGCTGGGCCCTCCTGCCCAGGGCCTCAGTCTCTCCAGCTGTCCCCAGACCCAGAGCCTCGGGCCACCGCCCTGATCCCACCCAGGTCCGGCTCTGTGCTCCGCTGCCCCCTGGCGTTTTTCCTGGGTAGTGCATCCTGAGTACGGGCGAGCGGGTGGTCGTGGGCAAGGGGACACTTTCTAATGGACGCTGGCTGTCTGCTTTGCAGGGGAGACTGATCAACTTCGAGAAGAGAAGGAAGGTGAGCAGCCACAACCTCACAGGAAGGGGACAGGTGTTGGGGGGGCGAGGGAGGTCAGAGTCCCACCCGATTAGAACACCTGGTGCCACCCTCCCCCTTCCTATTACATTTTGGAGGAGAGTTGGATATGGAAACAGTGGGGGAGCTTCTCCCACAGGAGGGTAGGACAGGAAGTCGAGTCAAGAATAGTTTCTGTGGGGCTGTTTGAACCCGGCTTTGAGGACAAGGTGGAAAGAGGGGACCCAGAGGCTGTCCCAGGCCTGGCCCCACAACACGCCCCAGCTGTCAGCATCCCATCCTTCCCTCTGGCCCCCAGGAATTCGAAGTGATCGCCCAGATCAAGCTGCTCCAGTCGGCCTGCAACAATTACAGCATCACACCGGAAGAGCACTTCGGGGCCTGGTTCCGGGCCATGGAGCGACTCAGCGAGGCTGAGAGGCGAGTATGGCAGGGGCTGGCAGGGCGTGGCCGGGCCGCTCCCGAGAACCTGTGGACTGGGGTCCTGGCCAACCTCCAGCTCTGCCACTGGTGACAGCTGGGCCCCTGGGCTCCCTCTGCCGGACAGGCTCAGGGTCAGAGCCCCGAGTGTGGCTTCTGGCAGCCTCACGGCCCTGCTCTGTCCTATAGTTACACATTGTCATGCGAGCTAGAGCCCCCCTCCGAGTCGGCCAGCAACACCCTCAAGGTCAAGAAGAACACGGCCATCGTCAAGCGCTGGAGCGAGTGAGTGCCTGTGCTCTCTTGGGGTGAGGGAAGCTTTGAAGGGAGATCCAGACAGTTGGCAGTGAGATCACAGCTCCTCCACTCACAGCCCTTTGACGGGGCCATCTGCCTCACTCCTCTCGGCCTCAGTTTTTGCCTCTGTGAAGTGGGTTGATGCTAGATGATCTGTTGGAGGCTGGAGCCCATGGGGTGATTGCCTGCGCACCCAGCACGGAGGGTAGGGGACAGGACAGTAAGCCAGCCCTTCTGTGCAGCCGCCAGGTCCCCAGCGCAGAGCTCAGTACCAGCGGCAGCTGCCACTCCAAGTCCTGTGACCAACTCAGGTGCGGCCCCTACCTCAGCAGCGGGGACATTGCTGACGCACTCAGCGTCCACTCGGCCGGCTCCTCCAGCTCCGACGTGGAGGAGATCAACATGAGCTTCGTCCCAGAGTCCCCCGACGGCCAGGAGAAGAAGGTGACCATCCCCCCGCTTCCCCAGCAGCCCTTCCCAGCCCTCGGTTCCTAGGGCCAAGGTCCCCCGCTCCACGTTAGGAGTCCCCCCCGTGCTGGACGCTGGCCCGGGGCACCTGCTGACCGTGCCGTTGCCCACAGTTCTGGGAGTCAGCCTCCCAGTCGTCCCCGGAGACCTCCGGCATCAGCTCGGCCTCCAGCAGCGCGTCCTCCTCCTCGGCCTCCACCACGCCCGTGGCCAGCTCGCGCACCCACAGGCGCTCCGTGTCCGGGGTCTGCAGCCACGGCCCCTCACTGCCCCTCTACAACCAGCAGGTGGGCGACTGCTGCATCATCCGGGTGAGCCTGGACGTGAACAACGGCAACCTGTACAAGAGCATCCTGGTGAGCCGCAGGCCCCCCGTCCCGCTGGGCAGCAGACCCGTGTGGAGCGCCGTGGTCACCCCGCCCCCGGAGTGGCCTCCCCATGGGGTGGGGGGGACGGAGGGCCAACCAGACGCAGGACTGAGAAGACCAGTGGTGACCACCAATGGTGATCAGTGCTGCGGGCGGTGGGCCAGGGTTTCAGCAGCAGCGGGGCAGGGCCTCCCCGGTAAAGGGCCTGAGCTGGGGAGAGGCGTGTGCCTGGGGCTTGGGGGGAGCAGCAGGAGGCCCTGGGTGAGGGAGCCGGCGTCAGGGGACAAGTCGAGGTCAGGGGAGTGTCAGGGGCCTGGACCTGGGGGGAGGGAGGTGGGAGCCCCTGTAAGCTGGAGCAGAGGAGGACCGGTAGTGACTTTCGGCTTCTCCCTGGGGGATGGGCAGGGAGGCCGTTTAGGAGGCTGCTGGCGCTGCACCAGGCTGGTGGCTGGCAGTCTCAGACATGGGATATAATTAGAAGTTCTGACATCTAGCCAGCAAGAGTTGCCCACAAACGTTGTGTGTACTTGTGGGGCGGTCACTGGGGGGACTCTTCTCATTCTCCAGAACTCAGGCTGCTGATGAGCCATTTGCACACCCCACCCCACCCCACCCCACCCCCACGACCCTTCCTATCCACCCCCACTGGGTCAGGAGTCCCTTTATAACACCATCACCTTTGTCACCCTATGTCCAAGGCCTGCCTGTGATCTGGCCCTCGGGGTTGAGGCAGCAGGGGTCCACACTGTCCACCACTACAGCTCCAGGCCGCGCAGGCCTGGCACGGAGGCGGCCACCGGGCACCCAGCCAGCTCCCCCTCTCTCCCCTCCAGGGCGGGACTAGATGCTGTCTGCACCCAGGCCGCGTGGATACCGTTGACCTGGGTGGGCAGAGTTGAGGGGAGCAGCCCCCCCAGGGGCAGGCGATTTTCCTCGGTGGTGTGGCAGGTGGGGGCAGGCTTTCAGGAAGGAGGGCAAGAGTGATTGGGAATGACCCCTTGTCATTGCATGGAGGCCTCCCCAGAGGAGCAGGAAAAGCTGGTGTGACCCGCATGGACCCAGCACCCGGCCAAAGGCTGTGCCGTGCGCACTGCGCTGAGACAGCTCTGAGGACCCACCCCAGACCCCTGCCCTGACGGCCCATCCCCTGCCCCATCCAGGTGACCAGCCAAGACAAGGCTCCGGCTGTAATCCGCAAGGCCATGGACAAACACAACCTGGATGAGGACGAACCCGAGGACTATGAGCTGGTGCAGGTTATTTCAGATGATCGGAGTGAGTCAGGGCCGGCCGGGTGGGCGCTGGGGCAGGGGAGAAGTGGGTTTCGTCCGGACACTGACCTGCCTAGGGTCTCCTCATGGCCCCTGCTGGCCGCTGGGCCCTGTCTCCTGCCCCTTCCTGGCCGCGAACCTCAGTGGGAAACCCCGATCAGCGCGGGCATTGTTCAGGGAGGGAGAGAAAAAAAGGCTTTTCTCCTGGGGCCAGGCAGCCAGATGGCTGAGCCCACAGGCTATTCGCAGAGGCATTTTCTGACTAAGATGGCAAATGTGTCCTTCCAAGAGAACCATGCCGGCCGGGACCAGAGCCTCAACTCTGTGAAAGTCCACGCACACGTGACCTAAGCCTGTTCTGGCTGCTGTAACAACATACCCCCGCTGGTGGCTTCTGAGTCTTGGGTCAGCGTGCCAACGTGGTCAGGTTCTGGTGAAGGCCCTCTTCTGGGTTCCTGGTGTCCTGTCACAGTGAAAGGGGGTAGGGAGCTCTCTGGGGGTCTCTTTTATAAGAGCAAACGTCCTCCTTCATGGGGCTCCACCCTCATGACCTCATGGCCTCCCAAAGCCCCCACCTTCCAATCCCATCACCTTGGAAGTTGGGATTCCGGGGAATTTAGAGAGAACACAAATTTGAGCCTGTAGCAGATGCTGAGCTCAAAGACTCCGGGTAGAAAGGGGGACGGGGAAAGGATCGCAAACAAGCAGGCTTGGAGCCAGGCAGCATCGGCTGGGAGCCCTCAGGCGACTAACTGAAGCTTTTGTGCCTGTTTTCCCGTCCCGACATGGAGATGGAATAGGCAGTGAGCTGATCCATGTTTATATGGATTACATGCTCATGTATGTACGTGTGCCATCAACGCGCCAGAACTGCAAATATTATCGTCACTCTTAGCATCTTTCCCATGAGCTGATCGCCCACACACAGCCGTCACCCAGACAGTTAGCAATGACCCCCACAGTCCCTAGAAAGTGTTATTAGTTGCTCACTCGTGTCTGACTCTCTGTGACCCCGTGGACTGTAGCCCACCAGGCTTCTCTGTCCGTGGAATTCTCCAGGCAAGAATGCTGGAGTGGGTAGCCTTTCCCTTCTCCAGGGGATCTTCCTGACTGAGGGATTGAATCTGGGCCTCCTGCACTGCAGGCAGATTCTTTACCATCTGAGCCGCAGTCCCTGGAAGTTATTTGCTAATTCCTTTCTCACCTTGCCCCGTTTTAGGTGAGGTGAACAGGGTGGGTGGGACTCGCCCTTCTTACAGAAAAGGAAGACTGGGGCCTAGCCAGGTTGAGGACCAGAGTAAGAGCTACACGGTGGAGCCCAGAGCACACATTCCAGCCCAGCTGTGGGGAATAGCTGGCTCAAGGCGGAGGAGGGGGCGGGAAGCAGAGCCAAGAGCAGCTGCCTGCTGGGGCCCTGGGACCCAGGGGGCATGGAGGCCTCCCTGAAACCCTGCGCTGGGCCAGGGGCAAAGCCTGCCCTTCACAGAACCCAGAGCCCTTGTCCTAAGTTGGGTGGGATTCAGGGGAGGTGGTCTGGGCTCTGGAAAACTTACTCCACCTGGAGAATCCTGTTCAGTGGAGGCAGCAGGGGACAGGACGGGGCGACCCTTTGCCAGCTACAGACTGAGGTGGGGCTTTCTGGAGTCAGAGCCCTTCTTTAAACAAGAGTCGCTGGTTTCCAATGCCTCAGTAAAACACCTCAGGCAGGGGTCATTCAGAGGGGCCCTTGGTGGCCCTGGAGTTGCATGGGGTGCCTCCTGTCTCTGGATCAAGCCTGCCCTGGGGGGCTCTCCAGCGGTGTGGTGTGCTGTGGGGTTCCCGTAAGCCCAGCTGACCCTCTGCCCCTCCCCGACCAGAGCTGAAGATCCCTGACAATGCCAACGTGTTCTACGCCATGAACTCTACCGCCAACTATGACTTTGTCCTCAAGAAACGGACCTTCACCAAGGGGACAAAGGTCAGGCATGGAGCCAGCTCGACCCTCCCCCGCATGAAGCAGAAGGGACTCAAGATTGCCAAGGGCATCTTCCCTTAGCTGCCAGCCACAGAGCCACCCTTTCCAGGGTCTGGCTAGCCAGGCAACTAAGCACTTAAAGACTACGGTGAGCCAGGCCAGGCGGGACACGTCTGCCCAACCCGCCCAGCCCAGGCCACCTCCAGACTCGTTTCACCCCAAACCTCCCCTGTTGCCGGGATTGACGCCTGCCTGCCGGTGGGCTGACCTGGCCTCCCGTGGACCACTCGCTGCCTTAGGTGCCTTCTGCCGTCTGGAACCGGAGGACTAGCTGAACCTTTGCCGAGGAGCGCGGCCAGTGGGCGGGTGGCCCTGCCTGCTGCCCCGCCCGGGCCCCCCGTACGCCTCCCGCACACCCTCCCAGGTGTGGACCACTGCCACCCGTGCCCGTGGGCACCCCCAGGGCACCCACCTCTCCACCGGCTCTCACCACTGCAGTTCTCTCCTCCCACCACGCTGGCCTTGCCTCAGGCTGCACCAAAGATTCCATCTTCAGGGCCAACCGAAGGTGAGGGAGTCTCACCCACTGCCCACTCCAGCCCTCCCCCGGGAGAGGAGAGAGAGAGACCCCCTTCACGGACCAGACTCTCTAACTGGTGAGTGAGGATGGTCTCGGGTGAGTCCCGCTGATAGCGGCTCTCCTGACCCTGCAAGTACTGTTCGCCGCTGCATCCTGGGCTTAACGAGACCACACGAGACAGGGGCTAGTGGGAAAAGGAGGAATTGGGGGGAGGGGAGGGGGACTGAATATTTGTATAAAAGGTGAAAAAAAATGTTTACCAGTTGGGGAGGGGCAATATTTATTTGTTGTAAATAGCAAATGCTAGACTTGAATCTTATATTAAAATCCTGTTTCTACTATAGCCTGAGAGTTGTGGTAAAGTTGTTCTTTTCAGGGCCTGTGCTCATTTAAATGAGACACAGGCTCTCACATTCTGTGTTCAGATAGGAAATCTGGCAGGGTTATTGGTTTATTTTGTGCAGGAAAAGCAAGAAGGGCCAGCCAGCCTTCTCAGGCTGACTTTAGGAAACAGAGACGTTCACCTTTCACAGACTGTATATTCACTTCAGTACCATTAAACTGGGCCACACGCTGAGACAGCTCCTCAGAATCCCTGGTATTTGAATTTGGGAGTGCTTTCACATGGCATAGCAACAACCTGTGAAATTCCAGTGTGTTTAAAAATAGCATTTTGATGGCTCGGAAGGTAAAGAATCTGCCTGCAGTATAGGAACCATAGGAGATGCAGGTTCAGTCCCTGGGTTGGGAGGATCCCCAGGTTCAGCAAGTGACAACCCATTCCGGTGTTCTTCCCTGAAAGAATCCTACGGACAGAGGAACCCGGAGGGCCGCAGTCCACAGGGTTGCGAAGAGTCAGACGCAGCTAAGCACCACAGAAGGTGACGGCATAAGGGACAGTCTCTCCACGGAAACAGCGATTAGGCTGGGGGAGGAAGCTATCAGAATCAGCACTTCTGGGGCTCAGCAATGTCATCAGACACGACACCCCGGAGAGCGCTTGAAGAAAGGTGATGCTGCCGGACTTCAGCTGTTACGAACCTCTGCGCCAGGTCACACCCCCGACCCCCGAGACGAGGGGGCAGAGGATGCAGTGACAACACACACAACAGGGAATACAGGCCTCGCAGAAACAGTTTGGGAACGTGACCACAGAAACGGAAAACAGCAGCCCCCAGGCAACAAATGCACATCCCGAGGAGGGGGAGAATCTGATTTCCAGAGCTGCCATATTATAATACTCCACATCCAGTTCTCAACAGATCACAGACCATATCAAGAGACCAAAAATAGGGCTTGTTCACAGGAAAAAAGGAATTTGACAGTAACTATACCTGAGGCAGCTCAGATATTAAAATAATCAAAGACATCAAGTGAACTGTCTTAAATATGCTCAGCTGAAAGAAACCATGGACAAGAAACTAAAGGAAATCAAGAGGACAATGTAAGAATATGTAGGGATTTAGTAAAAAGGTAGAAATGATAGGGACTTCCCTGGTGGTACAGTGGCTAAGAGTCCGCCTGCCAATGCAGGGGACACGGGTCCCCTGACCCAGGAAGATTCCCCATGCTGTGGAGCAACCAAGTTCATGTGCCCCAGCTGCTGAGTCCACGCTCTGGAGCCCACAAGTCGCAACCGCGGCGCCCGTGTGCAGAAACTACAGGGCCCCAGTGCTGCAGCCACCGAAACCCACACACCTAGAGTCTGTGCTCGGCGACTAGAGCAGCCGCCGCGATGGGTACCCCGGGCCCACAGCGGACAGGAGCCCCCGCTTGCCACAACTGGAGGACAGCCCGAGCAAGCAGCGGGGGCCCAGCGCAGCTAGCAATTAAATACATAAAATTTTAAAAAAAGGTGGAAATTCCAAAAAGAAACCAGATGGAGATTCTGACGCTGAAAAGTACAGTAACTGAAGTGAAAATCTCACTTGAGGGGTTCCCTGGCAGATTTGAGCAGGCAGAAGAATCCGTGAACTTGAAGTTAACAACTCATTGACCAGGGAAGTATTAATCTATTTTTTGTTACCTGAACGTTATTGACCAGAAACATTTCAATATGCACTACATGACAAACTGCCGGCCACAGTGTTCATTTCAGCAAAAATCCCCTGGTCAGTAATGTGTTAACAGCAATTGAAGTTATTCTGTCTGAGGAGCAGAAAGGGTGGAAGGAAGAAAATTGAACAGACTCAAAGGGACTTTGGCAACACCATCAAATGTAACAACATGTGCATAGTGAGAGTCCCAGAAAAAGAGATTATTTGAAGAAATAATGGCTGAAAACATCTCAAATTTAATGAAAGACATAAATCTACGCATTAAGAAGCTCAATGAACTCCAAGCAAGATAAACTCAAGAGAGCCACGCAAAGCACGTTACTATACAGTTCTTAAAAGACAAAGAGGAGATCTTGAAAGCAGCAAGAAAGCAATAGTCCTGTGGAAGGACTGTCCCCAGTAAGATTAACAGCTGACTTTTTTCATCAGAAACCATGGCAACCAGGTGGCAGTGAAAGAACATATTTCAAATGTTGAAAGAAAAAGAATTCTATATCCAGTAAACTACCCATTAAGGATGAAAGGAAATCAAGATGTTGCCAGATAAGCAAAGTTACGGGAGTTTGCTATGAATAGTCCTGCCTGCAAGAAATTCTAAAGGGAGCCCTTTAGGCCAAATGAAAAAGCACTAGACAGTAACTCAAAGCCATGTGAAAAAGTAAAGAACACTAGGAGAAGTAACGAATTGGTAATTCTAAAAGCCTTTATTGTTGACTTTGGTTGGTACCTTTTTTCCCTATATGACTTAAAATGCAAACTCAGGGACTCCTGGTGGTCCAGTGGTTAAGACTCCACGCTCCCAATGAAGGGATCCAGGTTTGACCCCTGGCCAGGGAGTCAGCTCCCACACGTCTCAAGGGAAGGTCAAAGATTCCGAGGGCTGCAGCTAGGACCTGGCGCAGGCAAAGAAAAAAATATTTTTTTAAAAAGAAAATTGCCTTGAGACAAATGAAAACAAGAGCAAAGCATACAAAACTTATGGGATACAGAAAAAGTAGTGCAAAGAGGGAATTTTACAGCTTTCCACGCCTACATTAAAAAATAAGACTTCAAATCAGTAACCTGACTGTACACTTAAAGAATTAGAAAAAGAGCAAACTAAACTCCAAGCTAACTGAAGGAAGAAAACGATGAAGATGACAGTGGAGAGAAACAAAACAGAGTGTAGGGAAATAGAGTAAAGTCAACAAAACCAAACCTTGACTCTTTGGGGAAAAAAATTAACGAAATTGGTGTTCAGATAACTAAAAAATGAAAGTGGGACCATCATTACCGATTTTACAGAAAGAAGGATTATAAGAGAATACTAGGACTTGCCTGGCAGTCCAGTGGTTAAGAATCTGCCTGCCAATGCAGGGGACACGGGTTCGATCCTTGGTCCAGGAAGATCCCACGTGCCACGCGCGGGGTAACTTAAGTTTTTGTGCTCCACAACTAGTGAGCCTGAGCTCCAGGGCGCACAGGCCGCAACTTCGGAGCCCATGTGCCTGGAGCCTGTGCTCTGCAACAAGAGAAGACGCTGGCGCACCGCAGCTGGAGAGTGGCCCCTGCTCTCTCTGCAACTAGAGACAGCCCCCGTGCAGCAACAGGAGACCCAGCACAGCCGAAAATAATAAATACCTTTTTAAAGAAGAAAGATTTGAAACAAGGATACCATGCACAATTGTATGCCAACAATATGCACGGTACTATTATTCAGCGTAAAAGGGAATGGCGTTCTGATTCGTGCTGCAACATGGACGGGCCTTGAAAGCACAGGTTCCATTTGTAAGAAACGTCTGGAATAAGCAAAGTGATTGGAACAAAAATGAGAATAGATTACCAAGGCTACGGGCAGAGGGAAGATGGGGAGCTAATGCTTAATGAGCATAAAGTTTCTGTTTGGGGTGATGGTTGCTCAACAGTGTAAGAAGAATTAATGGCACTGAATCATCCTTTTAAAAATAAAATATTGATTTAATATCTAATATTTTAATAAATGTTTATAGAATTAGCATTTTATGTTATATATATATATCCCAATTAAAAATTTAGAAAACTTCCTCGAAAGCTGCTTTTATACAGCTTTTGAGGAAGACGGAACATTTTCTGCTTATCTCATTGGAGTTTCTTTTGACCACCAGTCTACCACTTGTAGATGGTGGATGGCACCACCGACTCAATGGACATGAGTTTGGGCAAGCTCTGGGAGATGGTGAAGGACAGGGAAGCCTAGCGTGCTGCAGTCCGTGGGGCTGCAAAGAGTCGGCAGGACTTGGTGACTGAACCACAACAACTGAAACCACTTGTAGATTTCAAGGTCAGAGTCTGGAATTCCATCAGCACTAAGTGGAGAGAAATTGTAAACAGATCAAAAAGTGAGAGGAAGCAGGCCGGGGTGGGGGGGGGCGATTATCAGCCAGGGGACTATGGACAGGGGGAGATCTGCATGCACCCCGCTCTGGGGCCCTGTGATTGACCCTTGACCTCCTGGAATCCTTGTCTCTCACCTCAGGATTCCTTTTCCTGCTCATTTCATGTCTGGGGCAAGTGTTTGTGATGCAGCTCTTAAAGCCACAGCTGGGCCTCATTCCTTAAGCATTTCGGCTCCTTGTGAGCTGGGATTTCCAGCAACTCTAGGGTTTCTGCAACTTTTAAAGATTTTTTATTTATTTTTAATTGAAGGATAATTGCTTTACAATATTGCTTTGATTTCTGCCATACATCACCATGAATTAGCCATAGGTGTGCATATGTCCTCGGCAACTCTTTATACAATTGTTCTCACCTAGGAGCTCGCTAGGAGGCCACGTGCCTCTCCATGTCAGGCACGTGGGGGCCACTCATCACGGCTGATGTCTGACGAATCCCGGGTGAATGCTGGTTCGTCAGGATAAGGGGGCTCATCCCTGCCAGTGAAGGACCCGTATGCTGCCCTTCTCTGGCTTAGAGTCAGAGACTGTGTGGTTCAGAGGGCCACCGTCTCGCACAATCACCAGTTTAGAAATGCAATCGTGTTGGTACCAACTTTATCCTGAAGGGCAGCTGGACTGGAACCCTTGGAGCTGCAGCCCGTAGGATGGCTGCGCTCTTTGTCCAAGTCTGTGTTGTGGTTATGTCACAGGCAGATGGGAGGCTTGACCCTTTTCTGTGGGGAAGGCTGAAAGATGAGGCATGGGGAGCAGGGGACGCCCCCGAGACCGCCAACCCACAGGCACGCTTGGGCACAGCCTTGCCCATGAAACACTGAAGCACCACGTCTAATCAGGGTGGTGAACGGACCCTGACCAGCACTCCCCCAGGTGTCCCCTCCTGGCTGCACCCTAATAGGAGCTAAAGGGCCACCTCTTGACCCAGCAGGGAGACTCCAGGACCCTGGACAGGCCTCTAGCCTGCACCTCGGTAAGTATTTTCTGCTTCACACCCAGCAGAAAGCCTGGAAAGGCAACAGCCCAACGAATTACGAGGCGTCCCTGCGGCTGCAAGTGTCACCCAGAAGTGTCGCTTCTGCCTGGCCATGTCTGTGCAGCGCAGGGTCTGAGCACATCCTGACGTGGCCCAGCCCTCTGGGGATGTGATTTCCTGCATGACAGGCACAGCTGAGCTGTCCCCCAGCAAGGGAGGGAAGTGCCATGCCGCAGGATGGCCCAGGCCCCGAGGAGGCTCCTGAGAACAGACCCTGCAGGTGGAAACACTTCGCGAGGTCATGTGAGTGTTTATGTGACAGAGGCGGATAGATGGCATCCTTGGCTCCATCAGCAGAGAGCAGGGATGGCCCCCAGGAGAGCCCACACTGGGGGCATCTCAGTCTTTCATAGCTGAGAGCCCTGGACTGACCAGGAAGCCCAGTGCAGACAAAGTGGTCACGGGCCAGGCTGGTCTGCTCCTCGGGGGGCCGGGTTTGCCCCTTGTTCAGCTCTGCTGCCTGGGGCCCAGTCCAGGCTCAGCCCAACGCTGTGGCTGGCGAGTGTTGAGGCGGTCTGAGGGCAGGTTGGAAAAGAATTTCCAGACACGGAGCATTTCAGAAGGGAGTGGACTTATTGAGAACAAGGAGCAGAGATCAAGTGGGCACAGTGAGCACAGTGACGTCCTGACAGATCAGGGAAGAGTCGACAGTTTTCCTGAGCTAACAGCCAATTCTTAGAGCCTCGAGATAAAATTCCTGCCAGAAGGTTGGCATTAGGTGATTGGTTGGGGTGCTAAAGGGCGCTTACCGGAGTGGGCATCTTTGCCTAAGGGGGAGTCAGGAAGAAGCTTGTTAGTGACCATCAGGGGCCTTTGGCAAGTTATGAAGGGGCTCAGTCGGCTTCGGCGGTGGTCTTGGTCCTGGGCTCTGATTCTGTGGCCTTGCTGCAAGGTCTCACACCTGTGGCCTCGGGGGCAGGACTCTCCAGGGAGGGAGCCTGGGGCTGGCAGCCGGCGCAGCTGCCCCACGCGCCCACCCAGGACCCTGGCATCGCTGGTCCCTCACCCCCACCCCACAGTGACCACAGGACGTCGAGGGGAGGGGAGAGAGGGAGCCCCCGGCCTTGTTGCAAGCACTGCCTTTGGAGTCTCTGGGTTTGACCCCTGCTCTGATGTCCTCGGGCACATGCCCAGGCCGGATTCCCAGCGGCAGAGACGACCCTGGCTCTGCCCTCTGCCTCTCACCCCCCCCCCCTCAACGGGACACAGCCCCACGCGTTCCTCTTGCACCCTCTGCTCCTGTCCTTCCAACGCGATGCTCTGTCCTCATGGACGTGGAGCCACCTGGAGGCAGAATCCGATTCTCTCCCCCAGACTGTAGTTAGAACACCGTGGTCTCTCCCCACGCCCCAGAGGACCTTGCGCCAGAGGCAGCCGCCCCCTGCAGAACCCAGTTTTTCTCTTGGCTGCAGGCCCACCCACCCTCCGGAGCAGAGCCCAGCGCCCAGGACCCGGCAGCCTTTCATGGGCGGGGTCCACACCTGAGTCCCAGTCCTGGCCTGACACTTCACTTCTATAGACCTGTTTCCTCCTCTTTAAAGAGGATGGTCTTGTTGGGTTCCTGGGCTCGAGGGCTGACGGATGGGGGCAATTCCTTGGGAAGGGTGCCTGGGGCTTGTGATAACTGAAGACCCCCTTTTCCCCCCGCTGAGTCTTGGGAGCAAAAAGAAACGCCAGACAGAGATGGTTGAAGCTTTATTCAGGAGGCACTTGGGAGGGAAGGTGGGGGCTGGGGTCTCACCCTGTGGCCTCTGGAGGCCGAGGACTTTAGAAGCCAATGACGACGGGCATCTGAGCCACCTCAGAGTCACCCGCGGAGGGTTCGGTGGTGGCCTCGGAGTTGTCTGCAGGGGGCACAGGGCTGGCCTCGGAGTTGTCCACAGGAGGCACCAGGCTGTCCCCCTCTCCAGTCACCGTGGGCAGGGCCTGGTAGGTCTGGGTCCAGAACTGCAGATAGTTGGTCCTCAGGTGCAGCTTCATAGAGTTGCTATCCATCTGCTTGTTGATCTCCAAGTAGTTGCCGTCTTCCAGGGTGTAGGGATCCCAGTTTGTGGGCACCGACGAGTGGCCCGTGTTAGGGTCCCTGCAGAGTGAGAAAAAAGGCTGGGTGGCTGGGTGAGGCCAGGGCCCACAGGAGGCTGGAGAGCCCCACCCCCACTCACCTGGGCCACCTTCCACCCTCTGCCCCAGGGTGGGCAGACATGTCCCTGTCTCCCAGGTGCTGGCTGGGCACGTGAACATCCTGGGGGCCAGCCAGGAGCCCTTGGCCTCACACGGATGGGGTGCCCCGGGCTCAGGGAGGGTAAGTGTTTAAGGGAACAGGGACTGAACCCCCAGCCTGCAGGGTGATGTGGACAGAGGCTGTCCCCACCTCTGCCTTACCCAGTTCTGGCAAAGTTGGTCCAGTAGGCGATCATGGCCTTGGAGACAGTCCTGTCTTGGGCCCGGTAGCCCAGGGGGGTGGCGAAGGGCTTCCCGAAGACATACTGGAGGTCATCGGCATGGTCAGCCCCCATCCACTTGGGGTAGACTAGGGGCATCCGAGACGGTTGGGAGAACAGGTAGGTGTAGGTGTTGGCACTCCTGAGGAGGGAGGGGAGACCGCCCAGGTTGGCAGCGTGCCCACCTGGGGCCACCCACCCTGGACATGGGCCCCAGGGGAAGACCGTAGGGGAGTAGGGAACGGTCTGGACAATTCCCACAAGACTCAGGAAGGGGAATTCCCTGGCAGCCCAGTGGTTAGGAATCAGCACTTTTACTACCAAGGGCACAGGTTCAATACCTGATTGGGGAACTGAATCCTGCAAACCATGTAGTAAGTCCAAAATAAATACATAAATAAATAAAAATTTAAAAAAAAAAAAAGAGGAAGGATCTGGATCTTTTCACCCGGGAGAAGAAAAACTGTGGCCAAACATTTGACTTCATGGATTCTACAGTTTCAAGTGCATTTACACTTGGTCTGCACCAACTGTATAGAGGCATCTTCCTTCATAATTCAGTATAAAGAAAGATCGCTTTTCTCTGCACATGAATCTGTATTCTTGATTTGATGGGACAAGGTAGTGTGTGCCCTCAGCTGTGTCCTTTTGGCCTTGAGTGATAGGAAGCTCTGAGCCAAATTTATTGCCGAGTTTTCATCCTAGATTTCTGGGTGTGTGTGCTCAGTCACGTCTGACCCTGCGACCCCATGGACTCCTCTGTCCTTGGGGATTCTCCAGGCAAGACTGCTGGAGAGGTTGCCATTCCCTCCTCCCGGAGATCTTCCCGACCCAGGGATGGAACGTGTGTCTCCCGTATTGGCAGGCGGATTCTTTACCACTGTGCCACCTGGGTTCTAGGTGAAATTTTATCTTCCTACTTTTTAAGCACCCCTAGCTAATTTTTCATTTTCGTTGGCTATTATCACATGGAGGGTTTAAAAGTGGCCGCAGGCTTGTTCTGAAAGTTGTCAAATTTGAAACCCACCGCAGAGAACATCAGCCAGTGGCCCCGCCTTCCAGACAGCTTATGGATGGAAGGCCGACTCAAGGACTTTCTGATGGGGAGGGCCGAGGGGTGTAGCGTGCAGGCCTGACCTGGACCGGGAGTCACAGGAGGGTTCGGTGAAGCCCCCGAGCCAAGGCTTGGAGGAGGGGGCCCTCTCGGGCCTGGCAGACAGCGCAGGCACAAGTGGGAACCGAGCCTGGCTTTCCCAGGCCTCTGGACACCTGGGAGCTGCTCGCCACGAGGCCTCACCAGGAAGGTGTTTGGGATCCCTGGTGGGCCACCCCCGCCCACCCTCCTCACTTGGCGTTGCTCTTGTGCTGGGCCACGGCCATCTTCGTGGGCATCAGGAAGAGAATGTCGGTCTCCAGGTCCACCATGGTCTTCTTCCTGGTCTCCTGGGACGAGTCCTGGGCCCAGGGCTCGGTGTACGCCTCGTACGTGGCATTGGCACCTCTGAGTCCCTTGGTGACAGTGAGTCCGCTGACCAGCTTATAGAAGTCCTCCCTGCAGACACCAAACGGGCACTGGACCCTCCACCCCGTGCCCACAGGAGGGTATCTGCCACCCTGTGACTGCAAGATCGAACCAGTCAGTCCTCAAGGAAATCAACCCTGACCATTCACTGGAAGGACTGATGCTGAAGCTGAAGCTCCAGTACTTTGGCCACCTGATGTGAAGAGCCGACTCATTGGAAAAGACCCTGATGCTGGGAAAGATTGAAGGCGGGAGGAGAAGGGGATGACCGAGGATGAGATGGTTGGATCGCATCACCGACTCGATGGACAGGAGTTTGAGCAAGCTCCAGGAGATGGTGAAGGACAGGGAAGCCTGGTGTGCAGCAGTCCATGGGGTTGCAGAGTCAGACATGACCAAGCAACTGAGCACCAGTAACACCAATGCAGCAGACGGCCACGGACAGCCCCTCACAACCATCACAGTGCCGACTTCCTCATTCGGCTGACGCCACCCCCTCCACACCCCCTCCACTTCCCCAGCTTACTCCGTGACATCCCGTGTGTTGCTGTTGATGGCTGGCACGTCGAGCCCAACGAAGAGGTGGCCGTCCATGTCGTTGGTGCCTGCTATGTAGTCGATGTCCGCAGCGTTGGCGTACAGGTTGATGGGGTCATCGGGAATGAAGTCTCCATCGATGACGGGGACGAAGGATAGATAGTGCAGCTTGGGGTCTGGGGGCGAACAGCAGCAGGTTCTCAAACCTTCCGGTACCCACCTGCCCCTCCCCCAGACCTTGGGGGCAGGAACTGACTCCATCCGGAGGCCACCAAGGAGCTGCACCTCCTTGGATGGAGACCGGGGTACCTCGGCTTCAGCATTATTGACCTTCCGACCCCTTCATTCTGTGTCGTGGGGGTGCCGTCCTGAGCAGTGTAGAGTGTTAGCAGCCTCCCTGACCTTGACCCGCTAGACGCCAGAGGTGCCCCCTCCCCAGCTGCAGCCACCAGCAGGCTCCGCCACGTGTTCCCCGGGCGCAGAATCACCCAGGACGCGAACCACTGGTCCAGGCGCCAGGCCTGTCCTCTCACTGCGACCTGATGCCCTCCTCCTGTCCCTGTTCGCTTGCCCTCTCAAATCAAGGAGGAGGAAAGCCTGGAAATCCTGGAGGGGACGTTGGAGAAAGACGTGCCCCCTCTCAGCGGTGGGTTCCAGTGTGTAAGCCAGAAGTGGTGCGAGACCCGTGAAGTGGCCCCAAAAGGACCATATGCCCTGCCCCCGTTAGGCCTGGCCCGCTTTCCCTCCAATGCAGCTCAAAAGAAAACAGTCGCATTTCTGCAAATCCATGAGTATTGTTACCAGGACACCGATATCCAAGTGCTCAAGTCTCTTATATAAAATGGTACACTATTTGCATACAATCTACCAACATCTCCCCGTATATGTATGTGTGTGTGGCGCCTCTGTCCAAGGGATTATCCTGGCAGGAATACTGGAGTGGGTTGCTATTTCCTTCTCCAGGGGATCTTCCCAACCCAGGGATCAAACCCCCACCTCCTGCATTGGCAGGCAGGTTCTTTACCACTGAGCCACCTGGGAAACCCCCATCCTCCCATATACTTTAAATCATTTCTAGATGGCTTTTAATACCTAATGCAAAGTAAACACTATGTAAACAATTGTAAATGCTATGCAAACATTATGTAAATAGTTGCGGGAGAGGGTGGGAGTGAAAATGAAAGTTGTTCAGTCGTGTCCGACTTTTTGCGTGTCTGACTCCCATGGAATTCTCCAGGCCAGAGTACTGGAGTGGCTAGCCATTCTCTTCTCCAGGGGATCTTCCCCACCCGGGGACTGAATCCAGGCCTTCCGCATTGCAGGCAGATTCTTTACCAGCTGAGCCACCAGGGAAGCCCTAGAATCCTGGAGTGGGTAGTCTATCCCTTCTCCATCAGATCTTCCTGACCCAGGAATTGAACCAGGGTCTCCTGCATTGCAGGCGGATTCTTTACGGAACTATCAGAAAAGCTCTGTGGTGGTGGGGGGCGGGGGTGGGGGCGGGGAGCCAATTCAAGTTTTGCTTTTTGGAACTTTCTGGAATTTCTTTTTAATGTTTTCGATCTGCAGTTGCTTGACTCCCCAGATGGGGAACCATCAGATATGAAATTGGTCTGCATCTTGGGCCAAGATGTTTACGTAGCACTTATGGTTTACTTCACATTAGGTCCAGATGCAAACAGTGAGTTCCACTGCACTTTGCCTTAAAAGGAGTAAGAGAGAATGATTGCTTCCTGGGTTGATGAGATTGACACTTTCAGGATTTTGCTGCTGGGCCCCCCCCGGCCTTCCTGGGGCACGGAGTAGCAGAACTGGAAGGGAAATGCTACAGCAGGTGTTTAGGAGATGTTTGCTGAATTCATGAGTGGAGGAAAAAATGAGTGCTTATCTAGTGCAGAGGCTCTCTTGATCTGAGGTCCATAAATCTGCTGAAAATCGTGTACGAATGACTGACCGCCTATGTGTACATGGTTGGGGATGGGGCCCAAACTGTTGTCCAAGAGGTCATAACCCACCAAAGACAAGAGGAAAGACTCCTCCCCCCAGAGGCTTGCCAGGGCGGTGGTGGCAACGAGATGCCTGGGGACACCGGCGAGCTGGCGACAGAGCCGGAATGAGATCCGGCACCCAGCCCCCAGCAGCCCCTACTCACATTCCGTGGTTCCCAGGGGCAGCTTATAGGCCAGCGTCAGGGCACGGGGATCTGTGAGCTTCAGACACTCGGCCATCTTGCTGGTGTCATCCACAGGGCAGCCCACCTTCTCTGCGATCTGGGGTTGGGGAGAGAGAGTGCATGCTCCGGGCGCTGGGCACAGGGTCCAGAAGAGAGTGGGAAGGAGGGAAGCCCCTCCCCAACAGTGCCCCCTTACCTTTTTGGCCCAGAAGAGGGGGTTCTCCTGGATAGCCCAGGGGCACAGACCCACGCCACTCTGGCTGATGGCTCGCTTGATGAGGCCCTTGTTGTGGGGAGAGAGGGTCTGCAATACAGAGAGGTCCTGTCACCTCCCGCACCCACCTGTCTGCAGGGCTCGGCCAGGGACACCCCCACGGCAGCGCCCATCAGCCTTGCTTCTCCCCGTCGCCCATCGACTCCGTCCCACTCCTCTGAGGACAGCAACACTTTTAGGGGCCCCCAGACCTGCAGAGAGACGCTGGCGCCTCCAGCCGACTCCCCAAAGAGGGTGATGTTGTCGGGGTCCCCTCCGAAGGCCGCAATGTTCCTCTTCACCCAGGCAATGGCCATGTGCTGATCCCAAAGGCCGTAGTTACCTGCGGGCGGGGCGAGGGTGGGGAGCTTCATCAGGGTGCTTCACCTGGATGCCAGGGGCCTGGCCCACACTAGGCGCACAGTCCGTGTGGGTGGGATGAGATCGTCCCTGATGGCGTGGAGACCCTGTCCAGCCCCAGGGTGGTGCGTGGTGTGTCCCCAGGAGGCTGGTTGGGCGGGTGCTGGGGGGGGGGTGGGTCTCAGGCTGGGGAAGGGGAGCTGGAGGCCCAGGGCTCAGCTCTTTTCCGTCCGGCCAGAGTCCCTCCTGCCCGTCCGGGGACTTCTGTGTTGCCCCCCGCCCCGAGGTGCCGCCTGGCTGTGCCACCTCCTATCTCCCAGTGGCTCCCACCCCCACATCTCTCGGGGTCTGGCCAGCTGGCCGGCGGCCTCTTCTCTTTCGCTTCAGCTGCCAAGCGGCTCCTGTGTCTCACAGTCCAGCTCCAGCCCACCTCATTTAGCAGATGGGAGGCAGGGCCCTTTCTAGGGGGCTGTGGGGAGTTATCTGGGGACGAAGGATGCTGAGGGGCATCCCCTCTGCGCTCAGAGCTCAGGGCCTGGGCGCATTGGCTCCCCCCGCCCTCTGTCCAGCAGACCTGGCAGGTTGGCGTCCCCGGTGCTGAGAAAGCCCAGGGGCCCGACGCGGTAGTTGAAAGTGACCACGATGACGTTGCCCCGCGTGGCGATCTCCTCCCCGTCGTAGAGGTAGTTGCTGAGAAAGTTGGCCCCGTGGCCAGACCCCATGAGGAATGCACCTCCATAGATCCAGATCATGACGGGCAGGTCATAGGAGACTGAGGGGGAGGGGAGCAGACTCCGTGATGCCAGATACACCCCTCCGACACCCCCACACCCCTCCCATGTCCTCCCCATCCCCCCGACCCCATCTGATCTGTGCTGATGTCAGGAAGTTCAGCTCTGGAGCCCCCAGACATGACCCAGGGGCCGGACCCAGGCCTCTGGTTGCCTGGGGAGTTGGAGGGCGTGGGGGGTGGGGGGAACGGACCTTCCTTCCTGCCCTGGGGGACCCAGATGTTAAGGTAGAGGCAGTCCTCATTTCCGTAGGTGCTGTCCTGGGTGAGGGTGGCCTGCAGGCACCGTTTCTTGAAGTCCTTGGCCTTCAGGGTCCCTGCGGGCGGCCGGAGGGGCTGGCGTGAGAGTGGGCCCCCCAGCCTCGGGACCCGGCCCGCCCTCGCCTGCTCCCACCTTGCCAGCCGGGGTGTCGCTCAGGCTTCTCCAGGGCCTTGGGGGCGGCGGCGAAGGGGATGCCCTTGAAGATGTCGACAGAGTCGCCAAAGAGGCTCAGCTTCTTGTTGACGCCCTCCACGAAGCCGCCTTCCGTGTACACGGAGCCCAGCTGGCCGGGGAGGGGAGAGTTCAGGGCGGCTCTGGCTAGTGGGCCCCCGGAGGAGGATAGCCCCCCTGCAGGCTCCGGCTTCCCAGAGGTTCCCCCAAGACAGCTTCAAGGAAGGGCCCACCTGCATCTGGGGACCGAGACCCCTGCCACCTGCTCACATCGTTGGAAGAGCTGGTTCACTCCCCACCCCACCCCACCCCTACCCCCGGGGTGTTCTGCTCCCTGAATCTCAGAGGAGGCTGGTTCAAGCCATGTGTCCCCACTCAGGGAAGCATTCCAAGAAGGCCAGGACAGGTGGGGTGGAGATTTGGCTTCTCACCATGGCTGCCCGTTAACTTGAGCCTCAGTTTACCCGCCTGAAAGATGGTGACAACACTATCCCCCTCATGGCCTGTTGGCTTGTCCAGCTGCCGGCAGTGGTTGGCGCCCCAGGACCGCCGAATGGTTCATGACCAGCAGTAAACTCCCTGATCAGCAGGCCCTTCTTCCTGCTGCCCCCATCTCCCCCTCGACTGAGCCCCCTCAAATCCTCACAGCCCCTATGCGCCAAGCCAGGAAAGACCCCTGCCTCCTCCCCAAGGTTGCCAGAACGTCCACTGAGCTGGTGCCAGATGGGCCAATGCGTCCAGCCCTCACCGGCGTCCTGGGGGCTGGCGCCCATCAATCCACTTTTCCTGGAGGAAGCTGAGGCTTTCCCATGTGGAGTCACTGCTGGGCAGCCCCTGTCTGACCGCAGAGCCGCGCCCTTCTCTCCCAGGGCTTTGCCCCCTGATCTGGGAGTGGGGGGGCGCAGGTCCGGGCTTCCTGGCTCTCACCTGAGCTAGGTTCCAGGTGGGCGAGAGCAGGCCAGCCCCACACCCCAGACCTGGACGGATCCCAGCCGCCCTCTGATCTAAGTCTGGGCTGGGAGGGGCCCCCTGCCTCACTGGGGCAGGGGAGCAAAGTTCCAGGCTGGCTGGAACTGCGGAGGAAGGAGCTGGGAGCTGGGCCCCTGTCTCTCCCATCCCTCCATGCTCCAGGCATGTTTCCTGAACAGCCTCCCTGGCTGCTGAGAGAGGACAGTGGGGGGCTAGGGGTCAACAGCTCTGTGTGACCGAGGCCGGCCTGAAGGCCCCGCATGGTGGACAGGGCCTGGGGACCCTGGCCGTGGCGGCAGCGTGGGGAGGGGTGTCGCTGGCTGCTGGCGCAGCGCAGAGGAAACCAGGGCCCCTCAGCCCCCAGGCAAGAACCCCCCGGAAGAAGGAGAGTGGCAAAAGGCGCACAGGACCAGAGCCTGAAGCTCTAGACAGCAGGGGTCTGAAGAGCAGGCTGAGCGGTGGAGGGACCAGCCTGGTGGGGGGCTGGGGCCCCTGACCAGAGCCCTGCCGGAGCACCCACACCATCTGCAGGTGGCCGTTGGCTCCGTCCTGGAAGTGTCTCCCTGCCCGGGTGCTCACGCCCGCAGGTCAGTGGTGGAGGGCAGCAACCCCCCGGGAGGGTTGGCTGGGCCTCCTGACTTGTGTGGGCAGAGAAGCTGTGGCAAGCAGGTGCTGGAGGAGCAGGAGATGGAGGTTACAGCGGAGACAGACTCCAGGGTTGGACTAATGCGGGTTCCAGATTCCTGCTTGCCTACAGTGGCTGTGTGATGCTGGGCAAATCGCTTGCCTGCTCTGGGCCCCCGTCACCCCTTTTGGGAAAGGGGGACCACGTTGATGTCTCTAGAGAGACGATGGAGCCAGTGGGGGGTTGTGGGTCAGGTGGCTGACTCGGCAAGTTTGACCAGTTACACTTGAATTTCAAATAAACAATGATATATATATTTTTTTAAGTCTATGTCCTAATCATTGGGTGAAACACACCAAAATTGACTCATGGTTTCTGTGAAATTCCAGTTGAATTGGATATTCTGTATTTGGCATCCTGAGTCATCCTGCTAGAAATGCAGAAGAAGTGCCCGGGAGATGCTGTTAACAATGGTGGTCGGGTTCTGCCAGTGACTCTCTGTCTTCCCCCTGCTGGGCCCTGTCCCCAGGTTCCAGGTCTGGCTTAGTGGAGGTGAGAGGGGGCTCCCTCCCCTGGCCGACCCCTTGGCTGGGCTCTCGCTTACCTTCGCCGCACTTGCTACTGCCAAGCAGCAGGCAAGGCCCAAGACGAGTAGCTCCCGGCGCCCCATGGTGTGCGGCTGCCTCTGTGACACCTGCCCTCGGGGCCTGCGGGTTTTACGGGGCTGGAGCCAGCCCAGAGCTGCCTGCGGACGGACCCTTCCCCTCCTGTCATTGGTCCTTCCTCCAGGCTGGCAGCACTCCAGGTGGCGTACCTGGGGCCAGGGGACAGCTGCTGTTTCCAGTGGGGGTCGGGCGGGGCCAAGGTCACATGCAGACACACACACCACATGCACACACGTGCAGGGATGGTCCGTCTTTCCCAGGGTCCGCTGCTCCCGCGTGACCTGGCCCCACAGGGCACCTGTGCCTACCTGGGAGCCTAGGCAGATGGCAGGGCGGCGGGGAGGGCAGGGGCTCAAGGATTGGAGCTTGGCTGGGCGCGCAGTGCCCTGACAGAGGACTTGCTTTTGCCCTCGGGGAAATGGGCTCGCTTTGTCCCCGTGCCCTGACTGCAGTTCAGCAGAGGCCGTTTACAGGGTTTGGGCCTGACTTCTGGGACAGAGCTGGCCATGGGCTACCAGGCGGCTGGTGTGGCCCCTCGCTGGTCCCAGGGTGCTCTGGGTGTCTGTACTGGTGTGAGGCGGTGGGGGACTGAAGCAGCGCCAGGTCGTCACCCGGCTTTCAGCAGCACAGTGCTGGCAGGCGGGGACGAGACTCCAGTCCAGCCTGGAGGTTTTCCCCAAGGAAAGGGAGGGCCAGCCTTTCCAGCCACAGAGGGCCCAAACAAAGACCCCGGGGCCACCAGCCTGTGGCCAAGACCCACAGAGACCTGCAGAAACACAGTTGGTCAAACTGCCTGTCTGCCTCTCATTTCCAGCGCCCAGATCTTCTGTGATGCAGAGTGAGTGGAGAGGCTGGAGAAATGTGGGAGGGGTGGGTGGCTGCAGGTGGGAGACAGGAGTTAGGATGCTGGGAAGAAGGAACAGTGTAGGCCGGGCCAGGCTGCAGGTTTGAGGGATGCCGGCAGTGACAGGAAGATGCACTTGTTGGCTCACACCTTTGTCCAGCCCCTCCAGTTCTAAGAATCCGCTCTACAGGAAGTGACTCTGAATATGGGGGAGAGGAAGCCTGTGCTCGAGGAAGTTCAGTGGCAGTAGAAACCAAGGAGGGGGGGGCATCCGAGAGCAAACGGTGGGCTGGGTCTAAGACCGGAAGTGAGGTGGAGGAGCCTGGGCCATCACGGTGCCCAGAAGCAAGAAGGCTGGGAAGACCAGATGGTATGTCGAAGGACACAGCAGCCAGCCTGGGGCTGTTCTCAGGGCAGAGATGAGACGAGCTGGGCAGCAAAAAGCAAGACTGCGATTGATTGAAACAAACCATCGCAAAGCTAAAAACGTCCCCCTGGTCATCACCAGGGCCAGAAATGAGGCCGGGGGACGAGGGTGACCTCAACCCAAACTGCCGGTCAGTCAGTGCTCGTGTCTCTGAAGGGGCCCAGCAGACACTGGAGCCTCCCAACTGCACGGGCACGTCTGAAGCTGAATTGCTGTTAATTTGTGAGGTGTGATGACAGCATCACTGTGTTTTTAAAACAAAAGCCTTGATGTGTTAGAAACATACACTGAAGTACCGGATTTCCTTAAAACAGTTCCAGCAAAACACAAATACAAAATAGAACAGAAACACGTACAGGGATTTCCCTGGTGGTCCAGTGGCTGATTGCATGCTCCCGATGCAGGGAGCCCAGGGTTCAACCCCTGGTCAGAAAGCCAGACCCCGCATGCCACCACTAAATATCCTGCATGCTGCAACCGAAAGAAGCCACGTGCCACAAAAAAGACATGGCACAGCTAAACTAATTAGCAAGTACGGTTTTTTAAATCAGGAGTAGATGCAACAGGTTTGGTAGAAGGTAAATGGGACTTTTTATACAATATGCAGTATTTTCGTGTATATTTGCTCTTTTCCATAAACAATACGCTTCTTTAAAGGGGGTGGTGGTGGTGGTGCAGGCGTGTATGCTTCTAAGCTGAGAATCGCTGAATGCTTGTCGAGGACCTGGCAAGGCCACTCAGGCTGGCACACGGTAGGCAGGCTCTGGGAACCGCGGTGCGGAGCTGCAGAGGCAGGGTGCTTGCCTGCCTCAGGCATGCCTTTCTCAGCTCTGCACAGGAACTGAGGCAGTTTCCGGGTGGGAAGCCAGAACCCAGACCCTTTCCACTGAGGTCTGAGCTTAGCAGCATGGCTCAGGAGAGGTGGGATGAGTCCCAGCTGAGACCCGCCGGCTGTGACCGGCGGCCTGAGGGAAAGCCTTGCAGAGGTGAGGCATGGGGCACGGCCCGGGCTGCCCTTCCGAACAGCTGCTTCTGGCCTTCTGGCTGAAGCGGGCTGACGGGCTCCCCTCTGGCTGGGGCAGCGTGTGGGGTGTGCGCCCCAGGAGTGTAGGTCCGGCCCCACCCAGGGACCTGCTTGCCCTCTGGTTTCTCACCAGGCAGTGTTGAGACGACGGCGTCGTCCCCAGGAACCCCTCTGCAACACATCCTTGTGGAACATGAAGGGGTGAGCGCGTGGCTGGAGCACCCTCCGAGGCGGCTCTTGCCTGGCCCCCCCGCCGAGGGGCGCCCGGCCTGTTCTCAGCCATCCCAGCATCACCAGCATCGGGTCACTGACGAGCAACTGAAGGGACAAATGACGTCCGGCTGGAGCCCAAGCCCCGAGGCCAGAGAAAACCCTTCTCGGGTTCTGACACCCGAACAGAGACATCCAGACTCCTTGGGGAAACGTCTTTAATGAGGGCAGTTCCAGCTGGGCCTGCCCTTTGCCAGGTCACCCCAACGGATGGGGTCTAAACCTAAGGACAGTCTTCGCCACCGTGATCTGGACCAGGGTCCCCGCCCCGCCCTCACCTCCAGTCTGAGCCGCAGCCGGGCCGGCCCCTCCCCAGCCGCACAGTCCCCACCTCAGCTCCCGCTGGGTTCAGCCAGGGCCGGGGCTGGGCGCCGGGCTGGTGAGGCCGGGCGCAGGTACTCGGGGCCAGGGGCAGCGCACCCCGCTGCCCTCCTCGGACGGGCCGCCTAGGACCATGCTGGCTGCTGCGGGAGGCGCCGGGGTCCCTGCCGCGTGCCGGCCCTCAGTGGGCCTGGGCGGGGCCCGGCCGCGGGCCGCGTCACACGTAGTCCAGGATCTCCGTCTCCATCTCGTTCTCGCTCCCGTCGGACGGCTTGAACTCCTCCTCCTCCTCCTCCTCGTCCTCTTCCTCGTCTTCCCCGGACTCGCCGGTCAGCTGCTCCTTCCCACTGTCCGCTTTGGTCGGGCTGGAGAAGAGGGCTAGGCCCAGAGAGCAGGCCAGATGTGTCCCGATGCTGGCCCCGGGCGGCCCCCACACTGGCCGTCCCTGGTCTCAGCCCCGGGGGGCCTGTCTACAAATTCAGGGGCTGGGGCTCCAGCTCTGAAGCTGTTCCGGGAAGTACGGTGGCTGGTGGGCCCGGGCTCGTTTAACCAGCACCTCAGAGCAACACTGATGCCCAGGGCCTTAGGAACCTTCCCGGAGCAGCCCCAGGCAGCTCGGGAGTGCAGGGGGCCCCGCAGGAGTGGGCCCAGGCTGCCTTTCCTCGACTGGACGCTCAGAGGGGCTGGCGTCCTGGGGGAGGCTGAGCGCCCCGGCTCCTGTCAGCTCTGTGGGGGTCGGTGGTCTGGGACGCCCCCACCCCGAGCCTGGAAGGAGCCCCAGAGAGGGTCCTTTCCCTTACTCTCCCCCGGCTCCGTCAGAGCCGTGGGCCAGCACAGGGCTCACTCCCTCCCCATGCCCAGGGGAGGGCGGGCAGCACACAGCGACAGGGCCCCCGCCCCCCAGGAAAGACAGGAGCGACCTGCCCACATGTGGCTGCAGGACGCAGGGTGATGTCCAGGCGTGAAGTGGCGGCCCCGAGGGCAGCCCCAGCCCCAGTCTTCTGGGCCCGGTTCCTGCCTGGACCCCCAGGGCTGAGCGCCTCAGGGGGCTGCCGGGGGTGGGGTGGGGTGGGGTGCTGGCTCCTGGCTCCCACCGGGTAAGGTTTCCTGGGGAGCAGGTCCTTGAGGGATGCCTGCTCCAGCCCCGGGGAGGCCCACGCACACAGGGCGAGCGGCTCTCACCAGGCCTCTTGGAGCGGATGGTCTGCCGGATCATGAGGGACATGGTATCCCTCAGCTCGTCCGTGGTCTTGGGGAGGCACCAGCCATCGCGCTCAGTGCACGAGCTCTCCGCCCCGTCGTTGCGGTGAATGATTCTCTGCAGCCTGGGTGTCGGGGACAAGGGTCGGGGGGCGTCTCTGCTCAAAGGTTGGGGGGCGTCTCTGCTCAAAGGCTGGGGGGCGTCTCTGCTCAAAGGTGGGGGGTCTCTGTTCAAAGGCTGAGGGGCGTCTCTGCTCAAAGGTCGGGGGGCGTCTCTGCTCAAAGGTCGGGGGGCGTCTCTGCTCAAAGGTGGGAGGGGTCTCTGCTCAAAGGTCAGGAGGCATCTCTGCTCAAAGGTGGGGGGGGTCTCTGCTCAAAGGTGGGGGGATCTCTGCTCAAAGGCTGGGGGGGGTCTCTGCTCAAAGGTCAGGGGGCATCTCTGCTCAAAGGTGGGAGGGGTCTCTGCTCAAAGGTCCAGAGTGTGGGTCTCTGTTCAAAGTTCTGGGTGGGGGTGGGGGGGGGTCTCTGATCACAGGTGCCAGTAAGCGGTTTCGACAGAGCTGGCGTTGTGCTCAGAAAAACAGCACTCAGCGCTGTCCCGTGGACAAGCGTGGTCACAAAGGGTACCCTTGAAAGCCGCTCCGGACTCCAACTTGGGGTAAGCTGCCCCTCCAGCCCAGCACCCCTCCCCCAGCTTTATAAACATCACTGCGAACAGCTGGGTTAAACAAGTCTGGGGTTCTGTCAGCTCTGGGGACTGGGAATCATGTCAGGAACCCCCGTGGCGGCCACACAGGAGGAAGACAAAGACCCCAGCCCAGTGCCACGCTCTGCGCCCAGGATGGCTGGCTGCTAGTGGCAGGGTGGCCCATGGGGCCCCCAGAAAGCCGCTGCTGCGTGCCACGTGAGCCCAGCCAGAGGAGGGCCGGCAGCACTCGCCCGGGGCTTGCCATCCCGAGGGGCCACGGCGGACGTGAAAGGGAAGAAAGGCAGGACACCCTTTGGTCCCTGAGGTTTTCTGCTCTGTGCCCGAGCCCCCCGGTCCCCGCCTCGGTGCCCCGCAGGTACGTACTCCTCCACGTTCAGGTCACAGAACTGGTAGAACATCTGTCGGTACGGCGGCAAGGCCCCCTCCTGGAAGATGTAGACCGAGTCCTGGAAAGGAGGGCCGATACGAGCCGGGAGGTCAGGGGAGCTCCCAGGGGAGGGCGGCGCTGGAGACCCCACAGTGGGCGGCTCCCCGGGCCCTCTCCCAGGGCAGCGGCCTGTGCCGGCCCCGAGACCTGGCAGCCTTGGCTCTCCTCTCTGGATTCAGGTGGGCGGACGGGCCAGAGGCCGGGAGGACATGAGCTGTGACCCCCCAGCACGGACGGGGTGGAAGCAGCCAGGACCCCAGGACCCTCGAGCCGCCCCCAGGACCACCAGGCTCATCCGGTGGGGAGGCCCCACTGGGGCTGGGCTCTGCCTCGGCGCTTCTCTGAAGGGAGGCCTCCTCACTTCTCCTAACTGCTCAACTTAGGAAGAGCTGCAGACCAGTTCCAGAGGTGGGGACTGCGGCCTAAAATGAGGCCCCCGAAGGCGGATGGCTGCTCGGGCGAGGATGCGGCCTCCCTCCCTGAGCAGAGAGGAGACGGACGCTGCGGCAGATAGCTGGCCCCAGCCCTCGGTGGCCGGGGACTCCTCCCCAGGCCTGGAGCAGCTCACGTCAGGCCTTGGGACGTCACTGCGTCTGCTGGGTGGCTGTGCTAAGGAGGCCCGAGCCTGGGAGGGCGGCCCTCGTCCAGCCCACGGCTGGGTGCAGGTGGTCTGCTGTGGCTCTGGGCTCACAGCCCTCCGTCTCTCCCTCCCCGGGGGTCACAGGGCCTCAGGGCCCGACTCAGAGGGCAGTGCATGCAGCTGCTGGCGTCTGAGGACCCTCCCTGAGACGGGTGTGCCCCAGGGGTCAACACCCCCGCCCCCGGGACTCGCATCCTGAGTTGTGTTTGGAGGCTGTGCTGGGAGGTGGGAGTTGGGTGAAGGGACCGGAAGGACCGGGCAGCCTCCATCAGAGCCTCCCCGCGTCACAGGCAAGGCTCAGCGTGGGCAGCAGAGCCTGGCCTGCCCAGGGGAGGGGCCGCCGCTCCACCCAGCCCTCACTCTTGCCCAGGCAGGCAGGCTGCCGACACCCACCTTGAGCTTGTACTTGTTGGGACTCGACTTCTGTGCACTGGCCGACCCTGAGGGGCCCAGGCCTTGCTTCAGGTCATGCATGGTGACGAGCTGGCTGGCTGCGAGGGGACCACGGCAGGGGTCTGGAATACAGGGGGGTATTTCTCCCGGCCCCCGACCGCCCCCTCCCACTCTGGGGCGCGCTGGCCAGCAGGGCCCTAGAGTGAACTTTCGGGAGGCCCCTGCCCCTCCCGCAGTCTGGATGCCCCTCTTTCCCGGCGCCTGCTCTGCAAGGGAGCCCGAGGCCCTTACTGGTCTTTTTGACGGTGATGGGGAGGCTGTAGTTGTAGGTGCTGCGCTTGGCCTTGACGGGCATGTCGCTGGGGGCGTAACCTGCCGGAGAGGGCGGGCGCGTCAGGCTAGGGGGTGCAGAGCCCCTGACAGCGCGGCCCGCACCACAGGTGCACCGGGGCTCCGGGGGCGGCTCCTGAGAGAGGCACAGCGGCCCCCGAGCTGGAGAGACAGGAGCCGCCGTGTCTCGGTGCTTGGTGTGCGGGGGACTCACCGCAGGCGGGGGACGGACACTGACCGGACGCCTGGCCTGCACGGCAGGAGCCGCAAGTAACTGTGGAAGAACAGAAGGACCACTAGAGTGGCACCACGGGGCCAGGACGGGAGCTCGGGGCCTTGGGCCTGGGCTAGCCCGCCTCCAACAAGCCTGCCGAGGGCAGAAGGCGCTTCTCTCCGTGCGGACCTATTCTCATCACCCAAGAGAACGCTGCAAACGCAAAGCTAGGAAGGGAAAAGGAAAGCAAAGGTTTTAGTGACTGTTTACCGTATTTCATTCCACATCGGATTCGGAAGTCAAGCACTTGATAAATCTTGGCCTCTGGGCGTTTTCGGGGGTCAAATCCAAATCGAATCCACAGGCTCCTCCAGGGGCCTGTTATCTGGAGACAAAAAGGGTGGGGTGTGAGGTGAGGTCCGGCCGATCCCGGCCCCCCCGAGATGCAGGCCCGGGGGCCGCCCAGGAGGGGCTCTGCTGCCCTTGCCCCCCAGGCGCGCACATGTGGCTCTGTCACCTGGGGTGGGTCACTCGACCCCGCCAAACCTCGGTCTTCCTGTCAGAGGGCATTTCTGGGAGGATTAAAGGAGTATTAAAGCTGAAGCTCCAATACTTTGGTCACCTGATGAGAAAAGCCGACTCACTGGAAAAGACCCTGATGCTGGGAAAGACTGAGGGCAGGAGGAGAAGGAGAAGACAGAGGGTGAGATGGTTGGATGGCATCACTGACTCAGGAACATGAGTTTGAGCAAACTCATGAAGAAGATGAAGGACAGGGAAGCCTGGCGCGCTGCGGTCTGTGGGGCTGCACCAGTTGGACACGCCTGAGCGACTGGACAGCAACAACACAGGACACGGAGGCCCTGGCACCCTTGGCACAGTGCCTGGCACAAAGGAAGAGCTTGAGAACCGTCACGACTATGCTGACGGAGGGAGGCTCTGGCCCACAGAGCTCTGATGGTCCTCTGTCCAGAGAGCCAAGGCTGAGAGGCAGCTTCGTGAGGCCGGGTCTAGGCCGAGGAAGGACGAGCCCGTCTGGTGCCGCCCACCCCCGCGCCCCCCACCCCACCTGCCATCACAGTCACATCGCTTGCCTGCCCCTCCAGGGCCCCACGTTCAACCCCTGGCCGGCAAGAGCGCCTCCTCGTAGCCCCTTGGGGAATCTCGACAACGACACCCCCATCTCTGTGCCCTCTTGGACTCAGTCCAAGGTACATCTGCTGTGCAGTGAAGGCCACTCGACCTGGGAGAAACAGTGAATGCAGGCAGCACTGTGGCCAGGGGCCCCGAGAGCTCTGCCACATGCTGGCTGCGGGACGCTAGCACGTCGAGTCCCCAGGCCAAGCCAACCATCCTGACCAGAGCAACACCCCTGCTGCCGCGCCTGCAGAGAAGAAAGGAGGCTGTGCGCACAGCACCCCAGCCCCTGGTCCTGGAAAGCTCTCAGCTCAAGGCCATTAAAAAACACACAATCCCTTTACTTGCAAGTTACGTGATCAGTCTTGAATCCCATAGTCACCCCAATGTGGCCGACGTGTGACCGGGGAGGGCCTCTGCAGGGGCGGTAACGAGCCGCCCAGTGCGTGCCAGGATCAGGACAACCCTGGCAGGAACCCAGGAGGCAGCGGGCGGACCCTTACCATGTAATAGGCCACGAAGGGCAACAAGATCTTGAGCTTGTCAGGGTGGACGCTGATGTTGGCCTTGAGGGCGTTGCGTGACCAGATGGGACGGATGTCAAACAGCTGGAGGGTCAAAGCCGAGGCTGAGAGGAGGATAGGCAGCTTGCCCACCGGCCCCAGGGCCCCCACAGGGTCTGGCCCCAGAGGGGCAGCTGGCAGGGAGCCACCCCCAAGAGCTGCTGTGCGCTGGCTCGTCCCTCCCTCAGAAGTGGCCTGTGCACCCAGCTTGTGTCCAGGGCAGCTGGGCCAGGGTGTCCTGGAAGGACCACGCGGGGCACCGTCCCTGTCCTTTTGCAGCTCAAAGGGTAACAGGGGAGGCAGAGGACCAAAGGTGCCCGAGCAGGGCCGTGAGGGGGACAGGCCAGGGCAGGAATGGCCCCGAGCCACGAGGAGGCTGGGCTGCGTGCAGAGGACGGAGGGGTGGGGCTCGGAGAGTGGCCCTACGTCCCCTGACCCAGTGACTTGGGCCAGGTGGAAGGCTGCCTCCTCCTGGGGCCGCCCAGCCAGCCAACTCTAATGCGGAGGAAGGGCCAGGCCTGGCACGCAGCAGGTGCCCCAGCTGATGTGCCCGGGCCAATGATTGGAGGAAGGAAGTTTCTGGAACCCCGGAGCTCCAGGTTGCAGTCACGCCTGGACCACGCTGACCCCCAGAGGACCTCGGAGGAGACTGAAGAACACTTTCAGCCTTGGGAAGGCAGGGTATACACGGGCAGAGCTTTAGATGTGGCATCTGGAGGTAACAGTTCCCGCGAGTTAATGAGCAAGTCTGAGACCAGCACGGGGCCCCGTGGGTAAATGGGGCAGCCGAGGGGGCCTCAGGTAAACGGGCGGCCGGGGGGACGGGCGCACCTTCCTCAGCTCCTCCTCCACTCTGTGGTCCACGGGATTGGTGCAGACCTTCTTCCACGTCTGGACCGCGGCCTCCATCGGCCGCTCGGGCACCTCGTCCCCCTCAAAGTTGACAAAGATGGCATTGTGGGGGCGCCGGGCCCTGCTCAGGCCAATCAGGTTCTCGCCCGAGACGGCGGGATTGTTGTAGCCTTCCCTAGGGGCAGAGAGAGGGGTGAGGGCAGGAGCACCAGGCGTGGGCCTGGCTGGACACTGGTGGCCCACGTCTGGGTGCCTCCACTGGAACCTGGGCGAGAGCGGGCCTCGGCGCCAGCCAGGGGAGAAGGGGCAGCAAGTCTGAGAGCTCAGGGAGGCCCTGAAGCTGGGCCTCAGGCCCCAGAGGCTGGCGGCCTCACACCCGCGTCGCGTTGTCACGGCACCGTCCCGCCCGTGAGAAGCTGGGAGCAGCCCAGCGGCCGTCAGGCAGGGAGCGGGGAGTCAGCGGAGGTGTGGCCACACAGGAGCCACGGGTCCTCTGTCGGCTGGGCTTACTGACGTCACAGCTTGCTCATCTAACCCTCGAAACAGTCCTTCCATCTTCCCATAACGAAGGACCCAAGGTCCACAAGTCCCTGAGGCCATGGGGGTGGGAGACCTGCTCGGGCCAGGGCTCAAGGAGACAGAGCTGGGATCCCAGCCCAGGGAGGCTGGGCAGGGAGATGCAGGGGTGGGTGGCGGTGGCAGCGACCGCTGTCTGGCCGCCTGCGATGGAGCCTGAGTCCCTGACTTGGAAGCATCTCAACGATACCGCAGTGAAGGGAGGACGCATACTGCCGAACGGTCTTGTCACGGAGCACAGAGGCGAACAGGACTCTCCTTCCACTGCGGGGACACAGGCGCCCTCTCTGCTCAGGAACTAAGACCCCGCAAACCACGTGGTATGGCCCAGAGTAAAAACAAGTGTTTAAGAAGGGCTCTGCTTCTACAGCAGAAAACAATACAATATTGTAAGGCAATTATGCTTCAACTGGAAACAAACAAACTAAAAAAGAAGAAAGCACTCTGTCGCCAGCAACTGTGCTGGGCCTGCCTTTATGAGCACGGAACACACAGGGCCAGCAGCCCCCAGGAAGCTCCGAGCGCCCCCCTCTGTGGTGGAGGCCGGAGCGCATGGCCTCACTGAAACAGGGGAGCAGCCCCCGGGACCCCCAGGTGCCCCCGTCGTCCCCCACAGCTGCCATCACGTGCCACTTCCACACCGCCCAGACCCCACCCCAACCCACTGAACCATCCTGAAGTTCTTTTTAAAGTGCGTCCTGGATGTCACACAGGGAGTACTCTCTTTTAAATCTCTTTCCATTTCACCTTAGTTTTCCATGAGTACACATCATCTGCATATTTACAAAGAACAACAAAGTGACTTTTCACATCGGGAAATAGAATTACAAAGATGGGATCAAACCTGTGCCTTTTTCCAAAAGCGTGACTCCATCAGAAACCCCCCAAACGCTGTACAGTTTTCAAAGACCCCTCCCTGAAGTCCCAGACACCCGAGCAGGAAAACCCCTGGCGGCCCCCCTGGGCCAGACGGCAACTGCAAGGAGAACCCCCGCCCCCGCCCCCGCCTGGCTGTCTCTGCTGGCTCCCCCCACCTCAACTGCCTCAAGGAGGAGGGACCCCGTCAGGAGTCCACGGGCCATCTAGGAAGGTGAACCTCCCTGGACCAGGGCAGGCCAGTGAGGTGGACGCCAGGCCTCCTCGGCCAGTCCTCGGCACCCAGGAAGGTCAGCAGAGCAGAAGAAGCGATAGCAGCCCTGGGAGAAAAGGCAGACTCTTTCCATGTGCCCAAAAATCGATAAAACACACAGGATAAAAACAGGGCCCGTGGGTCCCAGGGCAGCTGGCTTTCCACCCCAGTCCCCCTTCCAGAGGCGGGGGGACGGCTGCCTGCTGGCCCCAGGGGACAGAGAAGTGACTCGAATGCCACCAGCCAGTGGGGTGGGATAATGGACTCAACAGGCCTGAGAGACGGCAACCCTTGCCTGGCTCTCGAGTCACCTTGGAGACAACGGGGCAGCAGAGAGGCCTGGGCTGGGATGGCGCTGAGGACGCTGTTACGCTCGCTCGTTCTGCGGACAGTGCTGTGGCTACCTTAGTCCTTCCTGTCAGAGACGCATACCGACTTGTTTCTGGAGGACGCGCTGTGATGCCAGGGTGGCTGAGGGGGAGAGGAAGCCAGCAGCGGAAGGCTGCTAATGGCTGAAGCTGGTGATGTGGGTGGGGGGTCCAGACACCGCCCCTCTCCTTTTGGAACTCCACAGAATGCACTTTTTAAAGGAAGAGAACCATTCCTCTTTCTCTTCAGGGCAGAATCTAAGCTCCTCCGCGGGGTCTGCAGGACCCTCAGCCACCAGTCTCTCGGCTTCGGGGACAACACCCCTAGACCAGTCCTCTGCAGCGGCCAGCAGCAGCACCCGGGTCTGGCATGCCCTCCCTCCCCGGATCTTCACCTGCCCGCTGTTTCAGAGGTCACGGCCCCCAGGAGTCCTCCCTATGCCCCACTCACGGTCCACAACAGCCCACTCCCCACCTGTCCCCTTTAAGACACACGCCTGCCCACTAGCCCCCGCTGCCCACTCATTCACCCCACGTGGTCTGCTGCTCCCCAGCTGGGCCCCTACAGAGCCGCCTGTCGTGTTCCCTCCGAGCCTGGCTCCACGGGGAGGCCTGGGCCCCGCCAGGCGGGCAGTGCTCGTTGCTGGAAATCCTTGATGAGGGAGAAGGTGCTCGTCCGCCTGCCCCTCCAGAGATGACTGCCTGGCCCCACCTTCCCGGTTCTCCCAGGCTTCTGTTCTCAAACTCAGTTTGTTTTTATAGCATGCAGTCTGCTCTGGCGCGGTTCTCGGGACACAAGCCACATCAGCCCACGGAGCCAGCTCTGGTCAAGGCAGCGTGGTCTTCCCTGGCACAGACAGGCCGTCATTTAATTAACTACATGGCCCCTATTCATGGACTGGTCGCCAGCCACTTATCCGCTGTCTCACACTCTGCCGGCACTCACTGTTCTGAGTATTCCCAAGAGCTTCCGTCATGCAGCTCTCTAATGATGCAGAGACGCGGGGACTATTACTATTGCTATCAGGTGGCGAGGCGGGAGCAGGAGGTTGGGGCTCTTGTGGGATCACAGGCCCAGGACCTGAACACAGGCCCTGCCGGCCCGGGCTCTCCCACCACACCAGGTTCTCCCAGCTTCCTGCCCACAACCAGCCAGGAAACGCTCTCATCAGTGTATTATCTTCGAGCACCGAGGTGGGAATCACTATGGGATAAATTCCTACAGGAGGAACCACTTGGTCGACTGGAAAGAACATTTAACACCACAGCAGGGAAATTCCCTGGTGGTCCAGTGGTGAGAACTACGTGCTTCTACTACAGGGAACACGGGTTCTATCCCTGGTCAGGGAACTAAGATCCCCTAAGCCACGTGGTATGGCCAAACTTAAAATAAAACAAGACTGTAATAAATTCTGCCAGATCGCTCTCCAAAAAAGTCAACCAACCTCGTTCTTGGTGCTCCTGGGTAGGAGGGGTCTGTCTCTCCCTACTTTCAGGTACACACCTTTGGTGATGGGCCCTCAAGTCCTGGGGCGACATCTTGACTGACATTCCATGGTGTGGGGACAGCCTTAAGCAAGGACTCTGGGTGAGACGCAGGGACCAGGGCAGGTTCGTGACTCCTTTGGTCACCAGCTGTTCTGCTGTTAGAGGCACTGGGGCCATGGGACTGAGCAAAGCCGGCTGCCCTGGCCCCCGGGCCTGTGAGTGGCAGCATCCAGCCCTCTGAGCACAGGGCCCTCGCCCTGAATCCCGATGCTGCGCAGCAGCGGCCAAGGGAGGCACTCACCGGTGCTGCGTCTCTGGACGGTAGTAGTAGTCCACCGGCGTGTCCAGCCTGGAGAAGATGGGCGGGGGGATGTAGAGCGGCAGGTCCTGGTGGAAGAAGCTCTCCTTCTGGGGCTTGAGCATGAGCACCTTGTCGTACATGGACATCTGCCTGCCGTCCGCCTCCGTGTGCACCGCCAGGTACTGGAAGTCGGACATTCCTGGGGAAGGAGGCAGATGGATGGCGGATGCCTTTTAACACCGCCCAGGCCCTGGCAGCTGCCACACAAGGCCCACATCTGCTTGGGGGTGGTGAGGGGGCCTTGCAGGAGAGATTGCCGGGGAAGAGTGGCAGGAACTGAAACCACCCCCACCTTGAATCGCTTCTGGGAGCTCGGCCCCGGGCGCTCCAAGTCACCTGGAGAGATGTTATTTGGGGGGTGGGGGGTTGCATGACCCTGAGGATGGAGTCCAGGTCGGGAATGTGCGTGCCGCACCGTGCAGCGCTGAGACGCCGCACCTCTCACGAGCCCCAGGTGAGGCTGATGCTGCCGGTCCGGGACACACACTGAGCAGGAACTGCCGGCTCAGTTAGAGAGGAAAAACGCATCATGGGGAGAGCCCCGTCCCTGGAAGGACAGCCCGCTCTGGTGAAGACACATTCCACCAGAGATGAACGTTCAAAACGCCCAACGTGTGGGGCTCCTAAGACCTGCGGGAGTCTTTGTACACTTTCTATTCTTCGTTTTCAGTCTTTTGTTTCCTTCAGTTTCTATCTTAGAACTGCAGTTACTACTATAGACACGCTCCAGTTTGTTAGTTATTTGCCAAGTGCTTCCCGTGCACATGAATCAGCTCTCTACACAGCATCATCTCCCGAATCCCCATGGGGGCCTAAGGGACTCAGAGCCCCCACTGTCAGACAAGCAGACCCAGGGAGGCTCAGGCAGGCACGGCTCCCCTCCTTGCTCCACGCCGCACCCCTGTGAGGACCCCGCGGGGGACATCTAGTCGGCTGAGAGGCCACAGGACATGAGGTCCTGCGGGGCTGAGGTGATCTGGGAAGGATTCCGGCGGCAGACAAGACCAGCAGCAGTCGAGGGTCCCCAGGTACGAGGGGGGATGGGGTTGAAAACTGGAGGCCTGCAGGCCTTTTCCTCTGGCCCCACAAAATGGTTTTAAACGTGAGATTTCTCAGAGAACTCCAGCGGCCAAGAGCCCAGGGTCCATAGGGAGCTGCTGGCTGGAGTGAAGGCAGCCTGCCTCCTGGACGGGGCCCATGCTCTGCCCCCACCCTCACGCCTGGGCACAGCCTGGCCCCCTTCACGGGCGGATGATCCACGCAGCCCCCGCAGGCACGAGGGACACAGGCCCGGAAATAACCCAGGCAGGAAGAATGCATCTCGCAGTTACCTTGAAATTTGAAGACAGTGGAGATGACTCCAAGGCTCTCTATGTCGTACGTGACCCGGGGGCGAGCCTCAGGCCCCAGCGCCCCGCTCTGTCGCCTGGTCTTCCGCTTGATCCGGAGCAGCAGGCTGTTGGTGCTGAAGCGGTTGGCACACACGGGGTGGCAGTAGGGGTCCTTCGGCCGGAAGTAAAGCTCCAGCCTCTTGGTGGCATCTGCGTAGATCTGCGGTGAAGCCAAAGGAGACGGTGACGTGGAGGCCGGCTGAGCGATCAGCTCCTCCCTCAGTGAAGGCCCGATGGGGACCCCGGAGGCGTCTTCTGTTTTGTGTTCTGGGCTCTTAGCTCCCAAAAGACTCATTTTCCAAACCCAAGGGTCTCAGCTTTTATCTGGTGGAGAACATGAGGACAGCCTCTTCCTTTCTAAAGCTTCCCTGGTGGCTCAGATGGTAAAGAGTCTGCCTGCAGTGTGCGAGACCAGGGTTCCTTCCTGAGTCGGGAAGATCCCCTAGAGCAGGGCATGGCTACCCACTCCAGTCATCTTGTCTGGAGCATCCCATGGACAGAGAAGTCTGCTGGGTTACAGTCCATGGGGTCGCAAAGAGTTGGACACGACTGTGTGACTAACACCTTCCTTCTTCTAAAAGGTTGTAAAGCAGCAAAGTTGGAGACAATAACTGTCACTTAAGCAAAGCCTGGTCAGTGCAGGGAACCGCCATTCTTCCGGCAGCACTTTGTGGAGGTGTTACCCCTGCGTCTGCCATGGAGAGTCTGGGTGGGAACCGCATGACTTGTCTAGGGTTAGGAACTACCCACCCCAAAAGGTCCAAGTATTCAGCCTCATTTACAAATGTTTCCAGGTCAAAAGGAGACGAAATCAATAACAAGCACTTTGGCCCTGACTCGTGTGACTTCTCCTTTCCAGGCCTTGGTTCCTTCTCCTTAAAATGGTAATAGGAGTATCTACTCCTCAGATTCTTATGATGACTAAATGAACATATATGTAAGGTGCTTAGCCTGACACCTAAACCATGGTAAACACTCTACCTGTGTCATCCATAGAGGAATGCCTGTCCCACATGGGCTAAGAGGGAACAGTAAGTGTCAGCTGTGTGCATGTGAAAGCACCAACAACGTCCCCTAGGCCAAGGTCACCTACCTGCTGGTGCCCAGCACCCAGGACACAGCCTGGCCCTTAGCAGGCGTTCAGGAAGCGTCTAGGGAAAGGAGGTTAAAAAGAGCCCTGCCATCAGGGAATAGGTCTATTAGACTGCTGTGCCAGGAATGACCCTAGATGTGGGGCTGGCACAGAGTGCGTGCACAAGAAACAGGAATGGAATGAATGAGTGACCAGTCTCTTCCCCAGAGGGCTCACCCTGTACCTGGGTACAAACATCCCTGGGTTAGCAGGAGTATGGAACCTGTCAAAGCCACAATAAAGTCAGTAAGGGTAAAAGAACAAGATGTGACTGACTGGGCCTCTACGAGCCTCCTGTGCTAATGACACATTCAGGCTTTTCAATATTCATAAAGGATGAGGAAGCAGAATTAAAGAGTTCAGACTTCAGAGGGAGGCATGTATGTGTTTAAATTCCCACTGTACTATGTAGGGGCTTGTTTGACCCAACTTTTCTTCCTGTGTCTTTACCTAAAAAATGGGAATAATAATGGTACCTAACTCACAGAACTGTGTTTGAGTGTCTCCTGAGGAGGTCTGGGTAAGCAGTGGCCTGCCGCAGGGGCAGGGGCTCTGGGTGCAGCAGATCTGGGTGTGGCATAAGCCCTCTTGGAGGAGGTCACCATTAACCCCACCACAGAGCTGCCAGAACTTACACAGGTCTGGGAAACAGACTCTTGGAGGGCACAAACAGAAACTTGTGTGCACCAGGACCCAGGAGAAAAGAGCAGCGACCCCACAAGAGACTGACCCAGACTTGCCCAGGAGTGTCCAGGAGTCTCTGGCAGAGGCGTGGGTCGGCGGTGGCCTGCTGCAGGGTCGGGGGCACTGAGTGTAGCAGTGTGTGCACGAGACCTTTTGAAGAAAATTAAAGATATCAAGGGAACATTTCATGCAAAGACAGGCACAATAAAAGACAGAAATGGTATGGACCTAACAGAAGCAGAAGATATTAAGAAGAGGTGGCAAGAATACACAGAAGAACTATACAAAAAAGATCTTCACGACCCAGATAATCACGATGGTGTGATCACTCACCTAGAGCCAGACATCCTGGAGTGGGAAGTCAAGTGGGCCTTAGGAAGCATCACTACGAACAAAGCTAGTGAAGGTGATGAAATTCCAGTTGAGCTATTTCAAATCCTAAAAGATGATGCTATGAAAGTGCTGCCCTCAATATGCCAGCAAATTTGACATATTTGCCAGCAAACTCAGCAGGGGCTACAGGACTGGAAAAGGTCAGTTTTCATTCCAATCCCTAAGAAAGGCAATGCCAAAGAATGCTCAAACTACTGCACAACTGCACTAAGCTCACACACTAGTAAAGTAATGCTCAAAATTCTCCAAGCCAAGCTTCAACAGTACATGAACCGTGAAGTTCCAAATGTTCAAGCTGGTTTTAGAAAAGACAGAGGAACCAGAGATCAAATTGCCAACATATGCTGGATCATCGAAAAAGCAAGAGAGTTCCAGAAAAACATCTACTTCTGCTTTACTGACTACGCCAAAGCGTTTGACGTGTGGTTCACAAAGAGTCGGACACGACTGAGCGACTGAACTGAACTGTGAGTTCATCACTAGATGGTTGTGAAGATTCAATCATGCATTCAAACAATATTTTGGAAGCAGGCACAATTAGGGATGTTCAGATTACAAGAGTGATCAAGAGAGACCAGGACCCACAAGAGCTGATCATCTCAGAACCAAGGGTCCAAGACAGACAATGAAGACTCTAAAACACAACTTCAGATTGGAATTAGTGGGTGAACTGCTAGCAGCCACTTCAGTAAGGGCAATGAAGGAAGGACTCTCTAAAATAGAGACACTTCAAGACCTGGTGCATTTAAGTCATTGACATACAGCTTTGCACGAGGTAAAGAATTCATCCCAGCTCCACTGTTTCCTGGGGGAACTTGAACAAGCTCTTTTTCAGTTTTCCTGTAAAATCCGGACAACTACACTCCTTACCTGGCAGGGTTCTAATGCGATGCGAATGTAGGTAAAGAACCTAGAAATATAGCTGGTGCAGAATAAATTTGCAGGAGACTAGGGTTCGATCCCTGAGTTGGGAAGTTCTCTGGAGAAGGGAATGGCAATTCACTCCAGTATTCTTGCCTGGAGAATTCCACGGACAGAAGAGAAAGCTGGCGGGCTACAGTCCATGGGGTCGCAAAGAGTCGGACATGACTAAGGGACTAACACATGTGTGTTTACTACTCCTTAACTCTAATAACATAATCCTTCCTCCCCTTCTCATGTAGGTCTGTTGTTGTGTCGCTTTGTCGGTCCGACTCTTTGCGACCCCCATGACTGCAGCCGGCCAGGCTCCTCTGTCCATGGGACTTTCCAGGCAAGATCACTGGAGTGGGTTGCCATTTCCTTCTCCAGGATCTTCGAATGGCGCGTCTCCTGCACTGCAGGCGGATTCTTTGCCACTGGGCCACCAGGGAAGCCCCTGTTCCCTCAGATCCTAGAGGAAATCAGTCTACGCCCGGCAGCCCCAAAAGCAGACCCCCACCCCTGTCCGCTCCAGAACCGACTGGAGCTCCGTTGCCAAGGCAACCTCAGATCCCTCCCGGGGTGGTCTCGCCCCTCAGCCGCAGTCCCGCGACTCGGCGCTCCCCTGGGGACTCCCCGCTCCTCACCCGGGAGACGCCTTCCTCGCCGCCCAGGGTCCGCAGCATCTTGGACACGTCGCGCACCACGCCCGGGTACTCCACACACACCATGCGCCTCTCGCGCCGCAGTTCCACTGGGATGGCGGCGCCCGGCCGAGCGTCTGCCGCCGCCGCCGCCGCCATCCCTGCCAGTCCAGTCAGGCCCACCGGGGGGCGGGGGGATGGAGGGGGAACGTCCCCTCCACACGCTCCTGGAAGCCTCGTCTCAATGGTTCCGCGAAGGAATCGTTCCGGGGTCCCCTCCCCGCTCGCTTGTAGTCTATATCCTTGAATTCCGTGAGGCTCGAAGGCTTCGAGGAGGACACCGCTGAGGCTCGGCGGCAAACGACCGCGCACACCCCCACGTCTGTGTGTAAGATAATAAGCTGAAGCACCCGAGGGGCGGGGTAGAGGCCAATTTCATCAACCAACCCGCGAGGGACCCGGAGGACGTGTAAGATACGCCCAGAGAGACTTTAACCAATGAGAACCCGAGGGGCCAGCAGTCTTTTAGCCAATGAGGAGTCGAGAAGAAGCCGAGTTCCGGCCCCCTCCTTCCGGTTTCCTTTTCGCTAATAAACCAGTCGTAGGCGGGGCCCCGCCCCTTCCTCGAATTCCTCCCACTGACAGCTCTAGGGCGGGTTCGAGGCGGACTTCCGGGGTGTCGTCTTTGGCGGGCAGGTCCCAGTAATGAATTGGTTTCCGGACGCTCACCTCAAGAGGTGTCTTGAGGGGCTGGGACCCCCCACTCCCCACCCTTACCCCACTCCTGCTGGCCCTCCGAAGACAGAGGCCACGAGGAGTTCAGTCTGGAAATGGCGAGAGCGAGAGAATTGCGCTTTGAATTTTTTTTTTTTACCATTCTGCGCGCCTTTCAGGATCTCAGTGTTCAGGGGAAAGCCCAGAAGTCTAAGATCGCCACCGGATCGCCAGAGAACTCCCGGGAATTGCGCCTTGCGTGCTACTCCGCCTGCACCCAGGGCAAACCTGGAAATGCCTCCCACTCACCCCCGGCTGGGGCAGAATGCAGGCGTCGGTCCTCTGTTTCTTAAGCGTTATTTAACGCCTGTTGTGAAGCGTTAAGTGAGCAGCTGTGTGGAAGACCCCGAACCAAGGGCCACGGGCCATTCTAGAGAATTACGAGGACAGAAACTATAGGGAAAAAATTGTGTGGTGGGGAGATGAAGGGTTAGAGGTAGACATAGGCCAGACAGATCCTGAAAAGGACGTACCTAACAGATTGGCTTTTTCTGAGTGCGATGGAGAACCCTTGGGTTTTATGCAGGGAGTACCAGAGTCTGACTTATGCATATAAAAGACTGTGGCTGTTGTGTAGAGAATAGACCAGAAAAGGCACAAGTGGATTCAGATAAACTAACGAAGTGAAAGTCACTCAGTTGTGTCCAACTCTTTGTGATCAGTCCACGGAATTCTCCAGGCCAGAATACTGGTGTGGGTAGCCTTTCCCTTCTTCAGAGGATCTTCCTGACCCCGGGATCAAACTCAGGTCTCCCGCGTTGCAGGCAGATTCTTTACCAGCTGAGTCGCAAGGGAAGCCCAAGAATACTGAAGTGGGTGGCCTATCCCTTCCCCAGCAGATCTTCCCATCACAGGAATGGAACTGGGGTCTCCTGCATTGCAAGCGGATTCTTTACCTACTGAGCTATCACAGAAGCCCAAACTAACAGAAAGGCTGTATAATCCAGGCAAGGGATGCTGCTTGGGACCAAGGAAGTGGCAGTGAGGATGGAAAGAAGGGACTGGATTTGAGGATGTTAAAGGAGATAAAAATCAGAGCACAGGGCCCCTTGGATATGGATACCCCAAGTTTCTGAAGTGACTTCTGAGTCAGAAGACTACCTTTTTAGTCTAGATGGATTTAAGAAGGCCAAATAAATACCACGGAAATATGTTTTTAAAAGAAAAATGTGTAATCCAAAAGTGAGATATGTGTCATTGGCTGGGAGCTCCGAGACTTTGAAAGGAAGGCCCCTCTGAGAACCCAGGAATCAACCAAGAGAGCGTGACAGACCAAGAGGAGGGTGGACGTGAGGACTGCAGCCGCTGACCTACCTCATTCCGTGGGGACTCGCCTATTCTCTTACCAAAGAAGGTTCTATGCTGTGAGGCCAGGATAACCCTCCACTTTCCCGTGCCTTTGATAGGGACAGAATTCCCCATTAGGGAATTATAGATAGGGAACTTCAGGGGGATTTGGGAGACCACAGTAAGACTAATGATCACTCAAGAAAGTAATGGGAAAACTCTGAAGCAATATGGGCTTGCTTCGCTCATGAAGCAAAATAAATCACTTAGCATCAGAGTCAAACTGGCCATCTTAATGACAAAATCCAGCTAACTTGCTTAGCAACAAAACCATGCAACAGAAGCAGAAGACATGTCCCCAAACAAACAAAAACAACAGTGGCACGAGACCTACATCCTCCCCGTGAGCTCAGTAAGTTAGTAACCCCCCCGAAACAATAAAAAAGAAATAAGGCCTACAACATGCCCAGTGGGGTCATGAACTTGATGATCCCCAAGACAGGCTCTGTGCACATAAAAAGCAATCACTTATGGGAAGGTGACTCCTCAAAATGAAAGACCCTCATTGTACTGAGACCTGAAAATATTTTTCCAAGGTGCTATGACAGTCCTGGCCTGCCCATATTGGGAGGGACGAGTAAACAGCCCTGCCGTACCTGAGGGAGGAATTGATGATAGAGACATGTCTACTCAAGAAAGACAAAAAAGGTCTCCTCCTCCTCCCCTCTCTTCCTCTGATTATAGAAGTGTAACCCCCTGAGTATCAGAGACAGTGCAGTCTTGCCTGCCCACTTGCAAACCTTCCAAGTGTCCTAATAAGTCGCTTCTTATCTACCACTTGGCCTCTCGCTGAATTCCTTTCTGGGTTGAAACATAAAGGCGTGTGGGGCCACAGCTCTTGGGAGCCCTGGAAACGACACCTAACGGTTTCACCTTGAGATGAAATGTCCTTTCAAACTTCTCATGTCCTTTGCTCTCATTCCATGCTCACCAAGCAGTGAGCATCGGTTGGTTTAATCTGTCAGAAAGGAGAGTCTGAACAAGAGATGTCTATTTTTAGCCATTTCCACCACTGTAAATTAATAAATCGGTGTGTTTCTATTAGTCCCCTGTGAGTTTGATACACATGAGTCAGTCCTGAAGTCTATCATTGACAGTCGAGTTGATGGATAAAACATTAGATACACTGTTAAATTAGAATTTCACATGATATTAGGGACATACTTATGTTTATAAGTATACTTATAAGTTATACATACTTATTGTTATATATACTCACATAACCATTTTTTTCATAATTTATCTGAAATTCCAATTAGGTAGGTGTATTTTTATTTGCTAAATATGGCACACGTATCTTTGGCTATTGAAGGAATTGAGTTTCTGAACCTGCAAAGCTGATTCTAAGCTATCCACAACCAGGGCTTCCCTGGGGCCTCAGTGGTGAAGAATCCGCCTGCCGACGCAGGGGACACGGGTTTGATCCCTCATCCGGGAAGATCCCACAGGCCACTGAGCAGCGGAGCCCGTGGGCCACAAGTCCTGAGCCCTTGTTCAAAGCCTTCGAGCTGCAGCTACTGAGCCCATGTGCCGTGACTACTGAAGTCTGTGCGCCCTAGAACCCATGACCACAAGACAAGCCCACACACGGCAACTAGAGAAAAGCCCCTGCAACGATGACGGCCCCAGCACAGCCACAAATAAGCAAAACATTAAAGACATGAACTGCCCACCACCTTAGGGAGGCTCCTGAGGCCCTGACCACCCCCTAGCCCCCACCCAGTGACGCTCTGGCTTTGTCTCTGCGAATCTGTTCTCTCACGGAAGCAGAAGTGATTGCTCTAGAATGAAACCTCACCTGCCTCCAGTGACTCCCCCTCCCGTCCTCCATCTGCCGCCTGGCTGACTCCTCAGCATCCTTCAGGGTGCAGCTTAGAGTTCACCTTGCCTGGAGCGTTTGGGGTCATGCTCTGAGCCTGTTACACACAAACTCATCCCGTCGCAGAGCCTGCAGTGCTGTTTCATTCCTTTTCTTTTTTAGTGTAATTTTGTTTCTTTTTGGCTGTGCTGCGTCTTCCTTGCAGAGCGGGCTGTTGGCTAGCTGCGGTCGGTGGAGGCTACTCTCTAGTTGCGCTGTGTGGGCTTCTCACTGCTGGGGCTTCTGCTGCAGCTCCCCGGCTCTAGAGCACAGGCTCAGTATTTGTGGCACACGGACTTGTGGGATCTTCCCGGATCAAGGATTGAACTCGCATCTGTTGAACTGGCAAGCGGATTCTTTACCACTGAGTCACCAGGGAAGCCCTCTTGTTTATCGCTTCTCCCCCAAAGCAGCAGCTTCCTAAGGGTGAGGCCATGGTCCTGCCTGGGATCCACGGTGGAGAGGTCAGAGGCAGAGGTGGGGCGGGCAGGCAGGGCCGGGAGGTGAGAGAGAGGCCAGGAAGGCTCGGGAACCCTGTTAAAGAAGCAGCTGGGGCTTTCCCTGAAGCCTCATAGCATTGGGAACAGGTAACAATGACACTTTCAGTGGTCAGGTATGGATGTGAGAGTTGGACTATAAAGAAAGCTGAGTGCCAAAGAATTGATGCTTTTGAACTGTGGTGTTGGAGAAGACTCTTGAGAGTCCCTTGGACTGCAAGGAGATCCAACCAGTCCATCCTAAAGGAGATCAGTCCTGAAGGACTGATGTTGAAGCTGAAACTCCAATACTTTGGCCACCTGATGCAAAGAACTGACTCATTGGAAAAGACCCTGATGCTGGGAAAGATTGAAGGCGGGTGGAGAAGAGGATGAGATGGTTGGATGGCATCACTGACTCAATGGACATGAGTCTGAGTAAACTCCAGGAGTTGGTGATGGACAGGGAGGCCTGGTGTGCTGCAGTCCATGGGGTCGCAGAGTTGGACATGACTGAGCGACTGAACTGAACTGAACAATGACACTTTGGGGAAAAGACCCTGATGCTGGCAAAGATTGAGGGCAAGGGGAGAAGGTCAGGGGGACGGAAGATGAGATGGTTGGATGGCATCACCCACTCAATGGACCTGAGTTTGAGCAAGCTCCGGGAGATGGTGATGGACAGGCAAGGCTGGCGTGTGGCAGTCCATGGGGTCCCAAAGAGTCGGATACGAATTAGTGACTCAACAACAACAAGAAGAACGCAATCAACCGAGAGCAAGGAAGGCTTTGAAAAATGTTTCCTTTAGGCCCCAGAATATGAATATTCCTTCCTGGGCCGCTGGGTCAGCCCACAGAACAGAGTGAAGAGTTAACCCTTGCCTTCTGGAACTGGATTCTCCCTCGGGACTGGGGAGAAGGCGTAATGGTCACTTTCGGCCACGAGGTGGCAACAGAGCGCCCCATGAGCAGACACCGCCACCTGGTGGTCCTCAACGTCCATGACACCCTAAAAGAAAGCGATTGCCGCAAAGGAAGGCCGCCTGATTGGGGGCACCGGGAGCAGAGCCTAATAAGAGGCCTGCTCTGGGCGGGAGGTGGGGCGGGGACGATGTCAGACCCTCCCCGTCAGGTCTGACCCCCCGGGAGGCGTGGCCACAGGTCCCAGAATGCTCCCACACAGTGCCACCAATGACGGTCAATGATGGGGACGTGGGGAGTGGTTTTCTTTTTACTTCCAAGTGGGACACCCTGTTCCAGAGGACGATCGTCTGCCTAGTTAACTGGTTCCAAAGCAAAATTAAACTACGTACCTACACGTTGTTGTTCAAGCGCTCAGTCATGTCCGACTCTGCGACCCCATGGACTGCAGCACACCAGGCCTCCCTGTCCATCACCATCTCCTGGAGTTTACTCAGACTCATGTTCATTGAGTCAGTGATGCCATCCAACCATCTCATCCTCTGTCGTCCCCTTCTCCTCCTGCCTTCAATCTTTCCCAGCATCGGGGTCTTTTCCAATGAGTCAGTTCTTCAAATCAGGTGGCCAAAGTATTGGAGTTTCAGCTTCAACATCAGTCCTTCCAGTGAACACCCAGGATTTCCTCTAGGATGGACTGGTTGGATCTCCTTGCTGTCCAAGGGACTCTCAAGAGTCTTCTCCAACACCACAGTTCAAAAGCATCAATTCTTTGGCACTCAGCTTTCTTTATAGTCCAACTCTCACATCCATACATGACCACTGGAAAAACCATAGCCTTGATCAGATGGACCTTTGTTGACAAAGTAATGTCTCTGCTTTTTAATATGCTGTCTAGGTTGGTCATAACCTTCCTTCCAAGGAGTAAGCATCTTTTAATTTCATGCCTGCAATCACCATCTGCAGTGATTTTGGAGCCCAGAAAAATAAAGTCAGCCACTGTTTCCACTGTTGCCCCATCTATTTGCCATGAAGTGATGGGACCAGATGCCATGATCTTAGTTTTTTGAATGTTGAGCTTTAAGCCAACTTTTTCACTCTCCTCTTTCACGTTCATCAAGAGGCTCTTTAGTTCTTCCCCTTCTGCCATAAGGGTGATGTCATCTGCATATCTGAGGTTATTGATATTTCTCCTGGCAATCTTGATTCCAGCTTGTGCTTTGCATCAGGTGGCAAAGGTATTGGAGCTTCAGCTTCAGCATCAGTCCTTCCAATGAATATTCAGGACTGATTTTCTTTAGGATGGACTGGTTTGATCTCCTTGCTGTCCCAGGGACTCCCAAGAGTCTTCTTCAGCGCCACAGTTCAAAAGCATCCACCTATAGGGCGGAACGTCAAAGACTGATCACAGAGTTTATATGGCCAAGTTAAATATTTTCAAAAATGTGCCAGGCAGATGCAAATTTCAATGAAGCTAACAGAATTTAAGCATCAGGCCCCCTTCATTGCAGGTACTTTTCTTTAAGGCTCTTGGGAGGTGCTTGGTCGTTGTATTCACATGGGCAGATGTCTTTATAAGAATGGAAAAGGTAAGCTATTTTAACTGCAGTTGGTTAAGACTGCTGTCTCTTTCCGTCTAACCTGCCCCCGGGTCACAATTTCCTTTGTGTTGGGAGACACTGAAATGGTCACTGGTATTAAGAAAAGCTTGGTTAAGGAGAAGTCACATTGGGAGTATATTCCATGTGGACTGAGTGGAATATATATACTTGGTCTGCAGTCACTTTTATTTTATTTTGTTTTGACTTAAAATACTAGAAAATTGTTCTGCTATAGTTCTGGGGCTAGAAGTCCAAGATCAAGGTACCAGTAGGACCGCGCTCTCTCTGAAGGGTCCGGAGGTGGAGTAATCCATTCCATTCCTTTCCCTTGGCCTCCGGTGTGGCCAGCTGTCTTTGGCATTCCTTGGTTGGATGTACAGACATCACTCCAGTCTCTGCCTCCATGGTCATCGGGCCATCTTCCCTCTATGTCTGTGTCTTCAAAGGATTCTCCTCTCTGTATGTCTGACTCTCTCTCGCTTCTGTGTTTTTTTCTAAATGACCTATCTATACATTTTATTTTATTGAAGTACACGTGTGTGCTCAGTCATGTCTGACTCTTTGCGACCCCATGGGCTCTAGCCTGCCAGGCGCCTTTGTCCATGGGATTCTCTAGGCAAGAATACTGGAGTGGGTTGCCATTTCCTCCTCCAGGGTTATTGAAGTATAGCTGGTGTAAAATATTATGTAAGTTTTGAGTGTATGATAGTGATTCACAGCTTTTAAAGGCCACACTTCATTTGTAGCCGTCATATAACATTGGCTATATCCCTTGTGTCGCACACTATATCCTGGCGGTTCATCTGATACACAGCGGTCCGTGCTCTTCACGTGCTCCCCCAACACTGCCCCCTCCCCCTCCCCACGGTGACCACTAGTCTGTCCCCTCAGTCTGTGAGTCTGCGCCTTTTTCTGTTATAGTCACGTTTGTTGTATTTTTTTGATTCCACATGTAAGTGATATCACACAGTATTTGCCTTTCTCTGATTTATTTCACTTAGCATAATGCCCTCCAAGTTCATCCACGTTGCTGCAAATGGGCAAAATTTCATTCTTTTTATGGCTGAGTAGTACTCCATTGTATGTATGTGTATATGTGTGTGTGTGGGTGTGTGTGTGTGTGTGAGAAAGTGAAAGTCGCTCAGTCATGTCCGGCTCTTTGCAACCCCATGGACTATATAGTCCATGGAATTCTCCAGGCCAGAATACTGGAGTGGGTAACGTTTCCCTTCTCCAGGGGATCTTCCCAACCCAGGGATCGAACCCAGGTCTCCCGTGTGTGTGTGTGTGTGTGTAAATATATTAATCACATATTCTTTGTCCATGCATCTGTTGATGGACATTTAGGTTACTTCCATTATCTTGGCAATTATAAATGATTGTGTGAGCATTGGGGCGTATATACCTTTTTGAATTAGTGTTTTTGGTTTTTTCGGATATATACCCAGGAGTGGACTTGCTGGCTTTTGTGGTACTTCTGATTTTAGATTTTTGAGAATGTGGTCCCTTCTGTGATAGCTAAGTTATTGATGGCCATCTGGAATGGTTTCCAGAGATGCACTCTTACCAACTTCTGTGACAATTTGCTGGTGCTGTGATATGAAGGTCCAGGGCCGGAGGCAATGCATCGGTCAGAACCGGAAGCTGGTCTGCGGAAAATCCCTCCACCCAGTAAAGGAAGGCAAATGGGGCAGCCCTGAGTGGCTTGCCTGGTGGCTCAGTCGTGAAGAATCCGCCTGCCGCTGCAGGGGCCGCGGGTTGCACCCCTCGGCCGGGAAGATCCCCCACGCCGCGGGGCCGCTAAGCCCCTAAGCCACAGCTACCAAGCCTGTGCTCCAGAGCCCGGGAGCCGCGACTACCAAAGGCGTGTGCCCAGAGCTCCTGCCCTGAACAGGAGGGGCCCCCGAATGAGAAGCCCGGCTCCGCGACTGGAGAAGAGCCGTGCGTGGCGGTGGAGACCCAGCGCAGCCCAAGGTAAATAAATAAAGTAAACTAAATGATGTGCCCTGTGGAAAACAGTACGGCAGTTCCTCAAAATTAAAAACAGAATGACCACACGGTCCAGCAATTCCACTCCTGGGCATACATCCAACATAATAAAAAACAGAGCCCCAAAGACCTATCTGTAGACCCGGGTTCATAGCACCGTCACTTGCAATAGCCAAATGTCCTGGGACAGATGAATGGATAAACAAATGCAGTGCATCCATCAGCCCATCACTTCACCTCTCAACGTGACCACCGTGACAGCCTCCTAACAGGTGTCCCATGTCCACTTATGTTTTTCTCTCAGGAGGATGCGTAGCTAAATACAGGTGGTTCAAAATCTCAGACACCAAAGCCTTTTGGTAAAAAGACCTCCTTCCCACTCCTTTCCCAGACACAGGACTCATCTTTTCTCTGGAGGTGACTAATATTATCAGTTTCTTATTTATCTCTCTAGAGATAATCTACATAGTTAAAGGTAAAATTGTATATTCTTCACCCCCCCTTAAAAAGTGAGCCACTAGCCCACAAAGGGGTTTTGTTCGTCTCTTCTCCCTCTCATACACAGTGAACATGCTTCTGCTGGCTCCCGAGAGGCTGTAATATGAATCCTTGATCTTTTAAAGTGAACTCTATGGACTTTCCTGGCAGTCTGGTGGTTAGGACTCCTTATTTCCTCTATAGGGTCACAGGTTCGATCCCTGGTCAAGGAACTAAGATTTCGTCTGTCGCAGGGGCAAAACGTAGTCAGCTCTAAATGAATTGATGACACATGGGTTTACTACACACTCCCTTCCATATCCGCCTCTTTGATGGGACAATATATCTTGGGAAATATCAGCTCACATGGCACTTCCGCATTCTTTGAACAGACGCCCTGTGTTCCACTGGATGGTGGGACCATGATTAACCCGCCCTCTTTGAAGGATACTTAGGTTGTTTCCAACCTTTTGCAAATACAAGGTCGCAATGAATCACTGTTGTGTGTCTCTTCACACATGGGCAGATGTCTGTAATATACTGGTGGGTCAAAGGGCATGGAACTCCGTGATTTCCTTAGACGTCACTAAAGTTTCCTCCCTGGGGCCGCAACCCTGTATGACCTCTGCCCCTGTAACTGTTTTGGGGTCTCAGGGCCCACCCCGGGGGGGGGTGCTCAGGCCATCCTCCAGCCCGGATTCCCTTGGGCACCCCCACCTCCGGGTATCCCCGATTTCAACACCTTCGCAGGCTTGGTGTCCGCCATCCTCCCCGTAGAAGCCAGGGGGCGCTTCTCCATCAAGGCGCCTTGGCTGCTCTTTGCTGGGGTTACGGGAGGCGGGGACCCCAAACCCTTTAACAGAGATTCCGGGGGTCCTGCTCCCCAGACTCTCCCAATCACACCCCGTTTGCTCCCGAACCCCTCGCCCCAATTTTTAACCTTGAGGCTCCAGGCCCCTACCCCAGGGCCTCTGCCTTTGCCTCCCCCCCCGCCCCCTCCGTCTTCTCAGGGTGATCCCTGAGAACAGGGGTCCGCTCCCCACTTTGGAGAGGCCTCCGCACCTGTTGACCCCCAACCCCGAACCCCCAACCCCATTGACTGCTAGTTGGTGGCGGGGTCTCTGGACCGTTTTCCAGCGCCTCTGGAAGACACACCAACGCCTACGGCAGCGGATGGGACGGTCAGGGAGCGCACACAGACCCGCGAGGGGCGTCAGTCCCTTGCGCCCCCGCCCCGCCCTTTGGCGCCGCCCCCCCCGCCCCGCCTCCCCCCTGCGCGCCCCCCCCGCCCCGCCTCCCCCTGCGCGCCCCCCCCCCCCGCCCCGCCTCCCCCTGCGCGCCCCCCTCCCGCGACCCCGCCTCCCCCCTGCGCGCCCCCCCCCTCCGCGGGCGCGGTCAACAGGGGGCGCCGTCCCCTCCCGACTCGGCAGGGACCCTGCCCGGGCCCTCGCTGGGCAGAGGATGAATGACCCGAACCACCGCAGTATTCAGCAGTTTGGGGCTCAGCACTTGCCAGGGCCCTGAGCCCACCCGAGGCTAGGAGCGGGGGAGGGAGATGGGGGATGGGGAGGAAGGAGGGGGAGTGGCGACGGGGAGGGGACCGGGGAAGGAAGGGGGCTGCGGTTCTGGACGCTGGGGCTCCCCCTTCCTGAGCCCCGGCCCTCTGCCCAGCGCAGAGACGCCTCCTCTGTGCCCAGGACTCGGGGAGTGGGGAGTTCTGGGCAGGAGGGGGGCCTCGGAACCGGGACTGAACCCAAGACCTTGAGGGCAGGGCTGACCTGCCCATTAAAAAGCCTTTGGGCCGTGATGTGAAAGTCCCTGAGTCGTGTCCGACTCTCTGCGACCCAGTGGACTGTAGCCCCATGGCTGCCGGGCTCCTCTGTCCATGGGATTCTCCAGGCAGGAATTAAAATTAAAATTAAAATTCAGCCAAGCTTCGGACAAGTGGATGCCTCAGTTTAGGGCTTCCCAGGTGGCTCAGTGGTGAAGAGTCCGCCTGCCAATGTAGGAGACGCAGGTTGAATCCCTGGTCGGGAAGATTCCCCGGGAGAAGGGAACGGCTACCCACTCCTGTATTCTAGTCTGGGAAATCCTATGGCCAGAGGAGCCTGGTGGGCCACAGTCCAAGGGGTCACAGAGAGTCGGACCCGACTGAGCGACTGCCTCAGCTTCCGAGGTTGTTAAAGACGGGTGTCTGGCAGCCTCTCTTTACTGGGGAAGTGCTCCGTGTGGGGGCAGGGTCTCACACTGAGGGCTGGTCCTCCGGGTGGGCACTGGTGCTGTCTTCCTGTTGCAGCTCTGGGCTGGGGTCTCGCAGCCATCCACTGATGTCTGAAAGCAGATCTCACACGACTGCACAATCACGCAGCTCAGGCAGGACCGACCAGGGGTTCCAAACTCCAAGTCACAGCCATCCACCCCCCATCTCCGTGCCAATCCCAGCCGGGGCCCTCACCGTTCGCCAGCCCCTTGGGATGGGGAGGGCCAGCCCCATGAGCTGGTTTGCCCACCCACCCAACCACCCGTCCATCCGTCGCATTTATTTGCTGGGTGTGGGGGAGGCGGTGGAGGCCTTCACTGGGCGTTTAGACAGTGGCACAAATAGCTGTTTGATGACAGTCATGACCCGTGTCAGAGGACAGCATCTCTTGGGGCCAGGTCTCCTCGGAGGGCGCCTGTGGGTTGAAACTAAACTGGAGAAAGGAAGCCTGCTGAAGAGTTGAGGGCCCGCCTTCCAGGCAGAGGGAACAGCTTTGCGGGAGGCCCGAGGCCGACAGAGCCGCTCGGGGAGGAGGAGAAGACACTGGGATTCTGGTGCAGCTGCCTGGGGGGTGCTCAGCCGCTTGGTCCTGGAGGGACGCGGTCTCTCCCCGCAGCCCTGGGTCCCTTCTTGCCCCCTCCAGCACGGGCCCGGCCTTCTCGGCCTCGGTGGTGGACACTGCCGGCCCGTCTCTCCACCCAGACGGTGAGCTGTTTGCTGCTGGGCTGGGGTCCCGAAGCCTTTGTTCAGCAAACGCCAAGGCCACACTTGACCTGCTGGCTTGCTTCTCTTCTCTTCTCTCTCTTTTTTTAACAATGCTAAAATATACATGACCCAGGCACTTCCCTGGTGGTCCAGTGGTTAAGACTCGGCCTTGTAATGCAAGGGACAGGGTGTTTGATCCCTGGTTGGGGACCTAAGATCCCACTTGCCATGGAGCAACTAAATCCACACCCCACAGCTAAGCGAGCCCACCACAACTCAAGAGTCTGTGCCCCAACAGAGGTCCCGCGTGCAGCAACTGAGTCCTGACGCCACAAATCAATCAAGAAATATTTTAAAAATATGCAGCACGTTTGCTGTCTTCATCACGTTTGTGTGTACGGCTCAGGGGTGTTAATTCCGTTCACACTGTTGTGCCACCATCCGCTCCTAGAGCTCTTCTATTCTTGTAGAACTGCTCCTCTGTCTCCTTCAAACCCTGCCTCCCCGTCCCTTCCCGCCAGCCCCTGGCCCCCTCTGCCCTCCTGTCTCTCCGACCAGGCCGGGTCTCTCTAGAAGTGAGAGCGCACAGTTCTTGTCCTTTTGTGTCCGGCTCATTTCACGGGGTCCTCAGGGCTCATCTCTGCTGCCGTGGGGTCGGACTCGCCTTCCTCTTGCAGGCTGGCGAGGACTCCACGGTGTGGACGGGCTACATTCTGCCTCTCCCCCATCTCTCGGCGGACCCTTGGGCCGCTTCCCCTTTTGGCTGCCATGACCCCTTGGCGTTTCTTGCTTCTGGTTCATCACCTTGGGCCAAACACAGCCCCTGTGAGCTGTTGGTATTTGCAAACCTGCAGCACGTCGGGGTGGTCGGTCCCCGTCTTGACCAGCTCTCTCACTTTTGCAGGCTGGGAAACGGAGGCCCTGGAGGGAAGCAAGGACTTCCTTGAAGTCACGGCAGAGGCGTGACCAGCTCCAGGTCAGCTCAGAGGATTTAAATAGGTGGAAGGCCCTTGCACCCAAGCCTGTGCCTGGAGCCTCCCCTTGTACCTATTTCTGTCTGGCCAGCCTCACTCTTTCAGAGAAATGAGCTCAGAAAGCTGCCCCAGGTGGAGAAGGAGAGGCAGTCAGGTAGTCAGACCCCTGACTTTGGTTAGGGGTTTGTCCCCTAACCACTGCCTTCCCAACCAGACGCTGACTCCCCAGCCTCGGAGACTGGAGCAGCTCGTGCCTGGCAGGTGCACCTTCATGCCCCGGGACAGCCCCGCCGTGGGTTTTGGGACCGCTCTCATTTTACCGATGGGCCCAGAGCGGAGAGAAATGACTTGTCTGGGATGGCAGAGCCCCGCCCCAGCCCTAACAAACCCATCATCAGGTGGCCGGCCCCTGCCGGCACAGGCCTCAGCAGCCCCTGCCTCCTCTCACGTTCCAGAGATGGAGTCGGGGAGTTGGGGCGGAGGGAGCTCCAGACTGTCCCGACTCTGACCTGGAAGCCTGGACGCCCCCCCCGCCCGGCGAGGTCTCCCGGGCTGCCCCAGCCCTGCCCAGAGGAGGTGCCCAGCCCTCCGGTGGCCCCCGCTGCTCCTTGCACCCGGGGGCCTCCAGAAGACGGGCACCCTCACTTCCCCACTCAGCCGGCCCTGCACCGGGAGGGTTTGCAGGCTGAGCTGCAGAGAGCTGCTCGCGGCAGAGGGCATCTGTGGGCACGCTCCCGGTGCACTTTCTGCACAGGCCTCCGCCCCGCTCTTTCTGTCTCTCTGGCAGGGGCTGGAGGGCGGGGGTGGGGGGGGGTGGGGGTGGCTGGCAACACTAGCTCCTCTGGTACTGTGGCCGGGCGCTTCCTCTTTGCCCAGCTCACCACCCGAGGGCATGCACCGCCCAGTGACTTCCCCCGGGCCAGGCCTCAGCACCCCACACCTGCAGCCTGCTTTAGAAGGTTTATCTGCCAGAGGGGCTTTGAGGGCAGAGTGGGACCCTTATCTCCCTGCCAGGGGCCTGCCCTACAGTTGGGGCTTTGTAATCTGACATTGTGATTTTTTTTTACACCCTTGTTTTTCCCCCCAGGGAGGGAAGATTTGCTGAATCATCCGGGGGAGGTGGTTGGAGGGGGCCCGGGCCGAGGCAGCTGGAGGGCAGCGATAAGTCTGAGGCTGGGCTGAGGGGCGCTGGGGAGCTGGGCAGGGAGGAAGCCCCAACCTGCCCTGCGACGGTTTCCAGCTAAGATTGTTGGCTTCTGCAGAGCCGCCCTGGGGATGCGCACTCAGGTCAGGTGGCCTGAACCTTCCTCCCAGAGGAAGGCTGGCCGCAGGTGGGACTGGCCGGCTGGGCCCATGATAGCTGGCAACAGCAAGCCGGGGTGAACATGACTGGGTGCCCAGCAGCCCAGGATGGCTCCTGTGAGTCCTCGAGCTCATCCTTGTTCTACACTTTGGCTTCTGTGGCCCCAGTGGGGCACTGTCTGGCCCCCAGGCTCCCAGCAGGTTGGGGATGGAGCTGGGACAGATGGAAGCCTTAGGTCTCCCCAGGGCCTTTGCACCTACTGCTCCTAGCCTTGGAGCCACCGTCTCCACTCCAGACAGATCAAATTCTCCTCGGATGGTTGTTTCCTGTGGGAAGACTTCTCTGCCCCAGCGTGGGTTTGGTGGCCTCTCAGCCTCCCAGAGTCCAAGTGTCCCCTCTCCTGTATCTTGGCCCCTCAGGGCCCAGGCTGTTGAATGGAGCCTTAGGGTTCTTTCTTGGAAAACCCTGAGAGGAGTTGCCTTCCATTTGGACTAAAACTCTGGGGACTGCAAAGTGGGGAAGAGTCCCCACAGGGGGTGGGCTGGGCCCTGGGCTCCTCTCTGCTGCAAAGTGGACCCCTGGCGGGGGGAGGAGGACCGCCCTGAGCCCCGCCTGCCTTCCCAGAGCCTCTGCCTTCTCACTCTCCCTACAGGGTGGCCTGACCTCCAGGAGCGGGTCCCCCAGCCTCTGCAGGGGCTGGGGGTGTAGTGGAGACCGACATTCCACCAGCTTTGCGGGACTGGGCATGGGTCACACAGACTGGGTCGTACCGGAGGCAGAGGCTGGGCTGGACGTGCCAGAGGCTTCCCCCTACCTCTCTGCCCCCCTGATTTCTGATTCCCCCCCCAGAGTCCGGTGGGCAACCGCAGCCCCGGGGAAGAAGGCTGATTGACGCCCCTGAGTCAGTGGCCACATCCCCTGCTGCTCCCAAAAGGGGCTTCTGGGGCAGGAAGAGCGGCCTCGGTGGTCGCTTCTCTCCCTTCCTGCTGCCCAACTGAGCCCAGAGATAAGTCCTCGCTGGGCTGAGGGGCTCGGGGGGCCCAGGCCTCCCCCAGAAATCATGTCAGGGTTCCTCGCTTGGAGGAAGGAGCCTGAGGACCACGATAACCCCTTTATTTTTAAGAGATCCGGGAGGAAGTCCCAAGTCACCCTTTGCAGAAATAGCTCTGAGCTTCAGCCTGGCGTCTGTGGTTCCAGCTGTCAGCCGGGACTGCCCGTGAGTGTGGCCCGGGTCAGTGCAGCCCACGGTGGCCTGGAGGACATGGGACCCAGGGATGCAGCCCCGGGCCTGGGCTCCAAGCTCAGAGCCTTTGGCGAAGATAATGGCCACATCCATTTACTTCTGCATGAGGTGGCTCAATCGGTCAAGAAATCGCCTGCAGAGCAGGAGACCTGGGTTCAAACCCCGGGTCGGAAAGATCTCCTGGAGAAGGGAGTGGCTACCCACTGCAGTGTTCTCGCCTGGAGAATCCCATGGACAAGGGAGCCTGGCGGGCTACAGTCCAGGGGGTCACAGAGAGCCGGACACGACTGAGTGGCTGCCGCGCTCAGTGTGGGGAGAGCGCAGAGGTTCTGAGCCAGGGTATTGCCAGGTGTTGCAGACAAGCTGCAAAAATGTGTCGGGCACCCTTTTCTGTCTTCCCTACTTTGAAACCCTGCTCCATATCTGGACACCTGCCTGCCCCCACGTGCACTGAAGGCCGGCGAATGTGCAAACTCCGGGGTCTCTGCCTGACAGCTGTCACCTGCACCCTCCCTTCAATAGTCTAGGAGGGGGTGTTGGGGGAGGACCCAGTGGGGTCTGGGATTAACAGATACACACTACTTAGATAAAACAGACAAACAAGAAGGACCTACTGTGTGACACAGGGAGCTATGTTCAGAACCTTGTAATCTATAATAGAAAAGAACCTGAAAAAATATGTGTGCATGTATATATTTATACACACATATATATTGAATCACTTTGTTGTATACCTGAAACTAACACAATGTGGCCAATCAGCTATACTTCAGTGAAAAAGAGAGAGAAGGGTAGGTCTTTAAAGTTCTCATCAGGCCCTCCTGGTGGCTCAGTGGTAAAGAATCACCTGCCAATGCAGGAGGCATGGGTGAGGTCGCCGATCAGGGAAGATCCCACACGCCATGGAGCAACTGCGCCGGTGCGCCCCAGCTGCTGAGCCTGCATCCTGGAGCCCGGGAGCTGCACCCATGGAAGCCCTCAAGCCCTAAAGCCCTAGAGCCGCTGCTCTGCAATAGAGAAGCCACCGCAATGAGAAGCCCGCGCTCCACAACTAGAGAGAAGCCTGCCCAGCAAGGGAGACCCAGCCCAGCCAAAAAGAAAGCTATTTAAAGAGCAGTTCTCATCATCAGAAAAACGTTTTTAACTGTGTGCTGATGGATATTCACTTATCGTGGTGATCGTTTCATCACACATACAAGCATCAAATAATCACGCACTACACATAAAACTGATAGAATGTGATCTGTCAACTCTATCTCAATATTAATTAGTTAAAATGCAAAACACTACCAAAAAAAAAAAAAAGAGTCGATGAAAGGAAGTCTTGGGACTGGAGGGTGCGGGCTGAATCGAGATTTCTGAGACCACAGGGGTCATCGTTTGGATGAGAGAAACTGAGGTCCAGAGGGAAGCGCCTGTAAGTCGTCCTGCCAGGAGGGGGCCAGAGTGACATCTCAGCCTCCGACCACCCCCCGCCCGTCCGGTCTGGGTCTGGGCTGTCTCCTCCCCACCTCTCACGAGGCAGGCTTCCCACGCCAACACCCCACCCCCCTTTCTGTATTTCTTCGGGCTTTCTCTGTTTCTCCTCTTAGGACACCCCCCTCGGTGCCATAAGCGTGGACACTGGCTGCTCCCACCACTCATCCTCACTGCCCGGAAGTGAGCCTGGCTTACGGCAGCTGCTCTGTAAATAAGAGTTAATCAATGAGTGCTTTCCACCCCACTGGGTGGCCCTGGGGCCTCGGGAAGGCCCCTGGCCCGGGGTTCTCCGGGGCTCTAGGGGACCCGGCTGTCTGCGCCGGTGGACACTGGCAGGCCTGGCTTCCGTTTGCACCCCGGGCTGGTGCTCCTGGGCTCAAGGGCCCGGCCAGGGGCTCCTGGGGCTCTTGCATTCTCTCCTTCTAAAAACAAACATATCACCTTTCTCCCCGCAGGCGCCCCAACACCCCCACATTGTTACCATAGAAATCACGGAAAAGGCAGGAAATGTCTAGAAAAGGGAATTATAAAAACCCACAAAGATGCCACCCACCCAGGGTAACCCTGCAGACCTTGGGGTCTGCCCTCCCTCTGACTGCCAGGGCCACGGTCAGGGGGCTGCCCTGCGTGGCTCTGAGCTTGGGACCAGTACCCCTGCCTCTGGAGCGGCTGGCCCTGCGGAGCGCAAGCCGGGGGCGGGGGGCCTGGCCTCAGCCTCTCATCCCTCCTCCTGCCTTCTGCTCGCCGGGTCCTCCTCCTCCTAGTCCTCGTCGACACTCACTCTGAGACTCGTTTCCTCATTTGTAAGGTGGGGATGACTCCCTGAAGGGCGGCTCCCGAGACCGGGACCTTTACGGGAGTGGTCCCTAAGGCGGACTGAGCCTGACCTTCACCTCGAGACCACAGGGGCGGTGTGGAGAGGCCCCCTCTTCTAGGGCATGGAAGCTTCCAGAAAAAGGGACTTTTTCTCTTTTTTTAAATCTTATTTATTTTTGGCCGTGCTGGGCCTTCATTGCTGCACATGGGCTATCTCCAGCTGGGGGGAGTATGAGCAGGGGCTGCTTTGTAGCCGAGATGCTCAGGTTTCTCACTGCAGCAGCTTCTCTCGTGGCGGAGCACAAGCTCTGGGGCGTGCACACTTCGGCAGCTGCAGCACATGGGCCCAGCAGCTGGGGCTCCCTGGCTGTGGAGCGCAGGCCCAGGAGTTGTGGCTCATGGGCTTAGCTGCTCTGTTGCACGTGGGATCTTCCTGCATCAGGGATTGAATCTGTGTCTCCTGCCCCAGCAGGCAGACTTTTTACCACTGAGACACCAAGAGAAGCCCAGGGGGACTTTTTCTTTAAGGCTTGCAGAAGGGCAGAGGGGCAGCAAGCCGGAGCCCCCCACCCCCCCCCCCGGGAAAAGCCGGAGCCCCTGGCCCACACCTCCCTGGGGCCCCTTCCCAGCGCTCATACGGCTGCGATGTCAAGGGCCCCAGGGGCCTCTGAGACCTCTTGTCATCTGGGTGAAGTGGCTGGAAGGCTCCCTCCCTGCCTCCCTCTCTCTCTCTTTGCTTCTCCCTCTCTCCCGCTCTCTGGGACACCAGGCCCCCTGATAACACCGGGAAGGCACTATCGGCCTGGGCGCATCCTCCCGCCAAAGCCCGCGGGCCTGCTCCACACCAACGGTTGGCAGCCGGCACCGTTTGATAAACTTTATCAGGCCAAACCTGAGCACGGCCGCTCAGCGCAGCCCCTGTCTCAGATTTCTCCTGTCTTCCTGCAGCCCCCCACCCCCGCCGCTGGAAACTGGGGCCCTGCCCATCTCCTGGCTGGGGACCAATTCCAGCCAGACCCCAGGCAGATGGGAAGGGGCAACCCTACACCCGGCTAGGAGGAAGATCTGGGGGTCCAGGGTCCGGCCCACCATTCCCAAGCCAGGGGCTCCTCCGTTAGGGGACCCACCCGACCTGCCACAAAGGAGCCAGAGGCCCTGACAGGGGTCCACATCCTTCCTGGGCTTCCCTGGGACCTCCTGGGTGCTGGCTGCTAAGCTGAGGGTTAGGACTGGACCAGCATCTGCTAGGAGGCAGCTCTTGGGGTTGGGAGTTGGGGGCAAGCCGGCCAGCACTGTTTAAAAGAGAAAGGACCCTGCCCCGTGGAGCCGTGGAAGGCCAGCAGCTTGGAGGGAGGAGTGGAGAGGCAACCTCAAGGCAGGGAAATGATGTTTGAGCAGGAGTCGTTTTGTAACGCCATTGATAATGTTATCATGCATGCCCATGACGGAAAAATACAACATAAACGCTGAAAGAGACGGAGAAGAAAAATTGCAGCCCCCCTCAACGCAGCCCCTGTTGATACGCTGCTCTTTATCCTCGCAAACTTCCTTCCGTGTGTGTAATTAACAAAATGGAATCACATGGTATATACTGATTTTAAACCACTTTTTTACTTAAGATATCATGAACAGCTTCCTTCGTTGATGCATTTATTCTGCAAAATCTATTTTCTGTTCAGTTTTTTTTTTTTTTAGTAAAACACACAGACAAACACAAATCCGAGTTTCTTTCATAGATAGCATTGAGGGTGAAGTCAACCCTCCTTCCCAGGCCCCAGAAACAACCGCTATCAATGGTTGGACGTGCCTTCCTCGGATTTGTTTCTCTAAGCACCCACAAACATAAGTTGTGCTGTTTTTAAAGAATCAGCACGCGATGGTGAAGCAAGCATTTTTCACTCCACGTCAGCACCCAGGCCCCTTCCGGGTCAGGCCTTATAAAGCACGCTGGCTCTTCGTGACGGCTGCTCAGATGACCACTGTCTGGGTGTGCCACTGGTCGCTTAGCCAATCTCTCCTGGGAGGTTAGGATGGTTCCAGTTTGGTTTTTTTTTCCATTTCCATCTGGCTTCAGAAGATGACCTGGTAGCTAACTGTGGTCCCTTCGTGACTGTCTCTCTTTCATGTGAATTCCTGGGAGTAGAATTGAGGGTCCTGAGTGAGCACGTGTTGGGAAATCTATGCACTTGTGGGACTTCCCTGGGGGTCCAGTGGTTAAGACTGTGCTTCCAATGCAGGGGCTGCAAGTTCGATCCCTGGTTGGAAAACTAGGATCTCACATGCTGTGCAGCCAAAATAAAAGAAAAATTTGTGCACTTGAACTGGGTTTCAAGGGCTCAGGGGAGGGAACACTGTTGGCCAAGAGGGTAGAAAATAGCATCGGGAATTCCCTAAAGGCCTCTTGGGAAATAACAGGGAAGACTCAGCTTTCTGTACAGAATCCCGGGGAAGTGGGATGGTGCGGCCATGATGGTCTCCATCCCAGGGGCCTTCCCTGCCTGACCGGAGGCAGCAGGAGAGACTCAAGACCCAGAGGAGTCTTCCCAATGCACCAGAGCCATTGACTGCTTTGGACCAGGGGGAGGACCCCAAGAGACATGGGAACTGAGCTTCGGAAAGATAACCTGTCTTGCATGCTCGGTGTGATCTGGGGAGCCCAGCGGGAGAACTGGGGGCTGGAGGCGGTTCTAAGCCAGGTTCTTAGTCAGTCTTGGGGTGACAGCAACACCAGCCACCCGGAGCTCCTCCCGGGTCCCTGCTGAGGCTGGTCAGGGTGGGGAGGTCCCCTCCTAACAGCCTGGGGTCAGCTCAGCCACTGTGCAAATGCCTGGACGGACTGCCCCTGGGAGGTTCGTTTCCATGTCGACCACTGATTTCCATGGAGGGCCGCCTGGCCTCTCCCAGTGTGTCCCTCACGGGCTGTCAGGGGCCTAGGGGTGTCACCTGAAGCTGCCACCACCAGTGGGACATTCCATCTGAAAATTGATTCAAATGTTGCATTCTGCTTCCTGACTTGACCAGTTCATTTTAATATTAAAATATTGGTTTTGTTACATACCCCGGAGTAAATCAATCCTCCGAGTTGAGTTACCGACACCATGTCTGACTTGTTCCATCCACACCCTTCCAGTCCCCAGCAGCCGGGCCAATGCCACAGTCCAGCCACCCCTCATCTCCCACACAGCCTCAGAGGCTGCCACTGACGCCGAGTTTTCTGTAAGCAGGCATGGTGCAATAAGTCTCACTGTTCTGGTAGAGAGGCCCTACACCAGAGGGTCAGAAGACCTGGATTCTGTGTGATGTCATAGCCAATAGGCCATGTGACGGGGGGGCCAGCAACTCCGCCCCCTGGGCCCTTTCCCTCGTGCAGGAAAGGGAAGCCCCGGGCAGTCTTCTCGGGGCTGGATGGGGCTTCACACTCAGGGACTCCACGCTGGGCATCTCAGACGAGGGGGAGTGGTAGTGGACTGGGACGCAGAGAAGGAGCAACTGGACTCCCTCCAATCACAGCAGCTGGAGGGCCCACTGCACACATGTGATTGGGCCCCCCCGACCCCAGCGTGCTGAGTGAAGCCCTGCTGTCCCAAAGGCTGAGATGCTCCCACAGGCCTGAGCACAGTTTGCTGGCTTGTGGGCTGACGCTGACCTGCAGGCCTTCTCCAGGGCCGCGGCTCCGAGCGGGTAGCACATCCTCCCTGGGACCGCCCTGGGGTTCCCAAGGCTGGGTGAGGGGTGGGCGCAGGGAAGGGGCGGGAGGGTGGCTCTGCCCTCCCCCGCCCCTCCCACACCCCCGCGGACTCTTCCCAGGAAGCAGGTTTCACAATCGGATACCTGCCTGCCCGCTGACCCCCTGTCTCTGCAGCGTGCGTGGAGGTGGGGTTCCGGCCCCCTGCTCCGAGGCTGCAGCCCCCACCCCCGCCTCACCACCCTGTCATGGGCACTGGGCGGAGGGGTCGACGTGAGCAATCCCACTCTCCCAACCTCAGCAGAGGAAGAAAGACGCCTTGTCTTTCTTGAAGAAAGAGCTCCTCTTCCTAGCCCCGCCCTGCCGCAGAAGTGGCTGAAATCCTGATATTAGAGTGGTTTTGTTTAGCAAACAAGGAGCATGCAAAGTATGTCCTCCGTGCGCCTGTGTATGTGTGTGTGTGTGTGCGCGCGCGTGTGTGTGTGTGTGTGTGTGTGTGTGTGTGTGTGTATGTGTGTGTTCCCATCTCTGGGAGGTGCAGGCTCACTCCAGGTGAGCCTGACTCTGCTGTGTGGCTTTGGGCAAGTTTTCTTCCCTCTCTGGGCCACAGGGTCCCTGTGGATGGGAGGAGGGGCGGGAACAGGGGTCTCCAGGGCCCCAGCGCCTCCGTTGGATTGGCTGCCAGAGGCTGTCTTCCTCGGACTTCAAGAGCAAGGTCGCCAGCAGGACAGGATCTGAAAGCCTGCTGAGGAGACCAGACCACCCTCGTATGCAAATCCTAAGCCTCCACCCCACCCTCCGCACACCTGACGGGTTTGTGCAGGGGAATTCTTGCTAAAGTAAACAGGAAGAGCCTCTGCAATGAAGTATGCCAAGGGGTCCTGCCCAGCCAAACCCAGAGCCTGGGAGCCCAGGGATTTACCATTCCCCAGGGGCCTCAGAAACCTCTAGACTCACCGTGGAGGACAGCAAACATCGCAGATGTCGTTGGGAAGAAAGGCAAACAGAAACTCAAAGAAGACATGGATCAAATGATCCCAGCTCTGCACTTACCCGCTGGGTGACCTTGGGCAAGATGAACGACCTCTCTGAGTCTCATTTACACCCGCTTTGTAACAAGGGATAACGACATCTCCTTTGCAGAGGGCCGTGTGGGTCAGAGACAATGTCGAGCAACCTTGGGCCTAGCTTGGCACCCGGAAGTGACTCATTCAGAAGTGTTCACTGCAGCGGGCCAGACACGGGCTTGGTGCTGAAAGCCAGAGCCCAGAGGGAATTCCTTCTAGCAGAGAGGAAGCTTGTCCACAGATAACTACTAGTACCGGTACTGGTTCAGTGTGTTCTGAGCTGTACGCGAGGAGCCCAAGGA